ATTTAGGGGATTGATGGCCAGGACACCGGGCAAACGCCTTCTTCAAATATTGCTGTAAATTCTTTAATCCCCCGACCATCTCACCAGAATGATGGCATCTCTGTCAGTGCAGCACCCCCCCCAGGAATTCATGAGCTCAAAGCCCTGATGTGGGGCTTGAACCCACAACCTGTAGAGTGTGAGTGTATTTGGTGTTTGCAGTTGGAGTAGCTTTCAGTGTATTGGGGCATAATCCCGCAGTGTACAGGGTAGAAAATCAGGGCACACTTGCATCTGTTGTGTAAAGTCAGTGCGTAATTATCCAACATCATAGCTGCAGGGCTGATGCTTTACTCTATGATGGGACTGTCTGTAGCACCAGGACCAGAATTCCATAGAGTAAGTGGAATCTTGAAGCGTATTGGTTAGAGCACTTGCCTCGCAAGCAAGAGGACCTGGGTTCAATTCCCAGCTGGGGAAAAACATTAGGCAAGTTTCCTTACGCCACATACGTCTGTTTACCTAGCAGTAAGTAGCAACCTGATTGATTGGCGGATCACTTTGTGGGGGTAATAATCCCTGGAAAATAAAAGTCAATCCAAGACTGTTCGTGGGACACTGCAGTGCTTTTTGCCAACAAAAAACACAGTCAATCTACTTTACAGTATATTCTGTGAAATGCTTTGAGACATCTCAGCGACATAATAAGCCACTATATCAAATGCAAGGATTATTATTATTAATTAGAGAATACATGTGTGCTATGGAAACTGTTACAGTGGGTTACATCAGTAATGCTGGTTAAGTGCCCAGAAGTTGTTTTTTGAATGAAGCATCAACACATACTGTCTGGCTGCTTGTGCTTCTCTGCATCTGTAATAGTTTCCTGGATCTTTTGGTTCGAAGAAAAAATAATTGGACAAAGGTCTTATTGCAACGTAGGCAATAATAATCCTGGCATCTGTTACGCAGAAAATCTGCTGATACTGATCGTAGCTGTTCATATCTAGTCAGTTCATATAAGCTTTGTTGAAGGTTGGAGTCACCTGTAATTTGAAGTTCAGTTCCATTCCTTTTTGTCTGACATGGGCAGAAACCCATTGCTATGCTAAACGAGTATCCAATCTGAGTTTCATACATGTATGGAAATTTCTGCTTGTGTGGGTTGGACTGCACACTGTCTCCCCAGAGGGTCGTAGTACGCTCGCATAATCCTGGAAAGTATAATGTTGGTAGGTTGACAAGACCCAAGGTTTGAAACCCCAGAGTGTACTTTGGGGTACTGCTAGAATTCAACCAGGTAAAACCATGCAGCTTGCCATTGTGAACTCTTTGGCTAGCTTCCTGCTTTTTGTCCATTTAGGTCTACCCTACTCATGTGGGCTTTAGCTTGCAGGGTTAACAGGAGCCGAGTTGGAAGAATCAAAGCTTACAGAAACTGGTCTGCTGCTCCAAGTCCTGTTGACAGGCCAGGTGGACTGGTCCCTCATCAACAATAACAGTACATATTGTGCCTGTCACATCGGATAATGTCTCAGAGCGCTTCATAGTGGTAGTACTATCAACAATACCTGGGAGTACTGCAGACCCATGACTCAGGAACTGGAATACTGATTCTGGGATCACCTCTCGACTGGTACATCCTGGGCTAGAGGAAAGGTGGACAGAAACTACTCTGATGTGTTTACTTCAGCACATTTCTCTGCAGTTTTAATCATTTCTCTGACCATGCCGGTCACGTCTCTTTGCAACAACTTTACATAACAAATGCAGTGACTAAGCTTTAGTGTTGAGGAAGCTGCTGCTGAAAGAATTTCCCTCTGAGGCTACAGAAAGCATTGAGTCAGGCCACAATAAGCCAGGGAGACAGAAACTGAGAAAGGAGGTCAGTGAGCATTTCTTTACACAGGGGGTTGTGAACATGTCGAATGTACTGCCCCAGGAATCAATAGGGACGTTTAAAAGAGATACAGTGGTAGAGAATGTTCCAAGGGACAGTGACACAAGCAATCTGAGTTTTTTTTGAGGGAATTTGGATGTGGGAGGGATGCAATAATAATTCTTGCATTTTTGATACAGCGCCTTATCACATCGTTGAGACGTCTCAAAGCGCTTTACAGAATATACTGTAAACTGAATTGACTGTATATTTTGTGCGCGAAATGTGGCAGCCAATTGTGCACAAAGTGTCCCACAAACAGTCGAGAATTGAGAGACCACATTTTTTTAAGGGATTATTACTCCCGGAAAGCGATCTGCCAATCGACTAACAACATACTGCTAGGTAAGCAGACGTGTGTGGAGTAAGAAAACTTGCTTAAGGTTTCACCCCAGCCGGGAATCAAAACCAGGTTCTCTCGTTTGCGAGGCGAGAGCTCTAACCAATATGCTATAGGATTCCAAACCAATAAGCACACCTTTCTTTACATTTGTAGCAGTAGATCTCTTAACATTCACCTCAATCACAAAGGAAATAGGACCTTGGTCTAAAAATGCGCTTGAAAAGGGGAACAATGGAGCTCTGGTGTCATCTTAGCTCAGTTGGTAGGGCTCTCGTCACTGAGTCAGGAGGTTGCAGGTTCAAGCTCTATGTCCTCTCGAAGTGAAAGTCGCTATGCAAATGTAATCTGTTAAAAAAAAGGCAAAATATTGCAGATGCTGGAAATCTGAAATAAAAACAGAAGTTGCTGGGAACACTCAGTTGCCTGATCTACTGAGTGTTCCCAGCGACTACTGTTTTCATTTGTAATTTGTTGTTGTTGGGACATTGAGCTATTTAACACTCCAATGCAGTGGCGTCCTACTGAAGTTAAATTGTGGTCGGGTCTGCTTGTTCAGGTGGACACTAAAGAGCTCATAATACTACTTGAAAAGAGAAGAGAGTTTCTCCTGGTGCCCTTGCCAACAATCATCCAGACAAAAGGCTGTTTGTGGGAAATTGCTTGTGCACATTGGCTGCGGCATTCACCTGCAAAATGCACAGAAACTACAATTTGCAGAAAATTCTGTGAAGCGCTGTAGGCACTATATGAAATGCAGGGATGATTATAATTCGGATTTGTTCACAATGTAGTACCTGATCTGTGTCTTTGTTATTGTTTATAGATTGCGATACACAACCCTAGCCTCTTGCAAAGCTTCTCTCTCTTATTTCAGTGAATTGAGTCGTTTCTAATAGCGGGAGATATGTTTGTCTGGTGATGCGCTCACTGTGTGGGAGAGTGAAATGGGTGGTGGAACTCAGACAGGAAAGTGTCCAGGATGCTGAGGAAAAACGATCAGCGAGAGAGGAAAATTTGACATATTTACGATGCGCTTATGCAAGAAAATATAGCATTGGTTTCAAAAACAAAATGATTTGTGCAATTACTGAAATTTACAAGAGGTTTAACTGTTTTATTGATGCTCTGGAAACAGTTTTGAAAATAAAGGACTCAGTTATATCGTTTTGGGTACCTGCCCACTCTCAAAACAGCCGAGATTGAGGGAGATATCTTCCAAGGCATTTTAACCTCACCCCCAAAGCAGCCGACATTCTCATCCATACTCCCGTCACCCCTCGCCTTGACCACTCCAAAGCCTTCCTCGCCGATCTCCCGAGCTCCATTACCCACAAACTACAACTGTTACAGAACCCCGCCGCCTATATTCTCACACTGACCTCTGTATCCCCAACACACGAGTATACGCCAGGCTCTACTGGCTCTCTACCACAGAACGGATCGATTCAAGATCCTCTCACACGTCTACAAATCCTTTCACGGCCTGGCACCTGCCTACCTCTCTGACCTGCTTTCTCCCCACTCCACCACCCACTGCCTCTGCTCGGCTGGCTCTGGTAGGGGGTTAGGAGGTCGGAGAGGTAGCGGGGAGCAAGACTGTGGAAGGCTTTGAAGGTGAAAACCAGGATCTTGAACTGTATCCTCTGTGTGATGGGAAGCCAGTGGAGTTGGGCAAGGATGGGGGTGATAGGGTCACGGAGCCGTGTGGGAGAGGATATTACAAGCCAAAATATGCCAAGGACAGACAATAAATCTGAACTAGACTTGACTTTATGCACGGAATGAATGCACAGGCCCCACCATGTAAGACTAAGATGTGCGTCAGTTAGTATTACATGCTTTAAGCTGCACACAGTCCTGTGATTGATGGATCTGAGCAACATTGGATCCATGTCTCTGGGCAAGCACAGAGAGCAGCTCAGCTGTACCTCCAGCAACTGTTTATTTTGCCCAAGACAAAATGAGGTCTACTTTGTGCTGACTGGCGTTTGCCTCGTTGTTGTTGCATTTAGCCACCCACCCTCCTCAACACACAGTAATGGGGCAAGGGTCAGAGCCTATCCATCAGGAAAACTTAGATCTCTGTCTCACCATTGGTAACCAAGCCTTCAGCAACTTCACCCTTTTGAACTCTCCCTCCACCACTGCGCCTCACCTCCCCTCTCTATCTGTTTTTATATCCTGCTTAATTGCCTACCTCTTTAACACCCCCCCACCCTTGCTTGGCATCCAATATTACTCCATGAAGCGTTCTGAGACATTGCCCTACATGCAGGACGAGATATAAATGCAGGGTGTTGTTGTCGGAAGGCTGTTTTTTGATCAGTGAACTGGAATCAGTCTGTCTCTCCTGAGCGTTATTTTGTTCTTTTTATTATTAAACCGGACAACAAATTTGTTGAATGCCTGACTAAAATTGTCGGGAGTTTGAGCTCACAGTCTCGGCTGACACTCCAATTCAGTACTGGGGGGAGCGCCCATCAGTGATGTGTGCTTTGTTGGCCAATAATTCTCCAGATAAATTGGTCATTAACTTCACGGCTGCTTGTGGGACAATGCTAAGCACAAATTGATTGCAACAGTTAAACAATATCAACACTTGACAGTAATTCCCTGTGAAGCGCTTTTTTTGTTGTTATAGCTGCTATAATATTATCTAACTCACATGGCACTGTCCCTGAGCCTACACCCCCCCGTTTCCCTAGATCGCTTGACCTTTCTCTTTTGACTCTTCTGTAGGTAACAAAGGCACCGTGGCTGGACGACCACAAGTTAAAGGCATTTGACGAGCAGGCTTATCTGGCCAGGAAGCAACTCAATCCTGGCGCCGATCCCTATGGGAATCATGCCTTCAACCAGCAGGAGAGTGACAAGCTGGCCAGCGACCGACCCATTCGCGACACAAGGCACTACAGGTAACGAATGGCAGGTGCACCATCAAGCCAATAAGAGGGTAAAATGGTACTCTACCTCTCCCCCAATTAAAAAATAGCCAATGTCATGTCTACATTGTTGGCCTACAAAATATGATCACTACTTTACAGTATATCCTGTGACGTACTCTGAGACAATGTCTTGTCATGAAAGGCTCCATATCAAACGTGAGGATTACTATTGTGATAATGAGATGAAGCTCCACCAACAGATCAGGTTTCACATACAGTGTACTAAGGTTTCAGTTTGGTGCAGTTGGTAGCATGCTTGCCTTTGGTTCAGAAAGGCAAGCCGTCAGAGTCCTGTGCAGTGATGAGGGAGTGCTGTGTTGTCAGAATGAGACTTTAAACCAAGTCTGCCTATAGAGATGGACATTAAAGATCCCACAGATCTATTCCGAAAGAGAAGGGAGTTTCTCCCGATGTCATGGCCAACAAATATAATTGGTCATTCACTTCATGGCTGTTTGTGGGACATTGCTGTGTGCAAATTGACTGCTGTTTCTGCCTGAAAAATACACTCCCTGTGTGCAGTAGATGATTCAACATTCAAATAGTAGCTGCACCTTACAAAGGATCCTGTAAAGTGCTTTGAGACGGCCTCATGACGTGAAAGGCAACAGCAAATGCAAGGATTATCATTTAATGAGTGCAGCGTCCTGGTCTCAACTACCTTTCCCGGCAATCTGCTCCAATCTTTACCCCTGGGTAAGAATCAGCTCTTAATTGCGGTAATGAAACAGAGCACTGAATCCCATTTCACTTTCACAGTTTTGACAGCTGTTCCGAGGGAAAAGATTTTTGTGGCTTCCTGTCAGATTACTGTTCTGCGTCATCACTCCCCAGGTGCGGTGGATGATTCAACATTCAAATGCTGAATTTAAGCCCTGAAATAATCAAAACCCTGGGCACATAATGTCCAGAATTTCATTTGCTTTTATTACATGAACATTAATTGGATCAATAAAGGAGAGAGAGAGCAGAGGCAGTAACTGCCTTATTCATTAAAAAAAATCCCCCTGAGCTTCATTAATTTTATTTTTCTGTCTTCCAAGCATGTTGTGATGTTCTTGAGCAAATAAAACATGAAATTTTTCCTGTATAATATTTCCCATCAGATCACAGACTGTTTACAGCACAGCGAATCGTGCATATTTTACACAGAGGATTATTAGGAAGTGCAAAGCTTCAGCTAGGACTTTGAATCAGAATCTTTATCAGAATCTTTTGTAAGAGGGGAATAAGACAAGCCTTTCATTTCTTTAATGTAATTCCAATTCATGGGCCACTGGCACGAGTATTGGGGAAGATGGGAGCTTTTCCAAAGGAATGGGCTCCACCTAAATAGGGCTGGGACAAATGTCCTGGCTACGCGAATAAATAGGGAGGTAGAAAGGGCTCTAAATTGCTAAGGGGGGGGGGGAGGTAAAAACATAGTAAAGTATAGTCCACCACAGTTAAACTTGAGATCAACAAAAGCAAGAGAGCAGATTAACAAGGGAGAAGAGCAAAGTGTGTCAAGCAGGGAAAGGAAGTACAGTGATAGAGTGCTGGTGAATAGGGTTAATAGCCAGAAGTCAGAATTAAGGTGCTATATCTGAATGCACGAAGCATTCGTAACAAGATAGATGAATTAGTTGCACAAATAGAGACAAACCGGTATGATCTAGTAGCCATCACCGAGACATGGTTACAGGGTGATCAGGGATGGGAACTGAATATTCCCGGCTACGTGGTATATAGGAAAGATAGGCGATGTGGTAAACGAGGAGGGGGAGTGGCCCTGCTAATAAAGGATGGGATAAAAACAGTAGAGAGGAAAGATTTTAAATCTGAAAAGCAAGATGTAGAGTCAGTATGGGTAGAGATACGTAACTTCAAGGGGCAGAAAACTATAGTGGGAGTAGTTTATAGACCCCCAAACAGTGGTCAAAGTATCGCTCAAGGTATAAATCAAGAGATTAGTGGAGCATGTAGCAAAGGAAAGACACTAATTGTGGGTGATTTTAACCTGCACATAGACTGGGACAACCAAATTGGGAAAGGTAACATAGAAGAGGAGTTTATAGAATGTATTAGAGATAATTTTCTAGATCAATATGCTGAGGAGCCGACCAGGGAACAAGCCATATTAGACCTTGTTTTGTGTAATGAAACTGGAACTTAAGGCTCCTCTAGGGCAAAGCGATCATAATATGATGGAATTTAGCGTTAAGTTAGAGAGGGAAGTAGTTAAGTCTGAAGCAAAAGTCTTCAATTTAAATCGAGCCAACTTTGCTGGTATGAGAGAGGATTTAGCCAGAATAAACTGGGAGACTAAACTTAAAGATTTGACGGTAGACCAGCAATGGCAGACATTCAAGGAGATAGTGCAAAATTCCCAACGAGCACATATTCCTTTGAGGAATAAGAATGCCATGGGAAAGGTGGTGCAGCCATGGCTAACTAGAGCAGTTAGGGAAAGTATCAAATCAAAAGAAAAAGCCTATAAAACAGCGAAGATGAGTAGTAAACCCGAGGATTGGGAGAACTTTAGGGAACAACAGAGGAGGACCAAAAAATTGATCAAGAGGGAGAAAATAGATTACGAGGGCAAACTAGCAAAGAACATAAAAACAGACTCCAAGAGTTTTTACAAATATATAAAGAGGAAAAGGCTAGCGAGGGTGAATGTGGGTCCATTACAGGCAGAGACCGGAGGAATTATAATAGGGGACAAAGACATGGCAGAGTCATTAAACAAGTATTTTTCTACAGTCTTCACCGTAGAAGACACTGGAAACATACCAAAAATAGAGGACCAAGAAGACAATGTTAGCGAGCAACTTAGGGAGATTAACATTAGTAAAGAGATGGTTCTAGGTAAATTGTCGGGTCTTAAAACCGATAAATCCCCTGGACCGGATGGCCTGCATCCGAGAGTTTTAAAGGAGGTGGCTACTGAGATAGTGGATGGCATGTCTATAATCTTCCAAAAGTCTGTGGATACTGGAAAAGTTCCCATTGATTGGAAGATTGCAAACGTAACTCCACTATTTAAGAAGGGTGGGAGAGAAAATAGGGAAAACTATAGACCAGTTAGTTTGACGTCAGTTGTAGGGAAAATTCTTGAGTCCTTAATAAAAGACGTAGTTATGGGATACCTGGAAGACCATAAAAAGATTAGGCAGAGTCAACATGGCTTTACAAAAGGGAAGTCATGCTTGACTAACCTTTTAGAATTTTTTGAGGATGTATCCAGCAGGTTGGATAAGGGGGAACCAGTAGATGTGGTATATTTGGATTTTAGGAAGGCATTTGACAAGGTGCCACACAAAAGGCTGTTACTCAAGATCAAGGCCCACGGGATTAATGGGAAAATATTAACATGGATAGAAGAGTGGCTATCGGGTAGAAAGCAGAGAGTAGTGATAAACGGATCATTCTCGAATTGGCAGGATGTAACTAGTGGAGTGCCACAAGGATCAGTGCTTGGGCCTCAGCTATTTACCATTTACATCAATGATCTGGACGAGGACATTGAATGTAATGTGTCTAAATTCGCGGATGATACTAAACTAGGTAGCAGAGTGAGCTCTCAGGATGATGCAAAAAGATTGCAACAAGATATAGATAGGCTCGGGGAGTGGGCAAGTAGGTGGCAGATGGAATTCAATGTTAGCAAGTGTGAAATTATTCACCTAGGTAGCAAGAATAAAAGAACAGATTATTTTCTGGAAGGGGAGAAGTTAGATAGTGTTAGTATTCAAAGGGATTTGGGTGTCCTTGTACACCAGTCCCAAAAAGTTAGTTTGCAGGTGCAGCAAGCAACTAAGAAGGCGAACGGCATGTTAGCGTTCATTTCGAAAGGTTTAGAATATAAGAGTAGGGAAGTCTTGCTGCAACTGTATAGGGCTTTGGTGAGACCGCACCTAGAGTATTGTGTGCAGTTTTGGTCTCCTTATTTAAAAAAGGACATACTTGCCCTAGAGGGGGTGCAGCGTAGATTCACTCGGTTAGTTCCTGGGATGAGGGGACTGACCTATGAGGATAGGCTGAATAAACTAGGGCTGTATTCTCTAGAGTACAGAAGAATTAGGGGGATCTTATTGAAACTTATAAGATTCTTAAAGGGCTGATAAAGTAGACACTGAGGGACTGTTTCCCCTGGTAGGAGAATCTATAACCAGGGGTCACAGTCTTAAAATTAAGGGTCAGCCTCTTAGAACAGAGTTGAGGAAACATTTCTTCACTCAGAGGGTAGTGAACTTATGGAATTCACTACCCCAGAAGGCTGTAGATGCTCAGTCCTTGAACATTTTCAAGGCTGAGACTGATAGATTCTTGAAAAATAGAGGGATTAGGGGATATGGGGATAGGGCAGGTAATCAGAGTTAGGTGAGAAGATCAGCCATGATCTTATTGAATGGCGGAGCAGGCACGAAGGGCCGAACGGCCTACTCCTACTCCTAATTCTTATGTTCTTATGTAAAGTGTACTGACTATTTTATAGGCGATAGAAGCAGTCATTTTGCGCATAGCAATGTCCCACAAACAGCCAGGTAATTTTACACAAGTTATAAACGTTGTACTGTGGCCTTAATATTTGATGGACATGTTCTCCTCTCCCCCTCCCACTACAAAACCGGTGGGGGGGGCAACGTCAATTTGTCTTTGTATTTTTTTACCATACCTTATCCTAGATGCGGACATTCAAGCCGCAATCATTTGGCCTCTGGCGACGCCAGTGGTGGTGTAGGAAGTTTTAGAACTAATACAAAACAATTCACCTTGGAATTTGTCACTATCTTTCCATTTTTCAGCTGAGGACACAAACACACACAGCTCAGGATAAGGGGACCGAATGTCAATTCAATTAAATGCAAATTATTGCATGGAAACTCCATGGATGGGATAAAATTCCCCAAGCGGGCCACTGCTGGAACAGATCTAGGAGTGTTAATTGAAAAAAAATTAAAGTGAAAAATTAAATTAAAAAAACAATAATTGACTCATCGCTCATCATGTCAAAACAATGTAAAGGCAGAAATAAACAAGGCAAACGGAATGCTGGGCTATACTGCTAAATTAGATGAGATCAGATCTTCAGATGTCAAGCTCAAGCTATACCTGGTCAGATTGCATACAAGTCTGGTCACCACAACATAAGGGGGCTGACCAAGTCCTAGAAGCAGTGCAGAGGAGAGCAATGGGGATGATCCCCAATGCTAGGCAAGCAAGGTCTCTTCATTTTTGTTCATTAATAATAATAATCCTTGCATTTGATATAGTGCCTTATCAAGTCATTGAGACATCTCAAAGCGCTTCATAGAATATATTGTAATGGAGATTGAATGTATATTTTATGGGCGAAACACGGCAGTCAATTGCGCACAGCAGTGCCCCACAAATGGTTTTGGATTGAACGAACATTCTTTCTGGAGGGATTATTACCCCTTATCATTATGTTTACAACAGAATTATCATTAAAACAGAATTATCATTCTGTTTCAGAGGGGATTTATAGAGGTGTATAAAATTTTAAGTGTGTTTGTGAAAGTAAACCCAGAACAATACTCTCGGTTACACCAAGGCAATTGATCAAGAGAACATGCTTTCAGGGTTGAAAACGGCAATATCAGGAGACACTAGGAAGTATTTATAATAATCCTTGCATTTGATATAGCGCTTTTCACGTCGGGAGGACGTCCCAAAGCGCTTCACAGAACACACTGTAAAGTGAATTGACTGTATATTTGTGGGCGAACGCGGCAGCCAATTGCGCACAGCAATGTCCCACAAACAGTAGTAGATTGAAAATGACCAATTTAATTATTGTTTTTGGTTTTTGGAGGGATTATTATTAGGCGTGTGGAGTAAGGAAACTTGCCCAAGGTTTCGCCCTGACCTGCCTGGAATTGAACTCAGGTCTCTCACTTGCAAAGCGAGTGCTCTAACCGCTGAGCTACAGGACTCCTATTTCCAGAGGGTAACTGACAACTGGAGGAGGGCATCAGGAATGATGATTGAAGCAGACGTATTTAACAAGCAGCTTGATGCTGTGATGAAGGACAATAGAGTGGGCATGTGGAAAGATGAGATCACATGAATTGAAGGGCTTTTTCATCTAAACTTCTCTTGTGATCTTCTGAATGTCTGATAACCTGTTTGCCTGCATAACACACAATTTACACCTTGCACTTCACACTGAATCTTATGAAACGCTTTGAGATGTCCTCCTGACACGAAAGGTGCTATATTAAATGCAAGGATTTATGATTATCAGGGCGAAACCTTGGGCAAGTTTCCTTACTCCACACGTCTGATAATAATCCCTCAAGAAAAATAAACAATAATAAATTGGTCACTTCAATCCACGACTGTTTGTGGGACACTGCTGTGCGCAACTGGTCACCGCGTTTCGCCCAGAAAAATCTAGTCAATTCACTTTACATTATATTCTGTGAACTGCTTTGAGACGTCTAGAAGAAAAGCGCTATATCAAATGCAAGGATTATTTTTATTTTTTATTATTATAATTGCTGTTCAATCCCTGGATCAACTGGGCGAGCATTTCGAAGGGTGTCAGAGAAATGCTAGTACCTCAACCACAACTGTCTGTCTTAACATGTGATTGATTCCTGTACGTTCACTTTCTCTCTTCCCAATCTTACCAAATAAACATCACATAACCATCATTCCTCCACACACGCCCATTGATATCCCGGCCTAAAAGTGATTGATCAGTCTGATCACCATCGGTTTTTCACACCAGCCCAGCTCGAGACCTCTGAGACTACACGCCTTTTTTATTGTAGCCCAGTAAAGTGGTATTGTGAAATCTAATCCAGGTTTTCACGTTGATGTGAGGAATCGCATTCAGCTCATGAATCTCGAGCAAAGATCAACCCGCGGGTCGTCTGCCATCCCGGCAACGGCAAGCTACTTAGCGCCGTTGCCTGGAGACGCTCAAATCGCCATGGTGACCGTCCCCTGGTGATGAATGACGTGCCATTCAGTGAACGAAGCAGCCGTCAGTCATGCAATGTTATCCCCCTCGGGGCTTCCCTGCGATGGTCCAGTGAGTTCGTGCAGTGAGCAGCTGAGCCGTACAGATCGGGAGGGTTTCATGGCTTAGGCTGAGTTACCTGATCTCAGCTGGGGCAGCAGAAGGGGATTTACAATGCACCTCCAGGGCATTGTTAATGACAGATCAGCCAGCGTGGCTCATCAGCAGGACTTGGAGAAGTAGAGCAGTCACTGCGGGCTGGGATTCTTCTCACTTGGTGCCTGTATCATCCCGTAAACCAAAGCCCTAATAGGTAGGATGGTCCTAACTGAACAAGCAGCAGAAAGCTAGTTGGTGTTTACAAAAACAAACTAAATTCCAGTCGTACCATGACACACAATCTGGAATCCCCAAGCCTTGGTTCTTGCCAACCTGCACCAAAACTCTATGGGATTCAGTGAGCAGGGTGAGATCCATTCCAGACATCCGTGTCTGCCTTACTCAGTTTCATGTTTCAAGTCTCACGTTGGAATTCGGAATTCATATAGTTCACACTCTTAAATACAGTACTTCCATTGATGGAAGTGGCGTCCTTTGGATGAAATGTTTAACCGAGGTCCCATGTGCCTGTCTAGGTGGACGTTGGCAGGATTCGAAAAGAGAATGGGAATTGCTCTTGGTGTTCTGGACAACAATCCGCCAAATATAATTGCTCACTCACCCCTAAATCAGATACCTGGCAGACTTTAAAAAAACAAATGAACTCAGTGTCCTGGGTTGAGGAGAGGTGCAATAGGAGCTGATAGTTCAGGTCATCTGGTACTCACATTCACCTGCCGTCACTGCCTTTTACTGTAAGATCCTGTGAAGCGTTTTGAGATGGGATATGGGACTAGGGATAGGGTCTGAATGTCTGATCTACTGCTTGCTGGAGGGATAACCTATTTGCCTACATAATACACAATTTACACCTTGCTCTTTACAGTGAATCCTGTGAAGCGCTTTGAGATGTCCTCCCGACACGAAAAGTCCTATATCAAATGCAAGGATTATTTTTATTTGGTCAGCTGAGTGTCTGACACATGGAGAAACCCATCACCATGCTTAACAGTATTCAAACCATTTTTCCTAAACAATGGCAATCCCAGAGATGGATTGTTGGAGGGTCGGAGCCTGCTTAGCTAATTCTGGAAAGTATTACAACAGCAACAATTTGCATTTATGTAGCGCCCTTCACCCCGGAGTCTGGAGTGTTTAACAGTTGCGGAGTCTGACCCTGAGCCAGAGGGAGATGGAGGGGGGAAGTCAGCATAAGCACAATCATCAAGGAAGGTCTTTAGGAGAAAAGGCCATTTAGTATATGAAAGCCCACTCCTCCACACACCTTGGCTGCCCCATTGGAGGCTTCACCTTACCCACTAACTCAGTTCTGCTTAGTTAATGCCTAATGTTAATAAGTGTTCCATCCCTATGTCTCCACTATTGAAACTGGAGCTCTTCCCTCCCAATCCCTGGAGCATGTAAAAGTGTCCCATGGAGTATTTGTGTGATTTATTTAGCACCTGATCCTATATTCGTCCCAATACAAGTTTCAAGTAGATGCGTATCCAGCTCTTTGTGGGAGAAGCTACCGCAGTGTGAACTGACATTAATAAGCGTTTTGTGTGCAATGAGTTTTAGATTGAGAGGAGGGAATGAACAGCTGGATTGCTCAATTAAGCAATCTAGCACTAAATTGCAGTGGTTGGGGCACATGGCTCGCAAGCAAGAGGACCCAAGTTCAATTCCCGGGTGGGGTGAAATCTTAGGCATGTTTCCTTACTCCACATGCCTTTGTTCAGCGCCTTGGGACGTCCTCCCGACGTGAAAGGCGCTACACTCTTGTTTTTGTTGCTGTTTACCTAGCAGTAAGAAGAAACCCGTTTGTTAGTCGATTGGCGGATCGCTTTCCGGGGGTAATGATCCCTCCAAAAAAAATGATCACTTAATCCACCACTGTTTGTGGGACACTGTTGTGCTCAATTGGATGTCGTGTTTCACCCACAAAATACAATATATTCTGTGAAGTGCTTTGAGATGTCTCAACAATGTGATAATCCGCTAGATCTAATGCAAGGATTATTATTAAATCAGTAAGGCCACTGTGTGAGGTGATGGGGAAACAAAGATCACACTGATCCAGAGGGGCTATGGTACATTGCAGGGGAGGAGTGGAGGGAGTTTCATGTTACGTTAAGGATCGGTGACCTAATCCGAAAACACGGCATGTTTACAAAACAGATTCCATCAGAGCAGGGGGGCTGATCGATTCCCATTGTAAAGACTTAGCAAAAAAGATCAACTATCTTTATTGATCGGTGTACATCAGGTCTTATCACTCCCTCATCAAAGCTCCATAGACACTTGGCCTCTGTTGTAAGGACAAAGGTTACTGACTAGTCACCATCTAATGGAACATCTGGGTTTACTTAGAAGCTTGTTAGGGTGAAAGGGGCCAGATTTTTTTGTTTGAGTAAAAGCATGAGGTGAGGGAAGTTTAAATTGCAGCATTTAGTGACAGGATTAAGTTTCTTATCAACTGAGCGAATAAAGTATAGAGCCTGCTTCCACCCTCTCCCCACTCCTCCCCACCTCCCCCAACAAAGCCTGAAAGCCCACCCAGTCTTTTAGACCATTTTGTCTTAAGAGTTAAGATCGCTCAGAATTGCGTTAAATTTTTACTTCCAGACTTAACTCGCCTACAAAATGCACAGTCCCTCCGCCTCGCCCCCTGCCTTGCCTCCTTCAAGACCCACTTCAAGACCCTCCGCTTCGACCGTGCCTTGGGTCACCCTCCTATCCCTACCCTCACCGCCCTCCACGGATCAGGTGCAGGTCCCTGACTGTCCAGCGACTTAGGATGTCCTCCTGACGAGAAAGGTGCTATGCAAATGTAATTTGTTGTTGTTGTTACAGATGTGCTTCTGTTCAATACAATAAGGACTTTCTATCAACCAGCATCATCATCACATTCCACAACGAGGCTCGCTCCACTTTACTCCGCACAGTGAAGAGGTGAGTTCCGTTCCCTCCCCCCGCGTCTCTGAGTCACCGACATATGTGTCCTCAGTCTCAGCAACGAATAGCCTACTGCTGTGTTGAGAATATCATCCAGAGCTCTGCAGCCTGCATTTTCTCCCACACAACCCCATCACTCTGTTCCTCGCCAGCTCCCTATTCTCCAATGGATCGAATTTCATCTAATTATTTTTACATTCAAATGCACTCCCTCCTCTCAAACCCAGGCCTGCTTCGTAAGTTCCTCACCCTCTGACCCAGCATCAGTGGGCTAGCTTTCAGCAACCCCTTTAATATTATTTTTCCTGATGCGTTTTCCTTTAAAATTGCTAATATGACCTTGGCTTCAGCAGCCACTTGCGGTGTGGCTTACCACATGCTAACCTTTAATATCCTTCCCCAAGTAATCCTATTCCCTTTTAAATGCTGTTATTGGACTCTTGCCTTCCACAACCATTTGTGGCAAAAGCCATTTGTACCCTAACAACTCCTGGTGTTGAAAGAAATCTTCTAACTTCACGCTTCCTTTTTTTTGGTCAGCTGGGTGTCTGACACATGCGGAAACCATTCACCATGCTTAAGAGTATCAGAACCAAACTGAGAACTCCATGCATCCCACCTACACAAGTTCCAGAGATAGATTGTTAGAATGGAATGCACACGCTTTCTGGAGGGATGCATCCTGCTTACCTAATTCCGGAGAGTATTAGGCACAGGTTGGCAAGAGCCAAAGCATGGGGACACCAGAGTGTGCACTGGGGTAACTGCTGGAGTCTAACCAGCTAAAACCGCATAGCTTGCCAATTATATCGCTGGTAGCTTCTTTCTCCTGTTGATAATGCTTCACTGATTCCCTCTTGAGCCACTTAACTTATAACTACTAGGTTTGTAGAGATGCTGCCATTCATATCGTTGCATCTTCCATTTGCAAATAAATAGAACTTTGCTGAAGGGGGTAGAGTCCCTTTAAATAGTGGTTAAAAAAAAGAACCTCTGATCCGTGACTTCTCCTTCCCCCAACGCCCTCACCCCACCCCTTCACCTCGATCAGCGCCACATGTCCAAACAATTTCTAAACATATTAAACATGAGAGAGCAGGAAATGACTGTAACATGCTAGTTACGGTATCAACTCTGGCACTAGACTCCAGACTCTCGCTTAACACTCCATAATATTGTGTTAGACCTTTATCTGAAAACTTCACCAACCTTTCAAAGAGTTCTATTATTAAGAGATGGCTGCTATTAGCCATGGGAGCTAATGATTGCCAGTTTTCTAAATGTTAGATCAAAGTAGTCTGGTTAGAGCAGATGCCTGTTCACCACAGGTCCTTGTACTGAGCACAACATTACATTTAAAATAAAATCACATTAACCACAGGGAGAAACGTGTGCACATTCAAGGTGAGGGTCGTTAGTACTGAGAATGGAACACTTTCCCACATACTCGTGTTGTGGATACACATGTGCTGAAGTCACTGCACAGCAGAGTCTGCTTCCCACTGGCATTGTCTGCCCACATCTCCTGCTACGTAAAGTCTATTTCAGTAAATGCTGCCAAGCATAGTGACTGCTTTTGTGACACAAACGTGACAGCCCTTTTGCACATAAAAGGTCATAAACAGCCACGTGAAGCACTTTGCGACATTCTCCCAAAGAGAAATGCGCTATATAAATTTAAATTGGGTTGTCCTGAGTTGAATGACCACAATTCGCCTACAAATACAGTCACTTCATCTACGGGCTGGTGGCCAGGACAGTGGGAGAAACTTCCTTCTCTTTTCAAATAGTGTCACAGGATCTTTAAAGTCCATCTGAACAGGCAGGATGGGAGTTTGGTTGAAAGTCACATCTGAAGGATGGCGCCTCTGACAATGCAGTGCTTCCCCCAGCACTGCACTGGAGTGTCAATCTAGACTATGAGCTCAAAGTCCCATCATTGCCTTTCGGCTTGATGCTAGAATTATTTTTAATAAAAATGTCAAAATGTGAAAAACTCAAGAGACAAGCGTTTCCAGACATCCTAGTTGCTCAAAGACATCAGTCATCCCCAGTATTAGGTTTCTGGCTCAATCCCTTGCTCTCCAGAATAACTGAGTTGTTATAAAACAGCTGCACTTCTTCCAAATAAACCCTAAGCTTGGAAACTTGTTCCATGGGAACCACATGAGGAGGAATCAGGTACCAATGAGATCCAAGTAGGTCAATGCATTGTGCCAACAGAGCACCTGGTCATCGCATTCTTTAGAAGAAGTGAGTCATTTGAATGTTTTTTTTAATATACATGGAGAAACCAAAGCTTTGGTTACAGGACACCACCAAGGCTGAGTAGAGAAGAGACAGATCAAAGAAGTGGTATTTTGGAGAAATTGGGGATTAAAATCCTGTGGATTGTGGAGGAGGAAGAGAAGACAGAAGAACAAAAAGAATTTCACAGTTGGGGAGCACTGGGAAGGAATGAGTTAGGTTTTACACACAGTAACCTTACAGGGAGAGTGAATTACAATGATAATTTACATTTATACTTCATGTTCATGTAGGAATTTTACAAACAGCTTTACAAAGACAAAGTAAGAGCCTGAGCTGCAAGGGAGACGGGGTTGTGGGGGGGAGTAGGGAGGAGGATGGGTGGCTGTGTGGTAAAGTCAAAGAAATAGGCCATCAAATAGGTTTTTGAGGAAGGGGTGAGGCTGAGGGAGGTGGGCAGAGAGTTTCAGAGGGTGGGGCAACGTGGCTGAAAGGTCAGTCACAGATGGTGGGGTGGAGCATGTGTGTGTGGGTGGGGGGGCATGAGGCAGGAGGAAAGCGGTCAGAACCTGGATGAAAGGTTTGAAGAAGAGTTGAGAGCCGAACAAAATGCAGAAGTTCTGCATAGCCTGGCTATACAAGTTGGAGTGGGTGACGGGTTGGTCAGTGACTGTCGTTGGTGGCCTATTTGGAGCTGAGAGGAACCAGGGAAGAAAGTTGCAAAAGAAAAGTGGAAGCTCGGATAAAGGTTAACTGCAGGTCATGGTAACATCTGGTTTTAGCAGGCGAGAATGAAAGGATTTGTGTTTCTGTAATGTGCTGGGAATGGCCTGATAAATTGTCACATCTAATCTCCTTCTGTCTCATTTTTCTTTTAGCATTCTCAACCGCAGTCCTCCCAGTTTAGTCCAGGAAATCATCCTCGTTGATGACTTCAGCACAGACCGTGAGTTAATTTGTTCAGCATCATCCCAATTGTGTTACAAACTGGATCCCCACTTATTAAGGGGCCCTTTAGCACCCTGGGACAGTACATGAGTGAGGCACACTATATAAATGCAAGTTGTTGTTGCAAAATGCAGAGCTGCCATTGTGGGAGGCAAAACCAGTGACTGGATGGATTAGGAGAGAGAGGATGAGATAGATCGACACATAGTGGTTAGGTGACACGAGGCGTGTGAATTTAATAATAATAAAATAACAATAATAATCGTCCTTGCATTTAATATAGACATCTCAAAGCTCTTCACAGTGTAAAGTGGATTGACTGTATTTAATGGGCAAAATGAGGCAGCCAGTTTGCACACGGTAGTGTCCCATAAACAGCCATTGAGTGATTGACCAATTTTATTTGGGGGATTGTTGGCCAAGTTGATCAGAGATTAAATGTAACAGGGATCAGTAGGCAGATGGTATTGGAGCAATAGTTGTAAGAGGGATCCAGCTTACATCCATAGCTTACTGTGCTGAGATTTTTCTGACTGAAATGTGACCCATTCACTGAGACGAGTGCGAAGTGGTGCAAGGGGGAGGATAGTAACCTGTTGCCATTTGTTTCTCTTTCAGCGGAGGACTGTCAACTTTTGACCAAGATTCCCAAAATAAAGTGTTTAAGGAACACGAGACGGGAAGGTAGGTTGGGATTCCTCAAAGCTCATGTTTCCCTTTTCCTCTCTCAGAGCAGGTGTTGTAAAATGATGTTGATACCCATCAATTACTAATTACAATAAATACTATTCGGTCCCTTTCACATTTCAAAGCTCTTTCCCGGAGATGAAGAGAAACTGAACAAGTTGGGAATAGATGGAATAGGAGGGAAGTGAAGAGGTAGGTTTTGAGAAAGATTTTGAAGGCATTGAAAGAAGGAGTGCGGACGGAGGGAATTTTTTGAGTGAGATCCAGGAAGAGGGAGCATTGAGGCTGAAAGCTCTCCGACTCTCCCTCACCATTTTCAAAGCCCACCTCAAGACTCGCCTCTTTTGGTCATCTTCCCCCCCCCAACTCTCTTCAGCCCCACATGCTTGGCTTAGTTGCCCAGAAAGCTGTGTAAAGTGTTTTGAGACGTCCTCCTGACTTGAAAGGTGCATATATATATGTATATATGTATGTAGTATTACACTCCTATTCCTAGGAGTTTACATCAAATAGGTAGAGATTACAGGGTCTAAGTCCTAGTATTCATGTCCAGTGAATTATAGACCCTGACCTGGTTCAGATGAAGGGCTGATACTCTCTATCAGTCCTGATCAAGTTTCTCTACCCAAATCTACAGATCTCAATAGTGTGATGCCTGCCCCATGCTTCGGTTTGTAGAGAAGAATTCTGGACTGGTTTCCATAGTGCGGTTCAGAAATATAGCAAACATGGCAGGCACAATATCTTTCATAAATAACTAAGTAGAAATCCCAGAGGAGTTCATTGCTCTTGACTCAGATGATATTGAATGAATTGAACATGTAATGGGATAATAGAACACAGACACCTTGTATCAAATCTGCTCTAAGTAGTAGGCACACAAGAATAGCAGAGCTAATAACGACAGATAAAGTACGCATAACCGAGGAGGGGATGAAATCAGTCGCTTTGTTTGTTGTTCAAGCAGACAAGGAGCCAGGCACTCCTCCTGATTTTGAATTTAGAGATCTTTTTCCAGAGCGTGCAGAAATTTGGTGAATTCTTAAATCCACTCTTATGTTTGAAGCCATTTTTCTGCATGCAAGGATTATTTTTATTATATGTTCTTTCAAGAAAAAATGGCTCCCAAATGAAGATCGAGTTTGAGAATTTGCTGATATTCCGAACTCTCTGAAACAGTACAGGGTGTCCATAAAAGTCCTGTTACCCCCTGTTATGAAACAGTGATACCAGACTACAGAGGAGCTGAAACAATCTGTCAGAGATGCATTTCACCTCCTCACTCTATCCATGTTATGGAAGATGTGGCACGGAACATGGCGATGGATCATTATTTGCCATGAAAATGATAGCGCTCACTCATTCACATCGATCCTCTGGATGTCTAAATTCAGTGAAACTCTTGAACTGAATACAATTAAGCACTTCTAAATACAATTATCATCACTTCCACGTGTTTCAGTTGTTGGTCAGCGCACTGTAGAAAAAAAATGGGGTAACGGGATATTGTTGACACCCTTTAGGTCTAAACCCAGGCGCAGTGTGTGGACCCAGGAGTAGAATAATCGTCCTCTGCTCGCCCCTGAACTGTAGAAAAGTGCCCACTACTGCTCCAGTGTGTCATTACCATTTGCAACTTACCTCAATCAAGAAGGTATCTGGGTTTCCATTGCAACGCTTCTGCTCCGAGGATGTTGGAACCTGAGAAACTTGCCCAAGTGGTGCTGATTGCACATTCACCTTTGGATCTCTTCACACACCTTTGGGCCCGTAGCATTCTTCCGGAGGCTCACATTATCAAGTTGCTGTGGCAATGGGCAGGTTCGCTGTAAAAAAGAACACACTTTTCTGTTAACAGGGCTGATTCGCTCCCGTGTTAAAGGGGCGGACGCTGCCACGGCGGAAGTCCTGACGTTTCTGGACAGTCACTGTGAGGTAAACAAGGACTGGCTTCAACCATTGCTACAAAGGGTTCATGAGGTGAGACTCCATATATTGTCCTACTCAGTAACGCAGCTCAGGCTGGGCTGGGCCGGGCAGTTACACATTTGTCTTAAAGTCTAGTTCAATAGTATATAATAATTCTTGTATTTGATATAGCACGTTAACATATCATTGAGACAACTCAAAGTGCTTTATATGATATACTGTAAAGTAGTTTGACTGTATAATGCAGCAACCAATTGTGCACAGCAGTGTCCCACAACCAGTCGTGGATTAAGTGACCACATTTTTTGGAGGGTGGATTATTATCCCTGGAAAGCGATCCGCCAGTTGACTAACAACTAGGTTCCTACTTACTGCTAGGAAAACAGAGGTGTGTGGAGTAAGGAAACTTGCCTAAGGTTTCATGTGTTCCATATTCCCTGGATGAACACTGAAACTGACTTGAGTGTCTATTTTTCTTTCCACTCAATCCTCTAGGATTATACCCGGGTGGTCAGTCCCATCATAGACGTCATCAGCCTGGACAACTTTGCCTATCTGGCTGCATCGGCTGATCTCAGAGGAGGTATGTACAGTTTTGTGATCCAGAAAGAACACAATACCTCCCAGTAACATAAAAAGGCTCTAAGGTCAAACAAGCCCATCCCATTATCATAAATTCACAAGATTGAACGAACAAGATTGGTTCAGATGGAGAATGCCTTTTGGTGTATTTGAACTCATCCTTCCAGTTTATCCATAGATGCTGTCACAGCATGGAGCTGTTTATCAAATGAGTCCAGTGTATTAGCCTCAACCACCTTTCCTGTTCCAGTCGTTAATTGCCCTTGAGGTAAAAATAAACTTCTGGTTGTCCTGAATATAGCTTTTTGCAACTCTAAACCTATGTCCTTGTTCGACTGTTGGTTCATGCTGAATTACTGTTCTGGGTTTACTTTTTCAATTCCATTTAATATTTTCACCTCTATGAGGTCCCTTTTGAGACTTCTCAAAAACTAAAGTCCGAGCTTGTTTAAAGCTCCTTGCTCCAGTGATATGTCTCATCCCATTTACCTGACACGATTTCCCTGAATATAGAAAGTCCCTGAGTTGCCTTTTGAAACATTTTATACCATCCACTTCACTGGCGGACTCTGTTCAATTATTCTACTTGCCTTTCACAATCTGTATCCAAAAAACACTCCTTCTAATTTCTCATCTTATTCCTAACTTTATAAATGTTTTAAAAACTCTGCTCCTGGTATTTGAATCCTTCACAATTTACTTTCAACCACGATCAGGACACCGTGTAGCTCACTGTTTCGCTCACTTTCTGGAAACCTTCCTCTCCATTCACTCTCTCTTTTTTTTTGTCAGCCGGGTATCTGACACACGTGGAAACCATGCTTAAGATTATCCAAACCAAACTATTTCCATGCATCCCACCTACACATGGAAATTCCTGAGATATTTATTCCAATGGAATGTGGTCTCCCTCCTGGGAGTCATGCATCCTGCTTATCTAATCCAGAAAGTATTAGGCGCAGATTGACAAGAGCCAAGACTTGGAGACCCCAGAGTGTGCCCTGGGGCTTACTGCTGGAGTGTAATCAGCTAAAACTGCATAGCTTGCCATCGAAAGCGCTGTCTGGCAAGCTTTCCCGCTGCTTGTACAGCTAGGTCCACCCTATCTGTTAGGGCTTTGGCTTGCAGGGTTAACAGGAGCTGAGTGGTAAGATTCCCTGCCCCCAATAATTCCCCTTCCAAGTCCTGCCGATGAGCCAGGCAGTGTGGTGCTGTCATCAGCAGTGCCCTGGAATACTGCCGACCCACCGGGCTCAGGAACTTGACTGCCAACACTGTTACAGAGGGCTGACTCGATTTGACATTCCGTTGCCAAACATGTCACCTTGGAGCCAGTTCAGTTCAAGGAGACCCTGCTTACCTCGTACCCAAGGAGGATAGTCACTAGTTGGTCATTTGACATCTGACAAGCGTGAGTTTGAGCCCTTACAAGGTGGATGGCAGGTAGCAGGAACTGCCTGTGTAGTAGGAACTCCCTATAAGCTTCCTGGTGGGCAACGCAGCTTAACATTAAGTGCATGAGAGCATTGCCACCATATTCCTGCACCACAACCTGGACACACATCCCTTCCCATATCTCTCACTCATTGCAATAGTTTGTATGAATCTAAGGCAGCCACAAACAAATTCTCAATACCGTCCACAGCCTTGAACTGCCCTTCATTCCGCCCTAAATTAGCACTAAATTATAAATCCCGCTCAAAAAGCAGGGAAATAAAAAATCTTATATCTGTCCAGTAGGGGGTGCTGTTCTGAGTTGCTAGTCATGTTGTGCTCGATTATTTGCACGTCTGACTTGCAGACCAGTAAGGTCCCAGGTCAAATCCCAATAGTTTTACTATATCCTTCACCCTTTCAATGAAGAATTCAAGGATCTTACCATCTTCCTCATAGGAGGGTTGGATGCATGCGGTTGATGGTAAATGGAAATTGAATTCATTTTGAAGAGACAAACTTGACAAACCCAGGAGCAGATTTCAGTAACACAAGGCATTGGCAACGGTAGACCAGCCTGTCTGGCTTGGAAATGAACTGTAATTACTTGGGAGGACTTAATTCAGCAGGTTTTTCTTGTCCGGACAAGGGGGCAAGGTCACTGATATTCTAAAGTTAGGCTAGAGGCACGATGCAGAGGTGAAGCAGGGGGTGGTTTTACTCTGCATCTGGCTTGTATAAAGGCTGACCTGACACGGGTATGTTTCCTTTAGGCTCTGGATTGAAAAATTCCTCCTGTCGCTCAGCGTAGACATCAAGTGACTTTGGAACAGTTCAGTCAACTGCGCCGCATTTAGTGTTTGCTCGATCTTCATCTGGACCTTGAAACATTGCTGTTTTCTTCCCTCCCCCCAAAATCAGGGTTTGACTGGAGTTTGCATTTTAAATGGGAGCAGATGCCAATCCAGCAGAAGATGGCAAGGACTGATCCAACACAGTCCATCCGGTAAGCCCTGTACATAGAATTATATAGAGTATATAGCACAGAAACAGGCCATTTGGCCCAACTGGTCTATGCCGGCGTTTATGCTCCACGAGCCTCCTCCTGCACTTCCTCAACTAAGCCGATCAGCATAACCTTCTGTCCCTTTCTCTCTCATGTATTCATCTAGCTTTCCCTTAAATGCATCTATGCTATTCGCCTCAGCTACTCCTTGTGGTAGCAAGTTCCACATTCCCACCACTCTCCAGGTAAAGAAGTTTCTTCTGACTTCCCTATTTGATTTATTGGTGACTATTTTATATTTATGGCTCCTGGTTTCGGTATCCCCACAAGTGGAAATTAATTCCCCACTAGGTCCACTCAGGCTTTGGCTTGCAGGGTTAACAGGAGTTGAGTGGGAAGAGTCTCTGTCCCCAATAATTGCCCTTCCATGTCCTGCCGATGAGCCAGGCAATGTGGTGCTGTCATCAGCAGTGCCCTGGAATACTACCGACCCACCGGGCTAAGGAACTTGACTGCCAACACTGCTACAGATGGCTGACTTGAGATCTGACATGTGGAAATTAATTCCCTACAAGTGTTAGGTGAATAACAGTCTTTATTCATCCACAGTGTCTCATTATTGTTTAGCTTTATCTTATTTTTTAGCGGAATACATTTCTCCTGGACTTTACTGATCATCGTTTTAGATGTTTTCCACTGCTGCTCTATCTCTTTGTTTGCCAATATTGGTTTCCAGGTTATTTTCCCAAGTTCCATTCTCATCCCCTCAAAATCAGCTTTTTTCCAAACTTTTACCTGGGTCTCTGTCATACTCATGTCCCTCTCAATCTTTATCTGAAACCTTATTAAGTTATGATTGGTATTGCCTAGATGTTCTCCAACTCTTACTTCTCTGGTTCATTTCCCTTTACTAAATCCAGCAGCGATTCCTCCCTTGTTGGGCCGCTTACATACTGAGTAAAGAAAGTTTGAAGGAACTCCGTTCCCTTATCTTCTAGCCAATTTATTAGTTGAAATCTCCCATGATTATTACAGTATGTCTTTACTCATTTCCCTAATTTGCTTGCATATTTTTTCCTCTACCTCCTTCCACTATTAGGTGGTCTGTAGAGTACCCTTATTTGTGTGATTGATCCCTTATCTTTTATCTCTATCCACACAGATTCTGTTTCTATCTTACTGATGGCTATGTCACTTTTTTCTACTGCCATGATGTTATCCCTAATAAGCACGGCTACTACACCACCCTTTTTCCCATCTCTATCCTTTCTAAATATGTTTAATTGCCAGTCCTGTTCTTTCTGTAGCCATGTTTCAGTAATCCCTACTACATCTGCTTTCTCTCTCTGAATTAGTGCCTCCAGTTCTCCTGTTTTATTTTGGATGCTGTGTACATTGCTGTACAGACAGTTTAATTATTTTTTATTAGTTGTTCCTCTCACTTTATTTTTGACACTTCTGTTCTGTAATTGTATTAAGTCCCTGATCTGCTCCTTATTCCTTAGACTGTTAGACTGTTACCCCTTTGCTGCTGAGTGGGATAGTTGACTCAGGCATCAATTCAGGCAGAAATCTAGGCAGTGAAGTGAGGCAAAGCAATGGTGAACCAATGTACAGCTCCATGATCACAACTCACATCCCAGTTCAAAAATATATATTCATGCGCCTACAAAATACAATCACTGCACATAGTAAATCCTGTGCAGTACGTTTGATGAGCCTAACTCTAAACATGTTAAGCCAGCGAATACGACATAACAGCAACAACTTGCATTTATATTGCATCCTTCAAGCAGGGTAGGTAGCATTTCGGAGAACTAAAACATTTATTCAGTTAATTTATTCTCTTCAGTAATGTTGAGCTGTTTTTGTTTCAGGACCCCGGTCATCGCTGGAGGAATTTTTGTCATGAATAAATCTTGGTTCAACCATCTTGGCAAATACGACACTCAGATGGACATTTGGGGTGGGGAGAATTTTGGTGAGTTGACTTGTACATGGTGTTCCTGTTCTCCCGGCCTGTTGCATTGAGCTGATGCTCTGGAAGAAGAGACCAAGTAACACTGGGTAGTTGAGGTTATATTCCTGGGAATGGGCTTTGGACTCTCCGTCTTGTTGGTGTTCAGAGCCCAGTGCCAAGGGGGGTGTGGGGGAGGAAACACCTGAATCAGTTGAACTAAAATGACATGTTGTACATTGGTGGTGGGGGGAGGAACGAGGATTTCTAACAGGATTCTTTAATGTTGGAAGTATGTCACACTGACTAGTGGGAACTTTGCACCCACCTAACCTCCCACTCAGATTCCTTATTAAGGAGTCACAATAGAATTGCCGCATTTTAGATGCTGCCGACCAGTCGAGAAAGGGGAAGCCACTGTGGTCCACTGTCAAGACAGTGTGCTGAATCTCAAATAATAATAATAATCTGTGCATTTGATACTCGCTTATCACCTCAAAGTGCTTCACAGAAAAGTCTGTAAAGTGAAATGACTATATATATTGTGGGCGAAATGTGGCAGCCAATTGCGCACAGCAGTGTCCTACAAACAGTTGTGGATTGAGTTTCCAAATTTTTTTGGGGGAGGGATTATTGTCCCCAGAAAGCGATTCACCAATCAACAAACAACTGGATTCCTGCTTGCTGCTGGGTAAAGAGAGGCATGTGAAATAAGGAAACTTGCCTAAAGTTTCACCCTGCTCGGGAATCGAACTGTTTGCGAGGCGAGTGAACTAACCACTGCTCTATGGGACACAGTACTACTCATTGTGTGAAAATTCTTTGCCAGGTTATCTGACCTGATCTGTACGGCCGAATGCTGCACTGCGGTGCTTCATACTGACACTCGGGACAACAACTGTCCTGTTCCACCACCCCTCCCCTTGAGGAGCACAACAATTAATTGAGCTCTTTAGTGACTGGGCTTGCAATGTGTTGAGTGCTATGGTTAAACACCAACAAAGGAAAGAAGGGGTTCTCAGGAAAAGTTCGGGAATGTCCTGAGTAGTGGCATCTCGTGGTGATCTGCAGCAGGGCTCCTCCCTCAGGCTTTGCTCCCTCTTTTCCAGAGCTCTCTTTCCGGGTCTGGATGTGCGGAGGAAGTCTAGAGATTGTGCCCTGCAGTCGTGTGGGGCATGTCTTCCGCAAACGACATCCATATGACTTTCCTGAGGGCAATGCTCTCACTTACATAAAGTAAGTATATGTTACATTATGTAGGCTCCAACTACTTTACCAGTTCCACAGTTAACACACCTTTTTAGCTAATAACCTGGCATTCATTTTGTCACTAGATTAGCATTCTCTCACTTGTTTGGGACTAAACTATATTGGGTTCTATTTGATATTGAGCTGATGACTAGACTCATATGTGAGTACCACCTCTCCTTCCTCACTGTTATTCCCAATCCTGACATCTGTGTTCCAGCGGATGTCTGGCTTGCAGATTCCAGCATTCCAATGAGAATGCTGGCCTTTTGAAGTATTTTTGTTTGCTAAATAATATGTAATAATATTTGCAGTTGATAAAGCACCGTATCAGGTATCAAAGCACTTTACATGATTTATTGTAGAGTGTAGCAAACTGTGTATTTCCAAGCGAATGAGGCAGCCAATTTGTACCCCAATTTTATCTGGGAGATTACTAGCCAAGGCACCTTGAGAAACTCCCTTCTCTTTGCAGATAGTGTCATGGGATCTTTAATGTTCATTCAAAGCACGGCACCTCCACTGAGTTGGAGGATCCCTGTCCAGGCTACATGGTATCTCAACTGATTGGAGCTTTTGTTTCATTCTGGGGAGGAGGGGGTGGGTGGGGATGAATATTGAGTTTGTGTCCGTGTTGTTACACTAAGACTTGGCATGCTTCTCTGCCCAAGGAACACCAAACGCACGGTGGAAGTGTGGATGGATGATTATAAACAGTATTACTATGAAGCCAGACCATCTGCTCTTGGAAAAGCCTATGGAAAGTAAGTGAAGGCAGCTGTGTTTTTCCACTTTCTCTTCCCAGTGGCTGGAATGCAACTCCCATGGCTTGTCTCCCAGGAGATCTGTGCAAATCTGTTGGGACTACATCACCTGGTTTCATTCCTCCTGTAACTTAGGAGGACCTGTTCTCCCCCACCGCCCCACCACACACACACATCCTGGTTTCCATTAACTAAATTAACAGCTGGAACAGATTACCAGGTTAGGTGATCAAGGTCATAGTTGAATTCATAGAAACGAATGCATAAAAGGAGGCCATTCAGCCATTCGAGTCTGCAAAGGCTGTCAGAGCAAGATGTTCATGCATTCCCACTACCCTGCCCTATCCCCATACCCTTCAAGCCTCTATCCTTCATATACCTGTCTACTTCCCTCTTGAAACCCACAATGGACTCTGACTCTACCACCATACTTGGCAGAGAATTTCACATCCCAACAACGTCAGCATGTTCAGATGTCTCCAAAACAAACTGCTGAGAGTTCTACATGTGGATGGTTCCCAGTTGTCTACTATGGAGTGGGCATTCTCTCCCTGCTTACCTAACCCCAGAGAGTTTTATGTACAGGTTAGCAAGAGCCAAAGCCTGAAGAGTCCAGAGGGGTGGGTTGGGTTACTATTGGAGTTGAAGCAGCTGAAATTGAACAGGTTGTTACTAAGAACCGTTGTAAGATTCCTTCTGCTTGTCCATATCTAAGACCACCCTACCCACTGGAACTTTGGCTTGCACTATTAACTGGAGCCAAGTAGAACAAATTACTTCTCTTAGCTCCAAGCTCGGCTGACAAGCTGGGTTGAATGTTCCGTCATCAGTACTGAGGAGCTGCCTGGCTCAGGAACAAACTACAGCAACCATCACAGAGGATCTTTCAACTACAGTCTATTGGTAAGGTGAATCTATTCTGCAAGGATGAGATCAAAGCAGCCAAAAGGCATTCTTCATCTGAACCTCTCCTGAAAGCTTGTGTGAGATCACTGACAGGTCTCATGGCTGCCTTCTTCTGACCTCTGGCAGTAATTTAATGAGCTGTCTCTGCATTATTTACTCAGACTTAGACTGAGCCGACTGTTAGTATCTAAATATCTGGAATCTGTATAACACGTGTTGTTGGCAACTGAAGCCTCTTGTTAAATCTGCCACAAAATCAGCTCTCTCTCAAGCATCATCCAAAACACACCCAGACCCATACACACACACACCATATATACACACCACATCATATACACACACATACATCACACATGGAACACACTGCACATGCACACCAGAGCACCTCCACATACAACACACAATATGCACTAAACACACAAGGGACCACACCACATACCCCACACCGACTGTCACACTCACCACACAAACACACCACGGGTATTACAAATACAGCAATACACCCAGACCCACACATACAACACCCCCACCAAAACATACATATACACAACACACCACCCACACCCATTACACTACAATAAATAAACAAACAAACACTCTCACATATACGTTCACAGAGTAATGTAAGAATATATTAGGGTGGGTCCAGGCAGGATCAGTGAGCGCTGGCTTGAGGACACAGCGACAGACTGTTTACTCAGGGTGGTGGGGTGGGAGCGGGAGGGAGTATGTCTGTCTCGCCCATCATGCTTTGATGCCTCTATTTGTTTGTAATGTAGCATTGCAGAGCGAGTGGACCTACGCAGGCGACTGAGGTGCAATTCCTTCCAGTGGTACCTGCAGAACGTGTACCCGGAGCTCAGGTGGGAAACTGATGTTTAACTCAAAAGAAAACGCTGTGCAGAGAGCGACTCAACCACTGACCTTGGCCATGAGTTGAGTCAAATGGAAGGATTATTATTATAATTAGTATATTATAATAATTAGGTCACTGAATCTACGACTGTTTGTGGGACACTGCTGTAGCCAATTGGCTGCCACGTTTCTCCCACAAAATATACAGTCAATTCACTTTACAGTATATTCTGTGAAGCACCTTGAGATGTCTCAAAAACATGATAAGGCACTGTAACTAATGCAAGGATTATTTTGTATCAACTATTTTTTGTATTAATTTGTATTAAGTATTGTGACTGTATTTTGTAGGTGAAAACAGCAGCCAATTTGTGCACAGCAATATCCCACAAACAGCCATGAAGTGACTGTCCAATTTGATAGAGATTCTGTCTTTCAGATGAGATGTTAAATCGAGGGTCCGTCTGCCTGTACAGGTGGATGTTAACGATCTCATGGCACTATTCGAAATGAGAAGGGAATTTGTGCCAGTGTCCTGTGACTCCAGTGGCCAACAATCCTCTAGATAAAATTGGTCATTCACCTCAAACAACACAATTTATATAATGCCTTTCACAATGAAAGGACATCTCAAAAGAGCGTCACAGTCCTGGACAGGCAGCTGAGCTGACGGTAGGAGCTGTGGAGGGTAAAGAGAGGAAAGACAACCAAAAACACGGTCAAAGAGGTACATTTTGAAACACCCTCATGGCTATTGGGGATTCTTTGCTGTGTGCAAATTGGATACTGGTACCTATAAAATATAACAGTAATCCTTGCATTTGATATTGCACCTCATCAGGGCATTGAGACATCTCAAAGCGCTTCAGAATATATTTTAAAGTAGAGTAACTGTATATTGTGGCGGAAAAATGACCTGTCGCTAGAATTCATAGAAAATCTTTGAGACATCCTCCTGACGTGGAAGGCGTTGTATCATATAAAAAGATTGGTATTATTTTCCCCATATTGTATCGTTTTCTCTCTAGATTGTAAACCTACAGATGTTTTTAATTTTGCATGTAAAATAACCTCCAAACTTTGGATTTGTGCTCAGGATTCCGGAAAAGGAGGTGTCGGAGAGAGCAGTGGTCAGGCAGGGGGAGAAATGCCTGGAGGCTCAGGACTTGCACAGAGTGGTGTCAATCATCGCCAGCTTGAGGCCGTGCAAAGGATTGCAGAGCAACCTCCTGTTTAGCCAGGTGAGAGAGGCATTCTCAGAATAAAGCTGTTACTTGGTCAGCCAGGTGTTTTGATAGATGTAGAGACCCATCACCGTGCTTAAAGAGTATCCAAACCCAACTGAGAATTCCACGCATTCCACCTACAGATGGAAATTCCAGAGATAGATTGTCGGATTGGAATGCACATTCTCTCCCTGGAGGGATGCATCCTGCTTACCTAATTCCGGAAAGTATTAGGCGTAGGTTGGCAAGAGCCAGAGGTTGGAGACCCCAGAGAGTGCGTTGGGGTACTCCTGGAGTGAGAGGGAAAGAGAGAAAAAGAGACGGACTGAGCTTTATTGGCACCCTGTTGATTTACAAGCATCTTCAATTCTTATTTCCAACTCTAGACTCAGCGTTTAACTGTTATCTCACGGGACACTGATCACGATAAGCAGATTTCCACGAAGCCTGGCTGACACTCCTCTATTGGTGATTCCAAAATAACAAATGGCAGCGAGGAAATGAATGGGGTCAACCATTGTATTGGAGTTGAGTGGGGTGAGGAGTGGGGGGGGCACAGGCTTCTTAATAATAATAATTCTTGCATTTGATATAATGCCTTATCACGTCATTGAGATGTCTCAAAGAGCTTCACAGGTTGTACTGTAAAATGAAATGACTGTATTTTGTGGGCAAAACGTGAAAGCCAATTGCTCACAGAATTCATTTTGACACGTTTTTAACGCATGGAAACTGTTACGAAACATTGCATTTCCTGCCCCACTGGCGTTTCAGAGACCAGAACTCACTCTGTTGATGCCACGGGAAATGGAACAAATGATTTTTGTTGTTTTCAAAATAATGCATATCTTTGGTTCCTGTTTTACCTTTTTGGACATTTCTGGGCAGCACGCTCAGATCTCTTCAGCAAAACATTTGATATTCTATTGGAACAAGTTGCCAAAGTTTGAATATTGTGTGAGAGAAGTCTAGGCCGACACTCCAATGCAGTGTTGGGTGAACGTTACAATGTCGGAGTGGCCATCTTTCGAATGAGCCATTAAGCTGAGGACCCACCTCCCCGTTCAGGTGGACACTATAGATCTCATGGCACTTTTCGACAAGAGAAGTGCCCTGGCCAACAATCCCACAAATAAAATGGGTCATTTACTTCATGGCTATTTGTGAGACAATGCAGTATTCACATACAATACAGTCACCACACTTTACAGTATATTCTGTGAATCGCTTTGAGATGTCTCAATGTGATAAGGCGTTGTAATCAAAGGCAAGGATTATTATTATTTGATGTTTTTTTTAACAGGAATGGGTACTTTCGGGTCCTCTGATCAAACACCAAGACAAGTGTCTGGCTCTCACCAACTTCTCTCTAGGGTCACAGGTGATACTCGACTTGTGCAATCCACAGGATGGCAGACAGGTGAGACATTTCCCATTATTTACAGCAGTACACTTAACAGTGCTGGAGCTCAACAATAAGCGAGGGAGAGAGGGGAAGTGACTGTAGGCATGATCAAACAGGAAGGTCTTTAGGCATGAATTGAAGATGAGGAAGGAGGAGGCAAGGCAGAGGGATTGAGGAAGAGAATTGCATAGATTGGGGCGTAGTGGCTGAAAGCGCAGCCACCGTTGGTGGAGTGGAGGGGACGAGAGACAAAGCAGGAGGCCAAAGCCAGCCAAGCGGAGGTGGCGGGTAGTGGATTGGGGAATAAGCGGGTTGGAGAGATAGGGAGGTGCTAGGGGTAAAAAAAATCGCTGCTATAAACGACCGCAATGAGGAATGGGGGTGAGGAGGGGTAGGAAAGGAAAGTGTTGATGGGCTGACTTGCACCGACTCTCGGACATTTCATTACTCAGTTTGATATGTATAATATTTGAGGCAATGGGAGACCGAGCTGGAAAATCGTCACTTATACAGTACTAGTTGCCCCTGACATAGTAGCCAAAGACAAATGAGTACCTCTCGTTCTATACTCATGCTCTTATACAGGAAACCTCTCCAGCCTTCTCCAGGGATTTGCAACTCTGGAAATACTGCACTTAGCTAACAGCTGTTTTATAACTGGCAGCAGGACAGCTTTACAGTCATAATATTTGTGAGTGTTTATTTATATTCGACTTTATTCATATGCGCTAAGACAACGAGCCTTGGTGTTTTTCGAAGGACAGTCTGACCAAACAGTTGAACAATACTTATGGGGAACACAGAATTCCATAGCGTTTCAATATCCAACTTTGCTTTTTGCACACCGCTCTCCCGACACAACAACTTGCATTTATACAGCGGCCTTCACGCTGGGTAATGTCTCAGAGCACTTAACAGTAACGGAGGCTGACACCGAGCCGGGGGGAGGTGGGGAGGTCGAAGAGGAAGGTTTTCAGGCGTGATGTTAAAATGGGGAAGGAGAGAGAACCAGGCACAGGGATAGAGGGAGAGACCCTTGACTCGGTCACACAGGAGCCCTCCTTGTTTCTCGCCCAAAGGTGCCCATGCCATGGTCAACTGCTGCTTGCTTTACAGTCCAACCCGACTATGACCTCTCTCATATCTGCACTTTTCAGTGATCGGGAGTGGGAGCCCACGGCTAATCATGATTACCCAATCCCAGGTTGGAGTTGAAATCAAGGTTAGCTCCCCCGAGTGTCGCCCCAGGTGACAACAGATAACGTGGGGCAAACTGGGGATTGAGCAGGTCTCGATGAGTCCCATCAACTGAGCCACTGAGGAAATATTACCTTATAGGATGTATGATGGGCTACTCAGTTGATGGGCAGCATCTGGACTGTTCGTGCTCCTTAAAGTCACAATGCCATCTCCTGAAGAGATGGGCAAGGGAGCCAGTGCAGCTGTGAACAACTGGAGCTATTACTGGATCAACAACAAACTAGAAAGTTCAGCATGCTCCCTAATCTCTTCACATTTGGCACACACACACAACACACACACACATATATATATATATATAAAAAACCCTGCTGAAAAAAACGGGACTGTAAATCAGACTTGTGCCCAGTGTGTTTATGTGTGGGTTGTGACAAATGGAACAATCTTTAACACACAGGTTCTGCCTGACGCTTGTTTTTTTGCCAAACTTCATTTATCAAAACCGACAGGAAGCACTCCACCTCAGCAAGCTGCAAATTAGGCCACCTTTCAACTCTTGGGGAAACTCACTGGCACATGAGAGCGCCCTGGGAGCTTGGGGGAAGGGAAGCTGCTGACATCAAAATGTCTGTCAGACGGGAGAGGCTGAGAGGTTCTTCATCTGACTTTAAATAGCATCAAATCCACGTTTTGCTGGGAACTGTCAGCAAATGGGATTTGTGATTATTACTCTTATTTCTCAAAGCTTCCCAGACAGCAGGGATATGATTATATTGTTCAGAGCGTGGTGCACTGTGTGTAATCTACCCCTGTGCCCCGCAAGCTTTGCCTTCAATGTAACACAAAATATTGCGTTAAACAAAATGATCTGGAGCCAGAAAGAAGTGGAGTCTAGAGTCAGGATCGAGGATTACAAACGTTCTGGGACCCAATCCTGCATCAGGAGCGCTATATAAATGCAAGTTGTTGTTGTGAGGCTGGGAACGGGATAAATTTTGAGCTCGGAAGAGGACTGAGTGTGGGACTGGGATCAAGTGTAAGACTGGGACTTGGATCAAGGGTATAATCCACCCCTGTGCCCCGCAAGCTTTGCCTTCAATGTAACGAGGTGTGATCCTGGGAACGAGATTGAATGTGAGCACGGGAATGGGATCAAGTGTGAGCCTAGGAATGGATTGAGTGGAAGCCTAGAGCTGGGGCTCAGCGTACAGAGCTGGGCTTGGGGTCTGGCGTGAGCAACTTTTATAAACTGCCACGACCCCTACACCAGTAAACAATACACACCCCTAACCCAATTCAGCAAAAAAAAATTGGGGTCAGAGGATTGCGTAATTTGGTAATCATCTCGATAACAAAGAAAGCCTCACATATGGTGATTGCCTTTTTTGGAAAAAGCTTTTAAAATGATTCTGGAGAGGGGGTGGGGAATGTGTTTGGAAGAGAGCCTTTGGGGCTGACTGAGACTCCACATGTTGTTACAGCCTATCCTGAACATGTTGTGAGGGGAGCGAGTTCCACACCGATTCTGTCACTGGAAAAACATAACAGCTGAAGCTCTCCTTTGCCAGGGCCAAGGAAACGGGCGTTTTTCTGCCTTGTTTGCCCGCCATTGGGGGTCCTAGCCCGGAGGGAATAGCCGTTTAAAATAATCTAAAAGATGCAGGCATGCTGCTTGCCTACCGAGTGATTAATTGATTCTTGGGGCTGCCAGCCAGGCAAACAAAAGCTCTTTTGAAGCATCACAAGAACAGTTTGTGGATCTGTCTTGTTTGACTGTGTCGGATTTCAAGGAGTTGCTTCACTTGTGCGAATCTCCACCACCTTCCTATATGCTTCTTTCTCATCACAGGACACTGCTGACCTGTCTTCTATAACATTCAGAGGATTAATTGGATGCATGTTTAGTTAGAAAAAGCCCCAAAGATCCCCTGCTGCCTAGACTAGGATGGTTTTAGAAACTAAGCTTCCAATGCATATTTTTTCCCCAAAAAGGGAAGAGATGGAAACTTGAGGCAGCAAAATTCTGCTTAAAGGGATTTAACAAGTTATTTGTGAGCAGGATGCGATAGGTCTTGCAGCCATTTAAGATGCCAACACTGAGTCCTCTTCCTCCCTCTTTCATCACCAACACCATTCATGATCTATTTGTTAAACTCTATTCATGCTAGCTTGAGACAACAGACAGAAAGCAGATATGAAGATGTTCTTCACAAGACACGTATTTCACAAGGCTCCATCTGCCTGTTCAGGTGGACGTTAAAGACCCATAGCACTGGGAGAAGAGCAGGGAATTCTCTCAGTGTCTGGGACAAAATCTCTACCTTGTCCACATTCACCAACACAACAGCAACAACAAGATTTCATTTATAGAGCGCCTTTCACGTCGGGAGAATGTCCCAAGGCGCTGGACAGTTGGGTCAGGACCCGAGCAGGGGGGAAATGGTCAGGGAAGGGAGGGAGCGAGGAGGGGGTAGAGAGTCGAGAGGGGAGCTGAAGGCACAGTCGAAGAGAAAGGTCTTGAGATGGGCCTTGAAGGAGGAAAGGGAGGAAGCAAGGCGAAGGCACTGGGGGTTGGAGTTCCAGAGTCTAGGGGCTGAAGGCCCGGCCACCGATGATAGGGCGGTTAGGGCGGGAGATGTGGAGCAGACCAGAGCCAGAGGAACGGATGGTGCGGGCAGGTAAGTAGGGGGATAGTAGGTCGGAGAGGTAGGAGGGAGCAAGGCCGTGAATGGCCTTGTAGGTGAGGATGAGGATCTTGAATTCGATCCTCTGGGGGATGGGGGGCCAGTGGAGGCAAGCGAGGGTGGGAGTGATGTGGTCGCGAAGCCTGGTGCGGGACAGTACATGAGCTGCAGAGTTCTGAATGACCGGGAAGACCGGCGAGGAGAGAGTTCCCATAGTCCAGCCTTGAGGTGATAAAGGCGTGGACCAGTGTTTCAGCGGCGTGAGGGGTGAGGTAGTGCCGTAGTCTGGCGATATTCCGGAGGTGATGGAAGGTGGTGCCAGTTGTGGCGCGGATATGAGGAAGAAAGGACAGCTCAGGGTCGAACAGAATGCCGAGGTTCCTGACTGGCTTTGAGAGGTGGAGAGTGCAGCCTTGGATGCTGATGCTGTCAGCGCCTGAGGTGCGGATGTGCTGACGCAATCCAATCAGGAGGGCCTCAGTTTTGCGCACGTTGAGCTGAAGAAAGTTGTCTCTCGTCCAGGACTCGATGTCGGACAGGCAGACTGTCAGGACATCGGTGGTCGTGGAGTTGAGGGTAGAGGAAAAAAAGGTAGAGTTGGGTGTCATCCACCTACATGTGGAAGTTAACAAGCAATTGATCATCTCCATTCACCTCATCATTGAAATGTTAAACTGAGCTTCCGTCTGGCTGTTCAGGTTGATGTTAAAGATCCCATGGTGCTATTTAAAAAAAGGGAATTTCCACCCTGGTGCCCTGGCTAACAATCGCCGAGATGAAATTGGTTATTCACTTCATGGCTGTTTGTGGGATATTGCTGTGTGCAATTTGGCTGCTGTGTTTGCTTAAAAAAGTCACTACACTTTACAGTAAATCCCATAAAGTGCTTTGAGACGTCCTCCTGACGTAAAAAGTACTGTAGCAAATGTAAGGATTATTAAGTTATCATGGTTTGTGGAATATTGCTGGCATCGGCATAATCATTACTGCACTCGAAAGTAACTCATTTTGCTTTGAGGCTTTGATGCAAGGACTGTTTTTATGTTCTATTCTAGTTACGCCATGAAGGAGAGCAATGCAATGGGAGTAGAACTCTTTTCTGCCTTTTGCAATTAGTATCAGTGCTGCACGCACACACGTCAAATACAGAGTAGAAGCTCCTCCAACTCCATCCCAGCTAAGTGCCTGAAGAGCACCTCCTTGTGAGCCTGGGAGTGAGACTGCCACTCAATGCTGGATTATTGGTCATTTGGTATTGGCTTTGAAAACCTTGTCATTTCGACTCCATCAATGATCCACACGCCTGCTCAGAGACTTGGGGAACTGACCCAAGCAGCGAATGCACTGAATTGCACATTAAAATAATCCTTCTCTGATGTTGGCTTACCTCCTATTCCCCGTGATGGTCCAAATTTTGCATCCGTTTTTTCCTTGATTCCTGCTGCCGTTCATGAAATGATACTCTCGACACATGCTCTCATCAATGATTACGTTTTCTCAGCTCATTCCTGCTGATGTCCTATACAGCAAAATAATCCGCGTTAGTTTCTAAACTCACCGATTAATATCACTTTCATTAAATAGAAGGCTGGAGCTCCACCTGGGAGACTGTTGTATCTTAAAACTGTGGAAAATTCTTAAATGCAATCTTAATTCAGAAGCCCCTTTTCTGCGGTTCCTAAAAAGAATTAAGACTTTTCCACAATTCATCTTCATCTTAACTTTTAAGGCAAAGTGATCTTCCATGCTAAGACTAGGTGGAATTTGGGGTCTTACAAGCACTTAAGTAGAATAGTTCACCTTGAATGAACTTCTTGACATGCTTATTAATTAAGAAACTCTGAGCAGGGAGACTTTAGGGGTATTAAGCACGGTTAAATAGATATGTTTCAGGATGAATTTTGATGGCAGGAAAAGAGGAAATGAGGCGAAGAGACTTTCTAATTTGTTACAGAGGACAGGGGCATAGTTGCTAAAGGTTCGGACACTGATGATGGAACAGAATATGAAGAATCGGAGGTGCTGGTGGGAGTGTAGAAGTGGAGGAGATTGCAGTGGTTGGGGGAGGGGGTGGACATAAAGGTATCTGACAGGCAAGGATTGTAAAATTAATCCACTGGGGGAAATTCCATTTTCTTTAACCTTGGAGGCACAGAATTACACTGTACGCACACACAATTAAAAGCTCTATGGTTGTTAATCAGACCCCAGTGCTGCTGTCAGCGTGAAAGCTCAGTGACTGCAAAATCTTAACATACGTTTCCCATTTTGTTATTATGTTCTAGAAACCAGGGAACATGGTCGGGTAGTGGCAAGCAGAAAATTCCCATTTGTAATGGGATTGGTGGTTTTTCAATGTAAAATCAACAGGAATCACTGGCAGAGACTTCAGTTTCAGACCTTTAAGAAATTCCCGAGACAATTCATGAATTATACGGTAATACCAACAATTGCAGAGTGTAGACTGCAATAAAGTACAGTCACAATACTTTAAAGTCCTGTGAAGCACTTTGAGACTTCAGCCGTGAAAGAAAAATGCAAAGAATATTATTATTATATTACCACATCACATCAGTTTGTTTAAAACACATCAGGGCTGATGAAGGTTTTACAATGAAAGGTGAGTCAGCTTGAGCAGGAACTGCAGAGTGAATTTTGAACGTGGTTTTCGCAGTGTGTTGCAGTTAGATAAATAGCCTTTACAAATAGTCTGCCGAGACTTTTAACCAGATACAAATAGGATTAATCAGACGCTATCTGCTGTGCAGTTTGGAGATTTATTTCCGTGTTATCTGACGATCAGGAATCCAGCAGCTTCAGCACAAAGGGAGAGATGAGATTAGTTCAGGGCAAGTGTAGGATTCTTTGTAAAACCATGAATCTACAGTACTGCAGGCAGCGCTGGGCTGCTTTTGAAAGTGATGGATGGATGCAAGTTACATTTTTAATTAAACTTTTCTTTGTTTTTCCTCTGGTTATTTTATCCTTAGCCCTCTGGGTTAGGGAGTGAAATCAGACAGGGCCCTGATAACCATCTAGCAACCTTACAATGTATTTAGTTTGGACACGATGGGTTTCTAACATTCAGGGAAACTTGCCATGTTTAAAAGTCTCCAGAACAAACTACTGAGAGTTTCACGTATGTATATTGTACTTTTGCAATAACCTCTGACCTTACTCCCTCCGCTCTGCCAGCTCATTCTGAGTTTTCAGCCACTTTGTCTCCGCTCTGAAGAACTTTCTTCCCAAATCCCTCCGCCTTGTCTCACTGGGACTTTTCGAGACTTTCTCTCAGTTGTGAAAGGCGTTGTATCAAATCCAAGGATTATTATTATTATATTGCTTCTCTGCTTTCCAAACCTGTTTGAAGATCTGTATATTTGACTGTGCCTTCAACCACCTCCACCCTATTTGCTCCCAGCTAGGACTCCCACTCCATCTTTTTAAAGCTTTGAGATGAAAGGCGCTGCATAAGTATAAATTGAAAAGAGGAGGGTAAGGGATGACCTGATAGAAATCTTTAAAATGATGAAAGGTTTTGATAGGGTAGACATAGAGAACATGTTTCCACTTGTGGGGGAGACCAAAACCAGGGGCTGTCAATATAAAATAGTCATGAATAGATCAAATAGGGAATTTAGAAGAAATTTCTTCACACATAGTGGGAATGTGGAACATGCTACCACAAGGAGTTGTTGAGGCAAATAGCATAGATGTATTTAAAGGAAAGCTAAATAGGTACATGAGGGAGAAAGGAATAGAAGGTTATGCTTGAAGGCTTAGTTGAGGAAGGGCAGGAGGAGACTCATGTGGAGCATAAACACCGGCATAGACCAGTTGGGCCAAATGGTCTGTTTCTGTGCTGTGTATTCTAATGTATTCTAAGGTAAATTGTTACTTTTGTGTGGCTTGGTTTAAGCACTCTCTATCCAGAGGGACACAGCCTGCTTGGATATTCCTGGCAAGAGCTAAGTTGCATGAGGGTCACTATATAACAAGTTGTTGTTGTTATAACTGCATTTTGTCTGGGATTGGGAATCAGAAATCTCAGGATAGCCCTGAAAGGTTCCTGCTAAACTAATACTCTATTCTGTTCCTCGGTATGTGGGGTGGAGAATAATTCTGTCTAATTTGTTCCAGAAATGGAAAATAAAAGGATCGTCTATCATGCAGTTGGTGACAGGGGCATGTCTGGATAGCCAGGTGGAGACAGAAAAAGACCGGGTGGGAACAACATCTTGCCAACCTGACCTCGCCAGCCAACAGTGGGAACTATTGCAAGTCACGTGACACCAGAGGTTGGAGCCTCCCCGATAACCGTGCATGGACTTTGAAATGAAATGTTTTTAATTTGTACGTTTTCACTGTAGGCTTGAGATAAGAAGCTCCAGAGTCAAGGCACCAGCTGTGTGAACTCCAGCTGTCAAAATGCACAAATAGTGAATTTCCGCAACAGCCTAAGACACAGCCGAGCACTGAAAGACCTGGAATTGAGTCAGGATACATCGCGTAGAGGTGGACTGTATGACATCCTACTGTAAAGTCACAGGATATTACTGCAGCCATCTATTTTCTTCCTGAAGGACAATGTCACCCTCACTGCAGTTGGTCAGCTGAATCATCACCTACCATCACTTCCACTCAAGACAATCTGAAGCTGTCACAATGTGCATGAACTACAGTCATCCCAAGCCAAGGTTGACACCATTACAGCTTCCAGGGCTGTGCCTAGGAGGTTTTGTTGAAACAACTTCTTGTGTTAACAGATTCTGTTGGTCTCTTTTTGTGGGTTGAACAACAAAGGAAATTATATTTGCAATTTGGCATGTCCAGTTTTACGGGAATAAAAAAGATTTAAAATCAAAAACAATCCCAAATAGTTCACATATTTTAGTCGACTGTTCGAGCAAAATGAAATTCTTTTGATAGATGATTCCTATCCTATTGGCTTCCTGTTTTGTAAACAGTCGGCTGTCAAATGTGTTTTCACTAAACTGAATTATGTTGCTTATCTTATCTACTGAGCAAGATACCATTCTGCTCACATCGAGGCAGTGAGAAGAACCAAATGTTATTTACTTCATCCTAGAAATGTGTTAACTTAAAAAAGAAACTTTGAAACAACCCCAATGTGTTACTGTAATATTCTGAAGCTTTACAAAATATATTTGTGAAGATGAACCTACAGTTTGGATTTAATAGTAACTTTAGTGGAAATTAGTCTTGTAAAGATGACTGTTCAGTTTTACGATTTTGAGGGATTTCTTGGGAGGAGTGAAAATTGTTGGGAAACTAAATGCAAGTGGCAGAGTCTTAATATTCCCCTGAAATTAATTTGTGTAGAATTCAGCAATCCCCGCACAAGCCTAAGGAACCCAAATTCAAGACACTTGGGGTTTACAGTTTAGTTCATAACTCATTTAATTTATGGCTATGTGGAAATCCTACATAATACATAGCCACACGTTTTTAAATTGGACCCTCAGCTTTCTAGAAGTTATGAATTCATCTCAGTTGGAATGACCGAAATACCAGTGAGTTTGACAGACCTGTCACTGGTGCTGGCTAACAGTTGTAATTGGGTGGGAACTTACAGGAAGTGTGCTGTGCCTGCTTGGTCATATTGAAAATGTCAGCTGAATCAGGGGAAGCAGCAACACTACTAAGTTTACATCAATTAAAAAAAGTCTTTTTCATACTCGGCAGCCAAAAGGTTGGACCACCCTTGTCTACAGCACCATAGTAGTCTGCAAGAGCAGCTATTGGATCCTTTAAAAATGTATAGTCTTACTACTTTGTATCCCTTATGTCATAAAGAGTACAGTATATAGTTCCAGTGGCGGAATTAATAATAATCCTTGCATTTGATATAGCGCTTTTCACATCTTCTAGACGTCCCAAAGCACTTCACAGAATATACTGTAAAGTGAATTGACTGTATATTTGTGGGCGAAAGCGGCAGCCAATTGCGCACAGCAATGTCCCACAAACAGTCATGGATTGAAAAATGACCAATTTATTATTGTTTTGATTTTTTGGAGGGATTATTATTAGGCTCTGTGTGGAGTAAGGAAACTTGCCCAAGGTTTCGCCCTGTGCCTGGAATTGAACTCAGGTCTCTCACTTGCAAAGCGAGTCTTCTAACCACTGAGCTACAGGTCTCTTGGCACCGGCAAAGGCTTCTTGGCTGAATAGACTATTTTTGTGTTGCAATTTCTACCCTCATTGGCCAGAATAACACTATAAATGATTTCCGCTATGAATGTGGGGTACCTGGGTTCAATCCAAGCAGGACTGATAACGATGCTCCTAATTAGGCATACCCAAGAACATTTTGTACAGTACAAGCTCTATTCATAATTCAGTACTAAATGAGGAGCCATAAAACGGCTGTGGATAACCTCTCCCAAGTGCAGCAGGTATGCTCTTAAGTCAGTGGAGTGTGGTTGTTCAGCCAAAGCACAGAGTACCGCCATAACCAGACAATACCTGGCCAGCCGCAGGTGCAACAGAATGGAAATGGGTGCCCATTCCCCAACATTACATGCCTCTTCCGGAACCCATGGCTTGAATGAAATATCACCAAGTGCCAGACAGGAGCAAATTGTGCTTGATTAAAAACGTACCTTTCCCATTATGTCCATTATGTTCCATGCAGGCGATTTCTTGCTGCAGTCATCCAACAAAGTCCAACTGCCACCAAATGATTTGGAACATTTTCAGTGAGAGGTAATTGGAAGCAAATGGAATTTGGATTCATTATAGGTGCCATTCAAAAGCATGCCTCGGTACAGAGCTGAAGGATTAAGTCAGGGAGAGGGAAAGGCAGAAAAGCAGATTCTTGTTCAGTAATTTGGCTCAATGTGTAGTGCTTTTATAATAATAATCCTTGCATTTGATATAATGCCTTATCACAACGTTGAGATGTCTCAAAGCGCTTCCCAGAATACACTGTAAAGTGAATTGACCGTATATTTTTGTGGGTGAAACGCAGATTTGAGTAACCAATATTTTTAAAGCAATTATTACCCCTGTAAAGCAATCCGATAGTGATAAGGCACTACAACGTCAAAATAATTATAATTATTTACACCAACCACTCCGATTTCCCGCTAGGTAAACAAGACGCGTGGAGTGAGGAAACTTGCCTAAGGTTTCGCCCGTCTGGGAATCAAATCTGGGTCCTCTCGCTTATGAGGCGAGTGCTCTAACCAATAAGCTAAAGACTTCACTTTGACTCTAGAATCAAAGCCTAACACTAGGACATAATCTAGGTGAACACTCCTGTACTGTAATGAGATTATGTCCTTTGGACACAGCATTAAACAAACCAATGTTCAGTCATGATTCACTGGGAAGGAATTGGGGGTGTGGGGGCCTGGGGAAGGGGGTGAAAACGAATCAGTCCATTATTAGTTAAGGATTTTATGGCACTATTTCAAAGGAGCAGAGTTCCCATTTTCTGGGATATTCCTCCCAGATCCAAATTTGTCAAATAGAAACTGGACAGTTAATCGTTTGGCTCATTGAAAAATTAGCTCCTACCCAGCAGTCATTAAAGTGCTAGGAGACATTTTTGTTTCAAAGTGATCAGGCACGACTACATCAAAAAATAATTATAATTATTTGCACCATTAAGCAGTGCCGAGTAAAGAACTGGCTTTAACTAAAGGACAGCGATTGTATCATGTGAAATTTTATTGCTCAAAAACTACAAAAAAAATCCATAAATAAAAATAGTTTGTAGACCATACACAGAATGCTTCCGGGTAAAGTATTTCTTGCACATTTGTTTGTCAAAATGTCACGGTGGAAGAGCAATGTCTTAAAATAGTTTGAAAATAACCTCCAAAACATGCTGAAAAACTAGAACTGAAAGCACCTATTTAGCACTGATCAATATAGCACAGTGTAGTTAGTGTATCTTTTAAAACAAGGAACAGACTCAAGAGTTCCTTCCGTGCTCTGGCACTAAATGGAGAGAAAATGCAGAAGGCTGGGACAGAACTACAAAACAAGTAATTGTTTTTAACCTTTATTGAAAAGTAAAAATAAGAATTTAAAATGGCATCCCAACCAAACAAACAATTTGCTTCAATTGATGGCATCTATTAAACTCTAGTACAAAGACAAAACCAACATCTGCACGTTTATATAAAAAAAACGTTGTCATCATTACCCGTCTGCCACAGGGTTCGGGTGCTATTTCCTGTTGTTTCCCATTACTGTACCAAACTGAACTGAGTGAAGAGAGCACTGCTTGAACACTAACACTCGGGAAGTGCACTGTATACCGCCTGCTGTGTGAACTGCTGGCTATTTGCCCGCCTGTTGGGCCTGTCTGCGCAGGAGGACGTAGATCTTCTCTTTGATCCAGTCCTTGTTATAGGGCTGGTACGTCTGGGTGTCGGCTCGGTAACTGCAGGTGGGAGAAGAGGACAAAATAATCAATAGCACCTTTGTTGCTTTAAAAAAGTGTGTGAAAGACAAGTTCAGTTCAAAGCTGTATTAATGGGAACCATTGGGTAGAAATGCCATTTATCCCCATGCACTCCTATATGGACCTGCAAGACACCCACAGAACAACACCAGTTGTGCGCACAAGGTTTCTAAGAATGCTCTGACCCTGCTGATCAGAGAAACTTGGTGTGCACAACTTTCCATCCATTGCCCCAACAGGACTTCATTTTGTTTGCTGGTAGCAAAGGCAACTCATTAGAGGTGGAAATAGTCTACAGATCAAGAGAGGTATAAAGTTACAGACAGAGACACACTGACAAAGGCAGAGAGGGAAAGACACAAATTGGGGGAGAGAGAGGACATACACGCACTCTCAAGAGGAAAACATCGCAAAGAGAGAAAAAACGGACTCAAATTGAGAGAAGGGCTGTCATACTTTAAGTGCTATAATAATATAATAATCCTTGCATTTGATATAGCACCTTATCAATATATTTATAATTTATATAGTTAAGAAAGTAGCTAATCTGTATTTGGTTTTATGTCCAATTATCCACACTATTTGCTTATCTGCAAAAGTGTAGTCCCAAATAGTTCAAAGAATCATCTGTTTACTGTGTGAGCCTCTTAGGTACACAAATTATTGCTGCTGCCAAATAACACATAAGGTATTCCATACTACATTTCTTTACCTCCATTTAATGACTGGCCAAAAACTAGCAAAAGCAGGGAACAGGACAGGGCTATACAAAGAAGCAAGAACAACTACCACAATTCTATCTATGTGGTGTGGGAAGAAAAAAAGCACTCCTGCTTTATATAAGTCCTGATTGACCTTGTAACATAAACACAAGCAAACTGTCCCAAACTGTGAGCAACAAGGGGGAGTGAGAATTAAACTGTATTGAATCTGGTGGGCTGCCAGGGTTGGAATTTTTTTCCCCAGCATCCTGCAATCCTGCAGCCTGAAACAGGAAAAAACTGTTGACATTTGGCAGGAGAATGCATGTATTAGACCACTCTGATCAAACGTAAAACTGAGCATGCACATAGGGGTGGTGGGGGAGAAGAAAGAGTGTAGAATGAAAAGTGAGAGAATTAATCCATTCTGAGACCATTTACTCGACATAACACAACAAAATATCTAATTTTGCTGCTCAGGATACTGCTATGTAGCTGAAGATCGTAAATACTTAACTTGAACCCACAAACTCCTGACTCAACTGAGAACACTTTAAAAACTCTGCATTTTGAGGTTATTCCTTATTCCTTCTTTTATACATTAGATCCAGTACAGGGTAGCTGGAATGAGGTAATGATTAAGTGACTGTTTGAGGGAAATGATCCAATACACAAAGCATTTACACTTTCTCTGTATTCTCATTCAGCATTTTGTGAAGTTAATCTAGTTTTGTACCAGTTTATGAAGGAGATTAAATTGATACATTGGGATTCAACTAGGGTTTGAGGGAAATTTGCTTGCGATTTGGAAGGTCCTTTGAAGGACCTGGCAACAGGAACAATCTAACTGAAGTGGTGGGCTTGCAAGGCTCAAGTATTGCCCCCTTTTGTGGGGCTTTGGGAGAGGGCTATTAACCTGTTCCCTGCAATTTATTTTAGGCTACCCAATGGGGTAGATTGATTGTAGGTAACAGGCTAACAGAGAGAGAGAGAAAGAAATGGGGGTTGAAATGTGCATCATAAGGAAGGCAACTGGTCTGTGAAGGTCCCATGTTCAGTCCGTTATTCTGAACTCTAGCCACAACCTGATGTGGACAACAGACACTATAAGTAAAAGCTATCAATTGAAACAGATCAGAACCTATTTGAAGACACTCTGGACTATTGACAAAATGTCTGAATTCACACGAGATGACCACCAAATGCTATTTAAATAGCAATCACCAGTTTAATAAGATATCTCATTTCTTTATTGACAATGCATTTGAAGCGATCAAACATTTAAGAGAGATTTGCACTTTCAGATTTTCTAGGGCATCTGCAAATTCCCTGAGGCCCTGGGTAATGGAAAAGAACGTTCAGGCATAAGCAAACACGATGGCAATTATTTTGAGGGGAACCCAAGCCAACATCTTGCTGCTGTGAATACAGAACAAGTAACTGGATTTTCTTTTGCTAATTTTCTCTTTGCCTCAAAAGGCTCGACCCCTTTTATCCTTCTGTTAAGTTGTCATTCTACAGGAACAATGGTACCTTGAAGCAAGTGGGCACTATTCATAGTTGTGAATGTTGGCAGGATATATGTTCATTAAATTGGGGGGGGGGGGGGGGGGAAGAGAATAAATCTCAGCTCCTCCTGTCCTCACCCGACAACCATATCAGTGGGTTCATCTGGGTATTGATCAATAGAAATAACCCAGGCTGATCATTTCCTCCTTGTAGACGTGACAAAGAGCACCAGTCTTCAGTTTAAGAATACACACACGTATGAGACCCACTACAAGATCCAACACTTCTTTTTTGTCAGCAAGGTCAGCTAATTCAGCATAGAACCAAGGACTGAATCTGGAACCTTCACAGTCCAGCACCACGTGATTCCATGTGACTCGGGTTTTGGTACCAGAGCACAATGTAGCCCACGGCTAAGATGGTAACCTCTCATCGTGAAGGGCTACAGTATCAGTTGTGCACTCATTATAACTGAATGTCCTTTTAATTATCCTCATTAGCAAGAATTCTTATGCAAGGAAGTGTTAGATGCTGTCATTGATAAGGTATGGTCACTCACCTTTTATACACTGTAATCTTGTAAAAATAAAACACTAAATACTACAGCGTACAGGTACAACAAAAAGTTTTCACAAAGTTATACAGACAATTAACATTTGAAGTGCTGCACAGCACTACACAACATTATACTTTCTATTTGTTTTAAGCTTCTAAAATCCCTTTTTGTGCTCAGTTACACACAACTCAAATCGGATATAACCCAGCAGTGTGCTGGCGCCACCCAGTGGTTGCTCATGTCATTGCTTAATACTGTACAGAAGTCGGTATTCAAATTTCCAAATTTTTGAGTCTTAAAAAGACACTGTAAATCAGTAGACTGACATGTCACATACAGATGTCACATTCCACAATCAGTTAATTATTCAATCTTTCACCTGAGCTCGACTTGAAGAGGACTGTACTTACACAAGGCAACTGAGATCAGCTAAGTCATCAATAAAATCGAAGAGCTGGCTAATGTCATAAGTAATCGATGGGCTGTTCGGGTTCATTCGCTTCAGATGCTCTTCATACATCTTACAGACACCTAAGGACAAAGTCAAGGCAAAGGTAGCCACTTTATGTGTGCAATGGTTCCACGTTAACTAGCGTTTAATGGCTAGAATTGGCCAAATACAAATCAAGAAAATATATAACAATCAATTGGGGAATATGCGTTTAATCCAGGCAATTACACAGTAGCAGAAACAAACTAATTGTTGATGGCTGCTTTACGAACACTAGGCTGAGAAATAAAATCACTTCCGTTGTCTCAAGACAGAATTCAAATAATCGCTAGCCAATAATTCACTGTTTAAAGCTGTAGAATGCTTATAGCGTCTCCCTAAACAGACAAATGCCATCAAGTTACTCCCAGGCAAAGTAAGAAAGATGAAGATGATGAAAATCTGACAAAATTTGAGCTAATACAGTAGACTCTTGTTACGTACACCAGAACAAGTAACTGTTTGTAGTATGATGGTAGCAGCTGACCCCAAGAACGCAAGTTCATTTATAGTGTAGTTCTAGTGTGGAACATAACTTACTGACATCCCAAAAATCTAAAATATAGGTAAAATGGTCAGTAGTCTTGCTTTAAATATGTGTGTTAAAAAAAGGCCAACTCTGGTAACACGTCCCCTATGTGAAAGGAGCTATACAAGGGCAAGATGTTGCAGTTGTGGGTGGTCTAGATACAAAGAGTTAATTTTAAAATATTTCTAATTAAGAGAGGTGTAGGAAAGAAATCAAACGTCACAAGAATATGGAATGAACTAATTGGAGTCAATTGAGGCACAAGAGAGAGACAGAGAATTGCTGACTCTCTTATTAACTTAACCTGTTGGTCATCTCTTATTAACCTGACCAACCTGTTGGTTAGTCAGGTTAATAAGAGATGTGGAGAAAAGATGTAGCAATGGAATTAAATAAATGTTTTCATTACTGTCAGGTCATCATTACAGTGTTCCTAAAATACACCTGGAATTTCAAAGGAGTCACCTTCCCCATCATCATCTAAAAACGAGTGTGGAGTGGGATAGAGGCTCCAGTAAGTCAATTTGAGAGATTTCTACTTTTTAGGTTCAATTTATATGTTAGTGTCTCATGAACAACAAAAAAATTACATTTGTATAGCCCTTTCATGTCGGGAGGTCATCCCAAAGCGCTGGACAGTCAGTGTTTCGGACCTGAGCTGGGGTCGGGATTGGGGAGAGCAGGGGGGGAATAAGGGTGACCAAAAGCACGAGAAGAGGGTCTTGAGATGGGTTTTGAAGGAGGCAAGGAAGGGGGTGAGGCGGAGGGACTGTGGGATGGAGTTCCAGAGGGTGGGGGCAGAGTGGCAGAAGGCCAGCCCGCCAATGATGGGGCAGGCGAGGCGGGGGACCTGAAGCTGGCCGGAGCCCGTTGAGCAGAGGGAGCGGGTAGGTTGGTAGGGAGTTAGGAGGTTGCAGAGGTAGGGGGAGGAGCAAGGCCATGGAGGGCTTTGAAGGTGAGGACAAGGATCTTGAACTGTACCCTCTGCGCAATGGGAAGCCAGTGGAATCAGGTGAGGATGCGGGTGATAAGAGTCATGTAGCCAGGTGGAAAAGACACGAGCATCATAGAGTTCTGGATGATCTGCGGCCTATGGAGGGAGGGGTTGGGGAGGCTAACAAGCAGGGAGTTTGCACTCAAGCCTGGATGTTATGAATGAGTGTATGAGGGTTTCGGCAGCCTGTGGTGTGAGACAAGGGCGGAGCTGGGGAAAGGCAGAGTGAGTCATTGCATGGATGTGGGGTAGAAAGGATAGCTGATGGTCAAAGAAGACCCAAGATTCTGGACTGGTTTAGTAAGGTGGAGTGTGCAACCATGGATGATGATGCTGTCAGCGCCTGAGGAGGGCTTCAGTCTTGTTGATGTGCAACTGAAGAAAGTTAGCTCTCATCCAGGATTTGATGTCTGACAGACATTCTGTCAACACAGCAGTGGTCCTGGAGTCAAGGGTGGAGGCAGAGAGATACAGTTGGGTGTCATCCGCATACATGTGGAAGTTGACCTCATGTCTGCGGATGATGTCACCAAGAGGGAGCATATAGATGTTGAAGAGGAGGGGACCAAGGACAGAGCCTTGAGGAACGCCGCACGAGATGGTGCGGGGGCTAGAGGAGAAGTCGTTTGTGGAGATGGTGTGAGAGGTACAATCTGAACCATTGAAAGACAGAACCATGAAGTTTGAGGTGAGAGGAGAGGCGGTGGATGAGGATAGAGTGGTCAATGGTATCAAAGGTAGAAGAGGGGTCAAGGAGGCAGAGAGGACCCTGGTCGCTGACGGACAGAATGTCATTTGTCACTTTGACCAGAGCCATTTCTGTGCTGTGGGCGGCATGGAAATACGATGGAGGGGTTTGCGAAGGGAGTGGCGGGAGAGGAAGGAGCGAAGCAACGACTCATTCCGGTACCTTGGATAGGAAAGGGAGGGTGGTACTGGGGCGGTAGTTTGAGAGCAGGAATGGGTCCAGGGAGAGCTTTTTTTAAGGATATGAATGATGATAGCCGTTTTAAAGGGGTGGGAACGGTGCCAGTGGACAGGGAGAGGTTTATGATGTCTGTGAGTGGAGGGTCAAGGAGGTGAAGCTGGGAGGTAAGGAAAGGGGTGGGGATGGGGTCAAGGGAGCAGGTGGTTGGTTTCATGCGGGTTATAGTGGTGGTGAGAGAGGAGTGGGAGACAGGTTCGAAGTTGTGGAGGGAGGGATGGATAGGGGCCAGGGTGTGAGGGGGAGATGGGGAGGGGGAGCAGACGGAAAGGCAGAAGCAGTTGAGTAGATCCCCTCGACTTTGGTTTTGAGGAGGTCCAGGGTCGCCTCGGAGGTGAGGATGGGAGAGGCATGAGCGGAGGAGTCAGCTGGTGATGGAGAAGAGGAGCCTGGGATTGTCCTTGGCCTCCAAGATTGTTTTGGAGTAGAACGATGATTTAGCGGAGGCGAGGGCAGCGCAGTATGGTCCAGCCAGATCTGTGGATGGACTGTTAAGTTGGACTTAAGCCAGATGCGTTCAGCAGCACGCAGCTGTGCTTTAAAGGAGCGGAGATGGCTGGTGTACCAGGGTGACTTTCGTGAATAGGAGACGGTTCGGGAAGTGAAGGGAGCAAGGGAATCGACAGTGGTGGAGAGGGAGTTGTGGAGGAGCATGACCGAGGAGGATAGGTCATTGTGGGAAGAAGCCCAGAGAAGGAGAGGGATGGTGGTGGGGGAGATTTTTTTCAGGGGCGGTAGGAAATGGAGGTGGGTTGGGTGGCGGTGGGAAGAGGGATTGAGTTAAGAGAGATGAAGTGATGGTCCGAGATGGCTTTGGGGGCAATAGTGAGGTCCGACACAGTGAGGCCCCGAGCGATGAGGTGAAGTGAAGGTTGAAGTCGCCTAGGATGAGGAAGAGTTCAGAACAGAGAGAGAAGGAAGATAGGAAGGTGGAGATGTTGGAAGGGAAGATGGAGGAGGGGGGCGATAGATAATAAGGATTTTGAGGGAAAGGTTGGAGGGATGATGGGGGGTAAGGTGCTCAAAGGAGGGGAAGGTTCCAGAGAAGTAAGGCGATAGGACGAGCAGGGACCGGGAGATGAGTGCCTTAACAATGGTTAGAGCCTGACACCGAGCCGGGGTGAGGTGACCGTAAGCACATTGAAGAGGAAGGTCTTCAGGTGTGATCTGAAAATGTGGGAGGGGACAAGGCGGAGGGATTGAGGGAGAGAATTCAAAAGTTTTGGGGCGTAGTGGCTGACATCACAGCAGGTGGAGTGGAGGAGACGAGGAACAAACAAGAAACATTAACACATATGTCAGAGAGGGAGAGATACACACACACTTCTATGAGCTATTAATATAGCAAAACAGGCTCCATGGTTCAAATAACCTCCTCCTACATTTCAAACTAAAAAAAAGCCTCAAGCATTACGGTTTTAAAACACACAGAAGGCAAGAAGAAAGCACTCACCTTCCATACATTCATTTACAGACTCATAGTCAGCATATGTTCTGCCTTCCGGCCTTTTGGTTGGCTGAACCAGCAAAATTGTATGAGACTGCGAACAGAGGAATTAACCTGTTTATTAGATGCAAAATGACACCTTGCTCTCACCTTACTGCAAGCAGTAAATAAAATATCCATAAAATAGAAAACTTCCTCTCAGACAAGGCATTATAACCTAAAAGCTTATTAATTCCTGCTCTTTGAAATCCCATATGTTCTCCACCCTCAATACTTGGGATCCACAGCAGTAATATTAACTGTGTCTCTATCACATCTTGCCAAGAGGCAGATACCCCACCTTAAGACTTTTAGTACAAAATCAATGTTGACCTACAAACCTCCCAGCCAGGAGAGCTGGAATAACAGTGCAAAAGTGCACATCAGCGGGTACATTTATGATCTGTGTCTTAGCATAGCGTGGATGCAGAGAAATTGCAAAGACTAAACTTAATATATCAATATGTTTTAGCATGGCAGAGCTAACAATTTACGTTAACTCTGGTTAGGATTTCAATAACTTCCATCAAAGCAATAAGTTCCATTTATGTATAAAATTTGTACTGTGGCTTGGGACTCACTGAGGAGTAGAAATATAACGGCTGACACGATTATATATTGATTATAAGCTGACTTTATTTGTGCAGGTGCATGGTGGGGAAAGTGGAATAAGTTTGGTGGGGCGGAGGGGAGTCGGGAAGGAAGGAAATGCAATCACATAGATGGAAACAGGTCATTTGGCCCATCTAGTCCTGCTGGATTGTATGAACAGGATCCGAATTGTAATATTATAAAAGAGCCTCCTGAAATTGACTGTTAGTGATCAAGTGTGAATAATGAGCACTTGGTGAGCTGTCAAACCTATTGAACTATCAAATACCAGCTGACTGCAGAACTGCAGCCCCAACAGAAGGAAAATGCCTTCAGATACGTGGGATAAAACTTAGTAGAAAATTACTGATGGGGGGTAAAAGAGGATAAGAAATTCCATATAAAAAAAGATGAGCGACACTCACTATAGTATCTGCATAAGTAGCCAGAAAAAAAACTTTCAACTTCTTCCTCTAATGCTGGAAATATGGATGTAACCAAACGGTAGTGGTATTATAGTAAAAGGACAACATCCATGTGTTGACGGGACTATTATGTTCCATCATCTCCACCCACTCTACTGCTCTTTTTAAAGCACACAGCATCACTCTTTCTGCTGGGAGTCTTTTACATATCCACAACTTGGTGGAGGGGAGAGGGCACGGTGGCCACAATGAAAGTAATTTAAATCTTGTTAATTTAGTACTCATGACCTGTAGTTTTCCTTTATGGTTCAAATTAAATAACTTACATTTATATAGTCTCTCATGTAAAAGAATGCCTTGAAGCAGTTCTTAAAACAAAAATAATTTTAGATAGCTATGTTGTTACGCAGGCATACACAGTAGCTAACACATACCAGTGATATCTCAATTAATATTAATTTAACAAATATTATTAACAAACAATTTTCAAGCAATCTTTTCCATTGAATTATTCGAAAACAGTTTTGATGAGGGAGAAAATTAGCCAGAACATGTGGGGGAAATTTCTGCTTTTCTTGAAAAGCTGCATCATTTCAGATTTCCCACAAATTACTAGTCAAGTTTTATTCATATAAAATGGATAAAATCCAAGAAAAAATACAGTAATTACATTATGTTGTTCAATCCTCCCACCTGGATCACGTTCCCCTTCAACCTTTTCTCAAATATTGTGTAAGATTGGTTCAAAATTTTACCGAGTCTTAGAGGAATGAAAAGTCACTCTTCCCTGAACAGCTCCTTAACACAAACATGCCATTGAAAAATTAGGAAGTGCAGAAACTGTGTAAACTTGTCAATTTGCTTTCAAAAATGATGTATAACAGCAGATTGTCACACGATATGCTACTTCTACAGGTAGTGAAAAGCACCTTCAGAAACACCCTGTTAACATGACCAAACCCTAGAGCACAACAAAGACAAAAATTTTAGAATGGATCAAATTTAAATGGATGTGGAACACAACTCCCAACAAATGTTGCAGGGGTTACCTCCTTCAAAAATAACTGATCTGCTTGAGAAAAATGTTGGGAGGTTACGGGTGCAGCCAGACACAAACCCTTGCTTCCTGTGCTCGGGGGGGGGGGGGGGGGGGTGAAGGGAAGAATCCATAGGGAAGGAGGCTAGAATATTGATTCATAGATTTTTTCCTGAAAGTTTCTCTCGATTATACTTAGCAAAGAATTCGGAGTGGGTGGGCTACAATTCACAATGGATTTTTGTGCTTCTTGTACAGAGCCTGAGATCTTGATAAGTGAATGGCTGTGTTTTTAAAATATTCTACACTTTATTTTACTATTAGAGTAGGGCACTGATAAGACTTCGCTATAACTGCTGTGTTGGCTATAGTACAATGGTGCAAAAAGTTCTTAATCTGACCACAAATACAATTTATCAATAAATTACATCCAAAAATGCAAGACACCTGTTGGAACAATTGCTATATGCAACTTTAAGAACTAAACACTACCCAGGAGAAAGAAACATAACTACTAATTTAATTTCGCAATGCATCACAATGTCCTTGAAGGTTAATTCACGAACAAAAAAAGCTGCCTTAATAATTTCTGTTGATAGAATCCAAACTTAATTAAAATTATGCATATCTGGACAGTTACTTCATAATTTTAAATACACACTAGTTCAAAAGTGCATAAAGGATGTCCCCAGAAATGTTATTTTCCTTCTTGCATTTTACAGATGTGTTCCTAGGTACAAACGATAGTTCTGTGCTAGTTCCAGCCACATTTTTGATAGCATCAATACCAGATTCCTATGGAAATTCACCTGCACGTTTACTGCCTGAAATATATAAAATAACATGGATTAGTAAATGCACAAATAGCTACAAACATAATATCCTATAATGTACACAATGTTTTTAATCAATGTCAACTGACTGACTTCCTTTAAAAAAAACATTTTTTTTTACTGTCTCATTTTCCTAGTTTTAAACCCCTGTCTCTTAAAAGCAGCAGCTTATGCTATCTTACAAATTCTAGTCAGGATTCATTAATTTAGGATGGATGCTCATTTTGGTCAAGTGTGGCCTATTTTGAAATGTTCACTTTAGCAGTTTAAACAGATTTACATACATTCTTTGTTAAAGTGCATCACACTCGTAACATTTTCCTCACTGTTGACCGCCTTCCAGTTTCATGTCCCAGTTTTGCAAAGTAGAAGTATATATTTCTTTCGCTTAACTTTGCAAGAAAGCAAACTCGGCCGTGCAAACGGTCGCAATTCACAATCCGTGAACTTTTGAAACGACAAATCACATTTGCATCGCAAGTTTTCGAAGTTATGTGCAATGGCCTCTCTCTCTCCCGCCCCCCCCTCCCCCACTCCCGAGATGATATCGGCAACCGGTTACCAACAGCACAGCCCCGAGTGAGGTTCCGGGGGAGCCCGTAGGCCTCAGACCCTCTCATCCAGTCACGGCGCGAAAAAAAAAGTAACGCTGGCTTTTCACGCTGGACTTTATAAGCAATGTTGACGGGAAAGACGACCATTTTCTCTCCCCCCCCCTCCACCGCCTACGTTATCCCGGGCTCTCTCGCAGCCCCCCACCATGTTGAACCCTGGAACCGCTGTAAAATAACGCGCCACTTCTCTGCCTCAACGGACACTCGGCGCCCGCCGCCATCTTTGTGCGGGCCATCAAGCCTCCCTCCCTCCCTCCCATTCTCGGTTCGACCCGGTAACAAGAGCCCCGGCTCAAACCGGAGCTGAGCTTTATTCGCCCGAAACGTGAAGGGAGGCCCGAAGCGAGGAAGGTTTGTGGGGTTTTTTTTCCGACGCTTGCTTGTAAAAACCAACCTCTGGCGAAGTCGTATCGCCGGCGGCCATCTTTGTGCGGGGCAGAGAGGGCGGGAGCGAAGCTCTGAACATTCACAAAACAGCCGCGACCGCTTTATGTTTTTCTTTTTTTTTAAAAAAAATATACCGCCTGAGCGATCCCGAGCTGGATCGGGTCTACCGCCGAAAAGGAGCGCGGGCGGGCGGGCGATCGATCGAGCCGAGAGAGAAGGACTTTTCGTGGCGTCTTTTGTTTTCAGCGATGTAACGTGACGCGGAGACGAGACGAGCGAGAGACCCGCGGCCGCTTCTCCCCGGAAGTGACTGTGTGGCGTGAGCGGGTGGCGCGCGAGCTCACGCACGCACGCACACACACGCGCGCGCACGCACGCACGCACGCACGCACGCAGGCGGGCGGGGGGGCGGGCGGCCGGAAGTTGACCGTGATGGCCGTGCGGTTGGGCTGGAGACGGGGTTCGCGCGCGGGTTTTGGCCCTTAACTCTCGCCCGAGGACGGCGGCGTGTTGACTCCCCGTTGGAAGAGCTCAGAGGAGGCCCCGGGGGCGGTGGGAGCGAGGGAGCGAGGCCTCGAAGTACCGTGTAACCGGTTGGCGGTGGTGTGGTGTTGTGTGGTGGTGTGAGCAGGGGCTTGGGCTGGCAGTTGTCCCCGGCTCAGGCCTAACCGCCTCTCCTCCCCCCTCCCGCCCTCTCCTCTCCTCTCCGTGTGTCTCAGGCTTCTCACCCCCCGCATGTACCTGGCAGGGCCGGGGGGGTCACCATGGACGATCTCACGTCCATCAGCCTGCTCTCGCTGGCCATGCTGATCGGCTGTTACGTGGCAGGCGCCATCCCCTTGACTTTCAACCTGTCTGAGGTAAGGATAAACTGAGGGGGAAGGGGGGGGGGGCGCTCGCTCGGTGCATCAGATCACGGGGAAACCGTACATGCGTTTGATTTATTTTTTTGGGGTGAAAAAAGGGGTAACGAGGGGCTTTGCTCTGGGTTCCAAAACGATGATCAATCGTTATTTTTCCTCCACCTCCTGCTGAATTAGTCTCTCCCATCGTTAATGAGTATGTGTGTGTATGTGTGTGTGTAAATATATATAAACACAGACACACACACACACACACAAAGTGAAATCCAGTCCCCGAAGGAAAAGTTTTGCTTTTTATTTTTTTGGCAGATTCCTAAACTTTAAAGTTCTCTAAAGTCCCCCCGCCTCAGCGCATTGGGACGTTATCCTGATGTGAAAGGTGCAACTATAATTAACGCAATTAATTACACTCGTTGTTTTAACTTCACTGCTATTTGCCCCACGCTTGTGCTAAGGCTGAGTCACACTAATAGGTTGTAGCGAAGGTCAACTGGGCAGTCCGAAGTCAGGTGAAACGAGAATTCCTGCGGTTGTTTTTTTTTGAAAAAGGGAGCCACTTGAACAGAACTGTTTACGTTTCTGCACATGGAAGCATTAAATAATAATAATAACCCTTGCATTTGATTATAGCGGTTTTCACGTCTTCCAGACGGCTCAAAGCGCTTCACAGAATATACTGTAAAAAGTGAGTTGACTGTATATTTGTGGGCGAACGCGGCAGCCAATTGCGCACAGCAGTGTCCCACAAACAGTCGTAGATTGAAAATGACCAATTTATTATTGTTTTTTTTGGAGGGATTATTATTAGGCTCTGTGTGGAGTAAGGAAACTTGCCCAAGGTTTCGCCCTGACCTGCCTGGAATTGAACTCAGGTTTCTCGCTTGCAAAGCGAGTGCTCTAACCACTGAGCTACAGGACTCCACTAAATGCAGTTCAGGCGTCTGGTTCAACCCGCAGCTGTCCTTCCCCACATCTGGTCCCTGACCAGGATCACCACCTTTGCCGCATTGCCCATCTCCGACCGTATCTTATCCCAAATGCAGCCGAAATGCGTTTGTCATCTCCCGCCAAACACACTCCTCGCTGGTCTCCCCAGCTCCACTATTCAAAAGATCCAGCTCATTCAGAGCTCTGACACCCACTTACTTACTTGGTCCAAACTCCGTACCCACATCTCACCAGTTCTGGCCAGGCTCCACTGGCTCCCTCTCACACAACGGATCGACTTCAAGATCCTCACACTTGTGTTCAAATGCCTTCGTTCTCTGGCACCTCCCTACCTCTCCGACTTCTTCATTCCCCAAGCCACCACCCGGCGTCTCCGCTCGACTGGCACCATCCGCCCCACCATAGGAGGTCGCGCTTTCAGGCACTACACCCTGAAACTAACTCTTCCTCGATCCATCAGCCTTGCCCCCTCTCTCCCCTTTTTCAAATCCCACCTGAAAACCTTCCTTTTCGACCGTGCTTAATGCCACCGGAGTGAGGCTCCGCCACTGTTAAGTGCTCTGAGACACTGCCCTGCGTGGAGGGCACTATAGAAGTGCAAGTTGTTGTTGTACACTATTTTGTATTTTATTCCTCAACCTCAATTAAACTCGCCGGCCTCCCTCCACAAGCTGCAGGTCATTCAGAACTCTGCAGCTCGTGTACTGTCCCGCACCAGGCTTCGGGACCACATCACTCCCACCCTCGCTCGCCTCCACTGGCGCCCCATCCCCCAGAGGATCAAATTCAAGATCCTCATCCTCTCCTACAAGGCCATTCACGGAGTGGAGTCCTGTGGCTCAGTGGTTAGAGCACTCGCTTTGCAAGCGAGAGACCTGAGTTCACTTCCAGGCAGAGGGCGAAACCTTGGGCAAGTTTCCTTACTCCACACGCCTAATCATAATCCCACCAAAACAAAAAACAATAATAAATTGGTCATTTTCAATCTACGACTGTTTGTGGGACATTGCTGTGCGCAATTGGCTGCCGCGTTCACCCACACATATACAGTCAATTCACTTTACAGTGTGTTCTGTGAAGCGCTTTGGGACGTCTTCCCGACGTGAAAAGCGCTATATCAAATGCAAGGATTATTATTATTATTATTGCTCCCTCCTACCTCTCCGACCTACTATCCCCCTACCTACCTGCCCGTACCCTCCATTCCTCAGGCTCCGGTCTGCTCCACATCCCCCGCCACAACCGCCCTAGCATCGGTGGCCGGGCCTTCAGCCTCTCAGCCCCGAGGCTCTGGAACTCCATCCCCCCGTGCCTTCGCCTTGCCTCCTCCCTTTCCTCCTTCAAGGCCGGTCTCAAGACCTTTCTCTTTGACCGTGCCTTCAGCTCCCCTCTTGACTCTCTACCCCCTCCTCACTCCCTCCCTTCCTTCCCTTCACCCTGACCATTTCCCCCGTGCTCGGGTCCTGACCCAACAGTCCAGCGCCTTGGGACGTCCTCCCGACGTGAAAGGCGCTCTATGAATGGAATCTTCTTGTTGTAACTTTGATTTTACTTGAAGGGTTATCGATCTCAAGTGGCATTCATTATTTTGGGTTTTAAAATGAGAAGGTTTGAAGTAAATTACTGCAGTTTGAGTTGATTCATATTTCCAGAATATTTCATTTTAATGTAATATTTTATTAGTTAGTGGTTAGTTTGCTTATGCTATAGGTTGGTATTTAGGATAGAGGTTAAGAAACTTGAATGAGCTTGGAATAGGTTGTGTATGTGTGGAAAGGGAAAACAATGTTGGTTTGAACATGCATAAGATGTGGAGGGAACGGGTACTTATTTGAAGGGTTAAATGATCTTATTAACTAGAAAGAAAGAACTTGCATCGGTCACCCTCCCTTCTCCCTCTCTGACCCCAGTTTCGGTCTGAAATGCTGTAAACTGCCAGCGCATTAGTATTTATTAATAAAATAAATAAAGAAAATGTAATCTTGTTGTTTTTGTTATTCAGTGCAGTGACGATTTAAAGGCAAACACAACCGCAATGTCCCACAATCAACACTGAGTTGATTTATCTGGAGGTTTGTTGGTTAGGACAAACTCCCCTCTATTTTAGAAGAAAATTGATGGATTACTAACATTCAGCTGAACAAGCAGATGGACGTTGACTACATGTCAGTTTGGCTCAGTTGGTAGCACTCTTACTGTTTGAGTCAGAAGATTGTGGGTTCTAGATGCGTGTTGAAACTTTGAACTTGTGTGTCAGCTGGGGGTGTGCTGCATTGTTGGAGATGTTATCCTTTGGATGCGAATGTTAAACCGAGGTCCTGTATGACTGTTCAGATGGACTTTAAATTCTGGAGAGAAGCGCTGCATTGCCAGAGGTGCTGTGCTTTGGATAGAATTTTAAACTGAGTTTCCCGCCTGCGTTTTCAGGTGGACGTTAAGATCCCATGACACTGTTCAAAAGAGAAGGGAGTTTCTTCTGGCCTCACAGATATTTAAAAAATGCTCTTTCACTTCATGGTTGCTGTGTGCAAAGTGGCTGCCACATTCGTCTAATAAATTAACTTACCTCACTTTACAGAATTTTCTGTAGACTGTTAAAGACCTGCTATTCTGAGACCCATTATTTAAAAGTTAACCTTTTATCTTCTGGACGTTTCATTCACTGTTGCTGTAAAACAGGAATTAAATGATTCTACATGATAAGATGCTGTATCATGATGCAAAGATTATTATTCATTCTGTCCATTGTTGGATGCTCTACACTTTCAGCCAGTACATGCAAGGATGGATTACCTTACTGTCCACATCTCTCATAGAGCGCTTAAGCCAATTTTTTTATGGATAGATTAGATCAGTGAATTTACAAAGTGAGAGTCATGTGATCTCTACACGGAAAGAGTCAGTTTGGAAAAACTGTGTTCCTCAAAAGCTGCATTATTTCAGCTCTCATGTTGAAATGTACTACAATTTGCGGGATTTACAATGTGACTGCATTTGATGATGTAATTGTTAAATGTGTCCAGCCTACTGGAAGTTTACTGAAACATCAATGCAAGCCTAAAAATTAGGAAGCATTTTTTCACTCAAAGGGTGGTAGAAATCTGGACCTCTCTCCCCCAAATGGTTGTGGATGCTGGATCCATCCACACCTTCAAGAAAGAGATTGACAGGTTTTTGGTAGGTCGGGGTATTAAGGGATACGGGGAGAGAGCGGGAAATTGGATTTTAAATTCTAGTAAAGATATAAATCAGCCATGATCTGATTAACTGGTGGAACGCTCGATGGGCTGAATGTCCTCCTCCTGTTCCTACATTCCTTTGTTCCTTTTGATTAATCAACGACTCTTTCATATGTGTGATACGCAATCTTTTTTGGTAGGCGTTTGGCTAATTTGTGCATACTTTGATAGATGTCACACAAATCACTTTACAGTATATTGTGTGAAGCGCTTTGAGACATCTCAGTGACGTGAATAGGCGCTATATTAAATGCAAGGATTTATTATTATTGTGTCTTGAGCTAGTATATGCTGGAAAACAGAAAGCTCAGATGAGCTATGTTACATGTTTTAGTGCTCAGTGATTCAGCGTTTTATTGTTCTTTGATCAAGGCCAGAATTGTAAAAAGAAAAATCGTTTTAAAATTTACAGGGACTATAAAATGTCAACTACATTTGGATTATGTGCCCCAGAAATTAGCTGGAGTTCTTTGTACTTTTGCATGTACTGATTTGAGCATAAAGGAAATGAGTTAGTGATGCTTTGAAATTGCAGTGTATTCAGAAAGGTAGGTCATGTAGCAAGTGATATCACCATGGTTTCGGAGCCAGTAACGAGATACTTCAGCCAAGCAACTTGACTTAAAAGCCATTTGTCAGTAAGTAGTCTGACAGTTAATGAAATGTAATTGTGCTTTGTGCTACAGGGCTTTAAATTAACACCGTTAAATGCCCGAGCTGCAAAAATGTAATTGAAATGATCGTCTGCTGTTTCTGATATTTATTTGCCTTCTGGAGCCTGATATGCTCTGGGGCGCTACCCTGTGGAGAGTATCAGGCTCCGCTTGAAGGGCGTTATATAAATGCAAATTGTTGATGTTGAGAAGCAATGAGCTGTGTTAATATTCTCAGTATAATTTATGCAAAGGCAGACCATCCTATTGGTACTAATCCAATTTTAATTTTTGGTGTGAGCTGAATGCAGTCCTATTGGTAGATTTAGAAAAAAAACTGATTCTAAAATAAGATGAAAAACTGTTCTTTCGTTTATCAAAAACATTCTCTTCAGTTCTGAGTACAAGTTCAGTTCTTGAATGACAGAATCTTGCTTTTGGTTGAACCTATTAAGATGAATGCTTGAGCTTCTTAGAGTACATTTTTTTTCCCCCAAGTATTTTTTCTTCTTTCACCTTTCTCATTTGCCTTCATTCTCTCATTCTCTTTCTTTACAACAACTTGCATTTATATAGCACACTTCACGGGGGAAGAGGGGTAACGTCTCAGAGGGCTTAACAGTGGCGGAGCGGAGCTGGGGGGAGATTACCGTAAACGCAGTCGAAGAGGAAGGGCTGTGATGAGAGCTTTTGGTTAGGGTTGTCATGAGAGCTCGAACTTTAGTTGTGTTCATACTGGCATATATCTGCAGCGTTCTGGAGTTAAATGTTGTATCGGTTTCATTTTGCTGACTTAATAGGATAATGCTGAAGATGCTTTTTAATTTTCTCTAGGAAAAGTTGAAGTTGGTGACTGTTCTTGGTGCTGGGCTGCTGTGTGGAACCGCTCTTGCTGTTATCGTTCCCGAAGGAGTACACGCACTTTATGAGGATGCCCTACATGGTGAGGTTTACACCGATGACCCAGTGAAACTGAATTTCATTGTATAGTTAATGGTACCTTAAAATTATTCTGCCAGTGCAATGCTTCAGTTTGTGTGAAAGGTTAGGTAAGATTTCCACGTGCTGCTAAAAGTCAGACATTGGTGGTTGTCTTTAAATTGGGAAAAATCCCATTAAACTCCCATTATAACATTTAATGTCCAATGGAAGTTTGCACTAATAGTTTGGATGAAGATGACCCTTCAGCCCATTTGATCTTATCCACCCAGCATAACGTCTTCCCATTCACAGCATCAAGCTGTTTCTTAAATGATTCCAGGGTCCTGCCTTCAGCACTGTTCCTGGTATCTGTTCCAGTCGTTAATTAGCCTCTGAGTAAAGAAATACTTTGGTATTAGTTAATTTATTAACCTAGTTTCTGTCATAAACTTGCCCTTTGCAACTCTAAACTTGCGTCCTCTTGTACAACTGCCTCGATGTATTCTAAACATTGTTCTCGCTTTACGTTTTCAATCTCATTTAAAATGTTATATACAATACAAATTTAGATTTATATAACACCTTTTCATCGTGTGACTGGGGGAACAGTTTTGTGCAACCGAGTTCTGTTCCCTATAACATAACATGTAGGAGCAGGAGTAGGCCATTTGGCCCTGCGAGCCTGCCCTGCCATTCAATCATGGCTGATCTTCTAATCTAACTCCAGCTAATAACCTGACCCTGCCTTATCCCCATATCCCTTAATCCCTTTTGCAATAAGAAATCTATCTATCTCAGTCTTGAATATGTTCAAGGACTGAGCGTCAACAGCCCTTTGGGGTAGTGAGTTCCATACATTCACCACCCTTTGAGTGAAGAAGTTCTTCCTCAACTCAGTGCGAAAGGGTTGGCCTCTGATTTTAAGGTTGTGACCCTTGGTTTTAGTTTCTCCAACCAGGGGAAACAATCTCCCACTATCTACTCTATCATGCCCTTTGATGATCTTATAGGTTCCTATAAGATCCCCTCTAATTCTTCTATATTCTAGAGAACATAGGCCCAAATTGGTCAGCCTATCCTCGTAATTCATCCCCTTCATCCCTGGTATTAACCTAGTAAATCTATGCTGCACCCCCTCCAAGGCAAGTACATCCTTCCTTAAATAAGGAGACCATAACGGCACACAGTATTCCAGGTGTGGTTTCACCAGGGCCCTATACAGTTGCAGCAAGACTTCCCTACTCTTATACTCTAATCCTTCCATAATGAATGCTAACATGCCGTTCGCTTTCCTAATTGCTGCTGCACCTGCAGACTAACTTTCTGTGATTGGTGTACAAGGACACCCAAGTCCCTCTGGACGCTAACACATTCCAATCTTTCCCCTTCTAAAAAATAACCCGCTCTACTGTTTTTGCTACCTAGGTGGATGACTTCGCACTTCCCTACATTATACTTCATCTGCCACCTACCTGCCCAATCACCTAACCTATCTATGTCTCACTGCATTTTTTTAATGTCATCCTCTGTGTTGATACTTCCTCCTAGTTTTGTGTCATCCGCAAATTTCGATATATTAACTTTGATGTCCTCATCTAGATCGTTGATGTAGATGGTAAATAGCTGAGGCCCAAGGACTGATCCTTGTGGCACTCCACTAGTCACATCCCGCCAATCTGAAAAGGACCCGTTTATCCCTACTCTTTGTTTCCTACCCGTTAACCATTCCCCAATCCACGTTAATATGCTCCCCCAATTCCATGGGCCCTTATCTTTTGGACTAACCTTTTATGCGGCACCTTATCGAATGCCTTCTGGAAGTCCAAATAGACCACATCCACTGATTCACCCTTATCTAGTTTACTCGAAATATCCTCAAAAAACTCTATGAGATTCGTCAAACATGACTTCCCTTTTGTAAAGCCGTGTTGATTTGGCCTAATTATATTGTACTCCCCTAAATACCGCACTACCACATCCTTAATCAATGATTCTAAAATTTTTCCTGTCACTGATGTGAGACTAACTGGCCTATAGTTCCCCATCTTTTCCTTTCCACTTTTTTTAAATAGTGGTGTGACATTTGCGATCTTCCAATCCATAGGGACTGTTCCAGAATCCAAGGAATTTTTGAAGATCAGACATAAGGCCTCCACAATCTCATAAGCTACCTCTTTTAAAACCCTGGGATGCAAGCCATCCGGACCAGGGGATTTGTCACTTTTTAGTGCTAACAGTTTCCTTAGCACCAATTCTCTACTAATGAAAATTTCCCTAAGTTGCTCCCTGTCCTTATCCCCTTGGCGCATCTCTATTGTTGGCAGACTTGTTGTGTCTTCTAGGGTGAAGCTAGATGCAAAGTACCCATTTAGGGACTCTGTCATGTCCTTATACCCCATCACAACTTCTCCCGTCTCTGACTGAAGTGGACTTACATTTACCCTCACTAGCCTATTCCTCTTATATATACAAATATATTTGTAAAAACTTTTACAATCAGACTTAATGTTCCTCGCGAGCTTACCCTCATACTCCTTTTTCTCGCATTTAATGAGTTTTTAGTTTTATTTTACTGATTTCTAAAACTCTCCCAATCTTCAGATTTGCTCCTTTTCTTGGCAGTTTTATAACTCTTTTCTTTTAATTTGATGCTTTCCCTAACTGCTCTAGTTAGCCACGGATGAATTGCTTTCCCTGTGGTACTCTTATTCCGCAAGGGAGTATGCGACCGCTGAGAATTTTGCATTACATCCTTAAATATTTGCCACAGTTGGTCTACATTTTTACCTCTTAATCTTATTCTCCAGTCTATTTTACCTAGATCTTTCCTCATACCTACAAAATTAGCCCTATTTAAATTCAGAATACTTGCCTCGGATTTAACTATATCCTTTTCTAACTTAATGCAGAATTCAATCATATTGTGATCTGTTTCCTTCCTTTCTAGATTTACATTTAGAAAGCTGTTGCAAGTATTTTAAACGTGGCTTTCAGATAGCAGTTATTAACCACAGTTTTGTTGCATAACTTTCTGAACCTCGCCATCAGTTTACAATCTTGCAGTCATGTCCAGCGGTCCCTCATAGAAATCATAGAATTTTACTCCATTTGGAACATCTTGCGGGTACCGGCTCTTTGAAAGAGCTGATCGCTCGCTCTTACCCGTAGGCCTGGAAATTTTTCCCTATTCTGATGCATATTCAATTGTTAGGGGGATTTTGTTGCAATGTTACAGGTTTCTCCGCTAACCACCAGAGCATACATAATAACTTCTGACATCTTTGAGTGAATAAAGAATCTCAATGAGGGCCAATGGTCAAGGCTGTACAAGCCTCTTTGTTGTCTCTGAAAAGTCTACCATTTTCTTCAATTAGTCGTAATGCGAGATTTCATATGGTGTAATTAAACCTTTGAATCACCTTATAGCTAATCTGGTGATGCCTTTATTCTTATTTTTTGAAACAGAGTTAGCTTTTAAAACACTAGCAACTGATAAAAGATTTGAGGCATGTCCAGGGGTTTAGGAAAGAGCAATATTTGCATCAGAGTGTCTTACTTTGCCCATTACTTGAGTGTGTGGTGATTTATAATAGTGCAGTACTAATGCAGGTCCTAGCGGTTCAGTGTCAGCAACTGCTGCCAAAAGCTGCAGCAGCATCTTGACTTGCTACAGGTGGTTTTATAACATGATGAGGATTGGGAGGAGACCTTATATATATTCAGCCTTATTGATGTTGGAACAAGAAAGGTTGAGGGGTGATATGATAGATATTTTAAGATAATTAAAAAGATTTGAAAGGTTGAATGATGAGGAACTATTTCTGCTTTCAAAGACAAGAGGATATGAATTTAAGAGGAAAACTTAATTATTCTTAATATTAATATAGGTGCGTGGAAGATTTAGCACTGAAAAGAGAATTTCAGAAGCACAATCAACAAGTTGCACTTATTTGTGCTATTCACAAGGAAATGTAGGATTTAGGAAGAATATCTCAAAGGTGTTTCAAAGGATGATGGGCTTTGAAAAGTGAGACTGGGGGATTTGAAAGGGACCTCCAGATGGTGGGGGCAAAGTGTCTGAAAACCTGGCCACCAGTGGTGAGGCAGATTGGGCAGAGACATGAGTTGGCAGAGTGGAGTAGGTGGCTGTAAAGTTGAGTTGCAGGAGATTGCAGAGTTAGAGTGGAGCCAAAGTACGCATCTTAAATTTGAGCCTTTGGAACCGGAGAAGTTTAGGGATGATGGTATTGAGGAACCAAGTGCAGGAGAGGATGTCGCTTGGAGTTCTGCATGGTCTGTAGCTGGGAAGGCTGGCAAGCAGGGTGACTTGGAAAAGTCAAATCTGGAGGTGACAAAGGCATGGATGAAGATCTCAGCTTGTTTGGGTGGTGAAGTGGGAGTAGTAGTAACAGTGGTGGGAGATTTTGTGGAAATGTAAGAAAGCAGACTTGGTTAGAGCCTGGTTCAAAAGAGGTTTAAAATAAAATAAAACTTTTGGTTTCTGCACAGGCTCCATGAGTTGGCGTGAGCGATGAGGGGGATTGATTCACTCAGTGCGCGAAGAGAGAGGTTCTGAGCAGCCGAGCAGAGGCTTATTTTTTATCGACATCTAATTGGAAAAAATTAAAACTCATCAAGGATTTGGTGGCTGACGGGCATAACTGCATTAGTCCTGGAGTCAAGGGTGGAGGCAGGAAGGCATAGAGTTGAGTGTCATCAGCCTACATGTGGAGGAAGGGTATTAGAGAGTACAAGGAAATAGCAGGGAATCAGTAAAAATGGCTTCAATGGATGAACAAGCAATGACACGAGTGCAATGGGTTCAAATGGCCTTTACTTTTATTTCTATAGTTCTGCATCATTGAAGTCTACATGGTTTTATGGTTCTACATTATTTCCCAAACTCTTTGAGATGTCTGGAAGACATGATAAGGCGCGATATCAAATGCAAGGGTTATTATTATTATTGAAGTAAATTCAGCATTGGAACTTTTGTATGAAAGGTCACGTAGGTCTTGGAAGTATAAATTCACGTGATTAATATCCAGTGTTAAAGTAGTTGGGAAAGGCTTTTCAAGTGAGTTGAATTGAATTTGTCCCTTTTTTCTTCTTCAGGTAAACATCACCACGCAGGAGAAGTAGAAAAGGTGGAGGAGTCGTTGAAGGTTGGCGAGTCTGTGGAGACTGAACATGTTCACGAGCACTCAATGCTACATGCGTACATCGGCGTCTCCCTGGTGCTTGGGTTTGTTTTTATGCTCCTGGTTGACCAGATTGGCAGTTCCCATGTGCACTCTGGCGATGGTAAGATGTACTTAAAATCCAATGGGTTGTCCAGTCACGTACTTGCACTCAGAGGAAGCAAGACTTCCAAGAGGACAATGAAGGCGAGGAATCTGTGATGGCTATTCAGAAAGAAAAAAATGATTCAGTCACTCAATCTGTTTGTGGAACACTGTCGTGCGCAATTGGCTGTCCTGACTTGCCCACAAAATATATAGTCAATTTGCTTTACAGTATATCCTGTGAAGTTGTTCTGGAACGTCTCAAAGATGTGACGAGGCACAATATCAAATACAATGTTTAGGCCTCTGCGATGCAATAATGCTAACATGAAAGCCGCCACTTCCTTAACTGGACAAGTTATTCGATCAGTTTTACATTGAAATTATGTACTTACAAGAATTCCTACAAATGCAACGAGTTACGTGTTCAGCGAAGTAACAAGTAAAGCTCTGGCCCTGATTAATTATTTTATATGGAAAGCTGTCAGGATATTGAAAACATGACGACCTAAGTACGAGTAACAATTTAAGCCAGTGTCAAGTTATCTAGAGTTTACTCTGTGTGTATGTATTTACTTTGAGACAGAGATAGAAAAATTTATCTGGAATAGAGCTCAGCTATTATTTCAGCTTTAATCCAAGTTGAGCCAACAAGTTCTTTCAGTAGCTTAATGTAGCCTGATTGCTCAAACTCTATTGGAAGAGGGAGAATCCTTTAAATGTTTTTTTAATGTATTATATCCATTATGTCTGTCTTTTGAGCACTCTGAGACGCTACCCCGTTTGAAGGGCACCATATAATGCAAACTGCTGCTGTTATGTTTCATACAATACCTTTATTAGTCGGATCTCAAATTCAGTGTCTTCTCGTTGCAGCATTCAGAAATATTAGAATTAGAATTTATTATGACTCATTCATGAACTTCCCCCATCCTATGGCAGTTTTAAGTTAACCTCCAGCTATTTCAAACTGCCACTTTTATTGCAGTAATCTTGTAGTCTTGGCAAATTAGTCTGTTAATTTAATGAGCCTTTCATTCACATTACTCTTTGCTGCGTTGTCTGTTTGGCTCATATACTAAGTGCGGAATGGAGAATTATCAATTTTTATGTCGTGTTTGGAACACTGTTGTGTCCCACGAGCTTTCATTTAAGTGTTTGTTTATTGTGAAAGTGCTAAGAAATCCCAATGCTTTGTGGTGATTCATGAGTTTCTTTTTTAAAATACGCAATATAAGCCATATTTTAATGTGGGTGTACTCTTCTGCACAGTTAAAAGACAATGGTTGAATATGTACTTTCTAACTATCTTCAAAGACCTAAGATAGTTAGCCTTGCATTATTACAGTGAAGGGCAAGTGTATGTCAAGTGGGAATCTTTCTAGGCATTTTATGAGGTTTGTTACAGTCGTTATTACTTTAGTCTTAAGATTTTGAGCCACATGTTCTGTTCCCTTTTTACATTATTTCACTACATTTATAAGTTCTGTACAATCTAAATGAAGTTGTAACTCATCTCCGCCCAACTCAGGCTCCTGCTCAGATTTTTTTAAAGCACTTCGAAATGTTCCAAATTATTGTCGTAATGCTGACTGGAAGATGTGCTGCTGTTGGGAGGTGGGCATGTGGCTGAGGGGGACAGGCATGTGGTGGGGGTGAAGTTGTGGGCTAACACGTCAACCAATTCTGCCCACAGTAATGGCCCGCAAACAGCCGTGGAGTGAATACCCAATTTTATCTGGGGGATTATTGGCTAGAACACCGGGAGAACCTATCTTCTTTTTGAACAATGCCAAGGGATCTTTAATGTCCACCTAGACAGGCAGATTGGACCTTAGTCTCAACTGCAGAATGGCACCTCTGACAATACAGCGCACCCCCAGCACTGCATTTGAGTCTTAGGGGCTTCAACAACAACAAAATTACATTTGTATAGCGTCTTTCACGTCGGAAGGATGTCCCAAGTGGACAACCAGTGTTTTGGACTCGAGCTGGAGAGTTCACAATCTTCTGATGCTGAGGCGGGAGTGCTACCAACTGATACTAATTGTTCAATTTGCTGTATTTATTGTATTTTTAGATGCTGAAGCCGTGAGAGCAAATACCAAGATCACCACCACACTTGGACTGGTGGTTCATGCAGCAGGTAAGTGCTGTGCCCTGTGTGACCTTAGTTTGACAGCATTGCTGCACCACGGGTCAATGGAGTGGCTGGAATTTAAAGACCTTAGGCCGACTCTAGTGAGCCAGTAAGAATTCAGCATTGATTATGATATCCTGCATGATACCCTGAAGCAAACCCATTGCCCAGTCTACACATTGAATTTAAATGGACCAAACCATTTCCAGTTCACTGCCACTGTATAGCTCCTGAACCGAGCAAAAATTGTTCAAAGCTCTCACAACTGCACAAAGGCATTTGAGTCATCTCCCTGTCCCACCACCATTTTTGTTCTGGGTGTAACAAACAACACCTATACCATGTTCCAGAAGTGAACGTAGAATGGTTTATTTTATTTTACTACCTTCCCTGCTTTTTTTTAATCTGCAGCAGGACTGAGCAGAACATGAAACAATGTCATAACCCAGCTGAGTAGACAGTTCATCTAAAATCATACCATTCATTGCTCCCAAGCTGTCAGTGAACCTCCACCATGTACTAAACACTGGTAGTCATCCTCACCTACAAGGCCATTCACGGCCTTGCTCCCTCCTACCTCTCCAACCTACTATCCCCCTACTTACCTGCCCGTACCCTCCGTTCCTCTGGCTCTGGTCTGCTCCACGTCCCCCGCCCCAACCGCCCTACCATCGCTGGCCGGGCCTTCAGCCTCTCAGCCCCCAGGCTCTGGAACTCCATCCCCCAGTGCCTTCGCCTTGCTCCCTCCCTTTCCTCCTTCAAGGCCGGTCTCAAAACCTTTCTCTTTGACCGTGCCTTCAGCTCCCCTCTCGACTCTCTTCCTCCTCCTCGCTCCCTCCCTTCCCTCTCCTCACCCTGACCATTTCCCCCTCCTCTCTCCCTCCCTCCCTCACCCTGACCATTTCCCCCTGCTCGGGTCATGACCCAACTGTGCAGCGCCTTGGGACATCCTCCTGACGTGAAAGGCGCTTTATAAATGGAATCTTGTTGTTGTAGTTAACCTCAGCTCTCCTCACTATCCAAGTAAAATGTACCACTTGACTACATTCTTCTATTACGTGCAATGTTACCAAGAAATAATGTTTAGGTTCATCCCTTTTGCAAGTTGTAAAAAAAAAATTGGGGGTATGTTTATGATAAAATTTTATTCAATTTGTGATTTGTGCAGAAGGTACTGTGTATAAAAGCAGTACCTTTTTTCTTATGTTCCTGTATTTTCCCCCATTGATGTACTGAAACAAGGATTATTTTGTTCATTCTTTTCTCTAACAGCGGACGGCATTGCATTGGGTGCAGCAGCTTCCACATCCCAGACAAGTGTACAGTTGATTGTATTTGTAGCTATTATGTTGCACAAAGTAAGTATCGAAGGTTTGCAACCATTTTATTCATATTCTTGCTTTATTCCCTTTTGTGTACAGGGACCTCTTTTTAGAGAGCAGGTTCAAATGTCCAAACGTTTCATAGCAATTACACACCAAAGTACGGATTGATCCAATTGTTGGGTTGGCTGGGTCATTTTGCCGTTTCCAGCAATATCAGCAGTATTGATTCCAAATCCATTTCAATAATGTTAGCAGATAAAGTGTAGAAAGAGGAGGGCCAAAAGCACTTAAATCTTCCTCAACAGCACAATTCTCCCCAGTGCCACCTTCACAAGCAAGCTAATATTCTTGACTTTCAGCAGAGCACTTGGAGATAAACGGTCCCTTCAGAAATTTGTGCTACGCAGTCTTCTCAGTCAGATGTTTCTCCTGCCCCACATGCTTACCATCACCTTTGTGTAAAAGAAAGCTTCATTTGGGTCACACTTCAATGAATTAACCTCCTGTTGTCATGATCAGCGCTTTGAGATGATATCCGGCGTGAAGGGAGCTGTATGAATACAAGTTGTGTTGAATAGAAAAGTCTGTTTATGCAAATGGTGCATATCTGCAGATTCTTCTCCAGCTTTGCCCTTCTGCAAGGTTTGAGTCCAGTCATTGCCTCCATCGCACCCACCTTTTCAGTTTTGATTGGTTGAGACCCACCACTTTGGAAGGCTCCTCTTCGGTCAGCCCTTTGTGTATTCCTTTTATTTTCCCTTTTCATAGCCTGTTTCACTGTACGTTGGATTTAGGACTGAGCAAAGCTTGGACGTGGAGACACAGGCAAGCAGATCGGTGCAAATCTTGAGAATTTGGCAATGTTTAGCAGCTTCTTTCAGTTGCCAAAGTGTGACACCTTTTGAATAATATTGACCAGTGATTTTCCACACCTTTCTAATGAGTGGTAGGAAAGTGAACAGAATTCCTGCCCACTGGCCATATTTTGCAGTGCAATGAAATAAAATCCAATACTTTGTTATATTGCGTGTTTAATGATGCTACACTGGTACCTAGAACAAAGTTAATAGTATCAATATAATTTTATCTATAATTTTAAAATTGTTTTTAAAACAGATTTTAAAGCTTATTTTATGAATCGAATCATTTTCAGCTCTTCAAAGGGGACTTTCATTATAGGGGGAGCTGTTTGTGATTAGGGTGTATATGAAGGTTGCGTGTGGGACTGTTAATAACAGCACTGCTTTTCTTTATTATTTTCCACTTCAGGCTCCAGCTGCATTTGGTTTAGTTTCATTCCTTATGCACGCAGGACTTGAAAGGAATCGAATCAGAAAACACCTCCTGGTGTTTGCATTGGCAGCACCAGTCTTGTCCATGCTCACTTACCTAGGCCTGAGTCAGGTATGTTCTTGTCATACTATACTTTAGCTCATTATCCAGAACCCGTTAATACCACCTTGACACAATGGGGCCTGACCATTACAAGAATTGTTAGAAAGAGTCTCCCTGTCATTGCAAATTTTCAGATCCTTTTCTGTGTGTGTTTTTTTTCTCTTCGTTAACCCAAGGGTGCGGGGTCAGTTGTAGCTGCTACAGCTGAGATCAGCGAACTCAGCACAAATTGAACTTGCCAATCTCACATCTGTAGCCGAATGCTATGTTGCCTAGGGCGAAGCTTTTATCCATTTGGCTGTCAAGGCGGTTGAGTTAGTGAAAACATCAAGTTTACTATAAAATCTGTTGTGCATTGTAAGCTGAATGTCCGACATCATATAATATTGATATGATTATATCAGAAAACAACTTGGGACTTTGCTTTGAGACTCCTTCGACTCACCGAGCACTGCTGTTAATTATGGTCGAGTGATCCTTTATCTTTATCTTTTCACTGTTACTCAACTAATCCTCCTGTCAAGTTGATCAAAGAATGGCGCTGATGGGGCTGACCTGCTGTGCTGGAAGTGAAGGGAATGCAGTAATAAAAGATCCTGGCTGGGGCGAAGGTTGAAATGGAGGAAACTTGACCCTAGCTTAATGCACTAAAGTGATAACTAAAGCTTGTTCAGAGGAACATGACTTGTTAAAAGCTAATTCACAGGTGCAGAAAGCATGGTCTATAATGAGGAGTCGGGAATAAAAAATCATGGACGTTGTGTAGAGCGCTAGTCTGATCTAATTTGATGTATTGTGTTCAGTTTTGGGCACTCAACCGTACTGGGTTTCGAGGATTTCCATTGACAATTCACCAAATTAATACCTGTGGTGAAAGGGTTTAGCTTATGAGAAGGTAGGTAAATTTGTTATAATCATTTAAAGCGATTGAAGCATTTGAAATAATGAGGGCATTGCTGTGCTATATTGGGGTGGGTGGGGGTGGTGACTCTTCACTCCTAAAACATGGGGACATCTTGAAATTGGAGTCAAACAAGTTAGGACTGACACCAGAAAATGTAATATAAAGGATTGTGAGAATGTGGAATCCACTGCCAAAAAGGCTGTAGATTAAATCAATTGAGGGACAGATACCTGAGAATTAAGTGGTGTGGACGAAAAGGGGGAAATGGAATTTAAAAATGTATCATGATCTGAAAAATTTTGGATGCATAATGGGTCAAGTGACCAAATAAAAATGATTAGAGCTTATGCAACAACAGGCATAGGCATACATAGCAGGAGGGATAACTCCTAAGGATTTTAGACACTTTTCCTGGATTGATGTATGTTTGAAAATTCTCCAAAACTTTCTGGTGACTTGTATTTGCATTTCTATTTGCCTCCACTTGCTCCCAATCCACTAGCGGATCGAAATCAATATCCTTGTTCTTGCTTTGAAATCCCTCCACAAGCCTTGCCTCACCCTACCTCTGTGATTCCTGCAAACCTACCACCCCTCCCTCCCTTTGCTTGCCGAATTGATTTGCTGCGTGTCCCCTACCCACCCCAGCATCAGTGAACAAGCTTTGAATGATTCTTCCCCGGTCTCTGGAACTCCATTCCAAAGATCAGCTGCCTTGCCTCCTCCCTCTCCTCCTTTAAACATGTCTTAAGATGTTTCTTTTCGTCCTCTTTTGGTCAGCTTTTTTTCCCCCCGCGTCTTCCTCAGCTCCCCCACCCCCAGCTCGGGCTGCCAGTCGATTCAGTAAAGTGCTTTCGGATGTCATCCCAACCTGAGAGGCACTGTGTAAATGTAAAAATATTATTGTTGCATTGTTTTTTTGGATCTAATGTTGAATCGTTGAGAACTGAAAGTCTGCCCTTTTCCTCCCTTACAGAGCAGTAAAGAAGCACTTTCAGAGGTGAACGCCACAGGAGTCGCCATGTTGTTCTCAGCGGGGACGTTCCTGTACGTGGCCACCGTGCATGTGTTGCCAGAGGTGGGAGGCACCGGCCACAGTCACAAACCGGATTCTGGTGGGAAGGGATTAAGTAGACTTGAGGTTTTCACTCTCGTCCTGGGCTGCTTGATCCCATTGGTCCTCTCAGTCGGCCACCAGCATTAACCATCGACCAGTCAGGCACGTGGGTCAGTCGCCTACCAGTGTCTGGTGTCTGCGGATTTGCTGCGCTTTTCCTTTTTGGGGTCTTTCTCATGGAGTTTCCGAGTGAAAGAGAATTGTAACGAGTGAAAGAGATTAAACTAAAATTTGACAGGTTGTAAACAGGGAAAGTCAGGACACTCTCTCGTCAGGGTAGGCACTTTGAAAATGTTAACCATGAATTTTTGTTTGTGTGTATGGAAGATTCCACCAGACACCTTCGTTCTCTTGTTCAATCAAACAGGACAATGAAATACAACCAAACTGAGTATCCGTATAAAAGGATATAAGCGAACAATCTATACTATTAGAATAAGGAACGTGGGTACATTACTGGCATTAATCGAGCCAAGGGAATTAACACTGGGTTTATAATACGGTCTACGGAAAATAATTTTTACCGTATTTTACTCAATAGCGTATGGTCTTTGTGTTCAGCTACTGTCTTAAACAGTTTGTTCTGCCATAAATTTGGTGCCTGCTAGCTCAGTATCCCTGTGTTTAATCGATAGAATCGCTAAGTATGTGAGTGTATCAAGAGAGACTGCTTCTGAAGTGCTTCATTAATGTATAAGAGGAAGGATTTTTTTTAAAAAACAGTTGAGTTCAGTTTTAATGGTCAAAACACATTGAGGTCTGAAATGTAGTTGTTTCAGATTGGAATCCTTCAATAAGGAATCTGAGAGAAGTCTTCTGGGCAACAAGATGTACAACTCGTAGGACCTCTGTTGAACGTAAATTGTGTTGTGTGAATCTCCAGTGAGTAGGCGGGATTTAATTCCAGCTTCCTATGTTGAGGAGCACCGAAAACCCCTTGTTTTAGACCTTGTTGTATAAAGAAGGATGGGGCTGAGAAGGAAAATTTTCTTGGACCCGTGGAAATAAAACTGAAGAATGAAATGCCGTTGATATGACTTCCAGCTGGTGAATAGTCATTGTTCTGAACTGTGTTTACTGCCTCTGTTGTTTATGTAACCAAAATCATTCCATGGATGGCTGGCTGCCTTACTTAGCAAACTCTTATCTCTGCACATTAACAGATCTTGAAATTTTTGAGGGGAGGGGAATTGTTTTAAGATTCTACAAATAAATTTTTAATAGGTGGTCATTGTTTTGTTTTCCACATCTTTCTTGAACTTTAGTTTGGAAAAGTGGAATTTCTTGGTAAACGAGTGCCAGCCTGCCTCAGCTGATAGCGCACGTGTCTCTGAGTCAGAAGGTTGTTGGTTCAAGCCCCATGTCGGGACTTGGAACGTATATATTCTATGACCCTCCAATGCAATGCTGAGGGTTGCTGCATTTTAGGAGATGCTGACACTATACTTCATGGCGTGCTTTCAGACATTTTCATATAAGATGTTATAAAATGCAAGTTCTGGTTGTCTAGGTGGATCTTAAGATCCCATGACATTATTCAAAAACAGATGGGAGTTTCTTCCAGTGTCCTAGCCAACAATTCCCCAGATAAAATTGGTCATTCATGGCTGCGTGCATAAATTGGCTGCCGTGTTTGCCAACAAAATACAGTCACTGCACTTTACAGTACATCATGTGAAGTGCTTTGGGACATCCTCCTTAAATGACACTTGCCTTTGGTGTGGAAGGAGGACCTTTACCAGAAGCTTGTGATGTGCCAGCCACTTGATCATCTAGCGGTCCAAGTTCAAAGCCATGTACCAGGTTTACTCAGCACCTCCTGCTGAATTTCATGTTTTTGTTTGAGGTAGATGTGCCCACTCGAAACCAACTACACCTCCAAGGTGATCAGCAATAGGTCAGTGTGGGCTCCTGGCAGCCCCTTCCTCTGTTTACTACCAATCCACCTCGCTGCTTGGACCTGCGTTTCACAATGGGCTGCAGGAAAAACCTTTCGCAGCATTCTAGGAGAACGAGTCATGACTGAATGCATTTTGGACATGTCATACATCACAAGCTTAACCTGCATTTGGGACTCTGCTATTCTTGAAGAATGACAAGAGCAGCCAGAGAACAACTTTCGCTCCCTTCATGTGTTCCTGCAGGACTGTTTCTAAGCAAAAGTTGGTGTCCATCATCAGCCCAAAGTACCGATAAGAATCAATAAGTTGGACAGATGCCCCTTCAATTAGTCCCTTCAAGGCTTCCTCCTGAGCTGTATAGAACCATAATACTGCACTTCTGGAGTGGTAGAACTGCACTGAGTACCCAGTGTTCGAATGGTGAATGTTATGTTTGATATCATCAGGTGAGTCCAACAGCAAACAGAAATCCAACAATCCTGTCAGAAATGCCAGGAATCGATATTCCAGGTCTCCCCCTCAATGCACCATTGGTGAATAAGTTGGCTTGCCACTCTTTGCAGCAGGGTAAGGTTCAGTGATTCTGCCAACATTCCTTATCTGGATCTTGGTGCTGGAACACACACTCAGAATAAAATCCAAAATTTGGCCATGTGTTCCCATAGCTTCTGGTTTCATCGTGAGGACTTCACGAGGCACAAGGAAATTGATGAGCACAGCATAGGTGGGTTTTTTCTTCATTCTCAATATCCTTTGGAGAAATGAGCTGTGTAATTTGCAGAAAAATACAAAGATGTAATGGCCCTTTTAAGACTCGTAAGATGCTGAGACTGTCCATTTGAATCTTTCCCTTTCCAATGTGGTAAAAGACAGTGTTGAGGCTGAATCTTTAGACTAGCAAACTGCAGCAGCAATGCTTTATTACTGTTTTCACGCTTGTCCATTTCTATGACTAACATTTGGTAAGAATTGGTGCTGTATCATGTGTTGTACTGTAGGCTATTGTCCACTGAGATCCAGATTAATATTCTCCCAAACTCATTACTGTAAGTTGAGGAAGTGATTTTCATTGTAATAATGTGGCTTGTATTGAAACCCAGTCACACAGTGAAAGAACAGTGTGTTAAATTATAGAGTCACACAGCTCACGTGTTTTGTTCTCCAGTTCTTTCTGCGAGTTATGGGTCAGATGCTGTATTTTGTTCAATGATGTAATCTTTTTACATGCCAACTATTTTGCAAATTAAACAAATTACATTAAACAAAAAACAAATTACAGTCAAATCCTGTGAAGCACTTTGTGATATTTTGATGACATGATAAAGTGCTGGATCAAATTAAAGGATTAATATTATTATGGTAGATCCTTTAATCACTTTGCCTACCTATTCCCCATATCCTTTAATCACTAAGTTTCTAATGGTAAGCGCATTAGTGAGTAGTGAGTTGAATAAGTAATAGATTATATAGGTACCTTGTTTTAACACTGCATTGTAGATAGTAAATCTGGCCTCGCAAGAAACGCAATGGAAAGTCTTGTTCTTAGATGTCACCTTGGCTGAGTTAGTAGCACTCTCACCTCTAAGTCAAAAGCCTCACGTTGGGACTTTTAAGATCATTGTCCAGGCTGACAGTAGGGTACTGGAGGAGCTTTGCACTGTCTGAGCTTCTGCTCTTTGGATGAGATGTTAAACCGAGGCCTGTCTGCCTGTTCAGGTTGATATTACGGATCCCATGACACTTTTCTAAAATACAAGGGAGTTTCTCCCAGTGTCTTGGCCCCTGATCTTCCACATAAATTGGTCGTTCACTTCATGGCTGTTTTTGGGACACTTCTGTGTGCAAATTCGCTGCTGCATTTGTCTTCAAATTCAGTCATTGTCCTTTGCAGTGAATCCTGTGAAGTGATGACGTGTTATATGAAATGCGGTGACTGTATGTTCTGTGTGCGACTCTGCTTGGTGTCCACTGGGGGGCGCATTAGAGCACCTCAACTCCAGTCCAGAGTCCAATCCGAAATGTCACCTCATCTTAACCTGTAATGATAATAATCCTTGCACTTGATATAGTGCTTCATCACGTCGTTGAAATGTCTTAAAGCTCTTCACAGAATATATTGTAAAGTGGATTGACTGTGTATTTTGTGGATGAAATGCAGCTGCCGATTGCCAATTTTTTAAAAAAGGTATTATTACCCCCAGAAAGCGATCTGCCAATTGACTAACTACCGGGTTCCTACTTACTGAGAGGTAAACCGAGGTGGGTGGAGTAAGGAAACTTGCCTAACTGGGAATCAAACCCAGGTCCTCTTGCTTGTGTGGCGAAGGTGCTAACCAGTACTCTACGGGACTCCACTGTAAGGCCATTTTATCTTAAATTTTAAGATTGCTTGGAATTGTGGAAAGTACCTGTTTTAATTTGGAAGCTTATTTTACGCAGCTCCATCAAAGGAACAGAATTCAAATTACAAATGAATTTAAGAATTTTCCACAATTCTGCAAGATGATAAATTTTAAGACAAAATGGTGGAATTTACCAAATGTATTTTTTGAACAAAAAAGCTTTGAGCTTTAAATTAGTGTGAAACTACTATGATTTGAGATGCTGCCCCATTCACCCACAAAACGCAGTCACTCCAATTTACAATTTGCAACACGCTTTGTGACATGAAAGGAGCTACACCAAATGCAAGGATTTTTTTTAATATTTAAAAAAATTATTTGAAACATAAATCTCCCGGGTGTTTTAATTGCATCCATGAATAATTCATAACTGGGTGTTTTTAAGCCCCAATTGTGACTTGTATTAGTTTTTGAAATATGCACATTTAATTTCTGTCTTATTTCATCATCAACAACAACAATAAAATTACATTTATATAGTGCCTTTCAATGCGCTGTGCAATCAGTTTCGGACCCTTTCCACATCTCTCTTAAAATATCTGAAGAGTGTATTCAACTTGAACCTTGAATGCGTAGAGACTATGCCCCGGGTCTGGGCAAGGAGATTGGAAAAAAATATTTCTTTCTAAGGCTGAAAAAGTTTTCATTTTGAACTTATATTAAAAAAAGTTTTTAAAGTTGCATTTGCAACAGGATCAGATTTATTAATATGGGCAGCCCGCGGTTGTAGAATCCGAACTTTTTTTTTCCTCTCCCTCTATTTTTTTGTTAGAATCTGGTTGTTTGTCAATTGGCGGATTTTCCATGAGTAGTAAACCCTCCCAAAAAAAATATGGTCACTCAATCCACGACTGATTGAGGGACACTGCTGTGCGCTATGGGCTGCCGCGTTTCAGTCAATTTATTTCACAATATACAATATCCTATGAAGTAAAAGCTCTAAAACTGACACATTTCCTCCCCCCCCCTCCCCCCTACTGTCTGCCTGCTCTGTTTTATTGATGCATGCACTACACTGCAGAAACCTTTATTGCAACCATGCCCCCCCCAAAAAAAAAACAACCACTCGAAATCATGAAGTTCTGCTTGCAAATAATAGATGGCAACAAACCAGTTTTTAAAAAAAAAACCCAGAGGCAAAGTGCTAACAGGAAATAAAGAGAACAGTGAGGAAACTCGCTGAGAGCTTGTGTTAGACACGGTAACCAGGAACCCAGAGTCAGGCAGTCAGTGCGTCAATTTCAAGGTGGGACAACATCTCTCCTAATCTCTGTGACTCTGTCTGTCTGTGTTGCTCTCTGTGACTCTCTCTCTCTCTCTGTCTGTGTGTGTGTAGCTCTCTGTAATTCTGTGTGTGTGTGTATAATATCTCACTGGGGGTGTGTGTATATATATATCTCACACTGGGTGTGTGTGTATATATATCTCACACTGGGTGTGTGTGTGTATATATATCTCACTGGGTGTGTGTGTGTATATATATCTCACACTGTGTGTGTGTGTATATATATCTCACTGTGTGTGTATATATATCTCACACTGGGTGTGTGTGTGTGACTGTATGTGTCGCTCTCTGTTACTGGGTATCTCTCACTCTGTGTGTGTGTGTGTGTGTGAGACTGTATGTGTCGCTCTCTGTGACTGTGTGTGTGTATCTCACTGTGTGTGTGTGTCTGTCTGTCTCTGTATCTCGCTCCATCTCTCAGGCTTTGTTGCAAGGCAACGAGGGGGGTCTTGTCCTTCTCCCCTCCCTGAGGGAAATTTCTGATCGATCCTCCCAAGTCCCACATGTTCAGTTCCAAACCCCCCCCAGTCTCGCCCTCCAAGATAGAGCAGGGAGATGCAGATGAGCTGGACATAAGCACTAAAGTGCAATTACACGGGGTCTTGTGGAAGCGACCCTTCGGGAGGCAATCTGCAAAGTGGTCAAAGAGGTGAGTGAAACTGTCTTTCTGCCTCCGGCAGGTAAATCACGCGGTTTTTGCCATCGTTTTTTTTTGTTTGCATCGTCCGAATCCGTGCAATTGAGTGGAGACTTCATACAAAGCCCACACCAAAAATAATGGTCCATAGCTGTTTGTGGGACACTACTGTGCGCAATTGCCATGGGATCAATTCACTTTACAGTTCAATTAATTTACAATATATTGAGACATCTCAGATGCAAGAAATATCATCTTTATATTATTATTACAAAGTTTATCCCCATTTTCTCTGGATCATGTCCACCTGTCTGCGCTTTGCACTTGGGTTGGAGCAAACGTCTGTCACCTTCATGAATATTTCTGCAAACAATGGGACGATTGTTCGTTAAACTCCGGGTGGGGAACGGTGTTCCTGATTGTGATTTGTGTGCCAGTCTGGCTCCGTGGTAGCATTCTTGCCTCCGAGTCAGAAGGTTGTTGGTTCAAACCCCACATCGGGACTTGCATCGTTGGAGGCGCGGTTCCACGAATGAGATTTTAAACCAAAGTCCTGTCTGCCTGCTCAGGTGGATGTTAAAGATCCTGGCCAACAAATCCCTGAAATAAAATTGGACACTCTTCACTCCATGGCTGTTTGTGGGACATTGCTATGCACAAACCGGCTGCCACATTTCTCCCCCCAAATTCACAGTTACTGCATTTTACAGTATATCCTGTGAAGCATTTTGAAATGTCTCAACGAGACGTGATAAGGCGCTATATTGTGAAGCGCTCTGAGAAGCCGTCCGGTGTGGAGGGCACTATATAAATCCAAGTTGTTGTTGTATATCGAATAATAATCCTTGCATTTGATATAGCAACTTATCAAATGCAAGAATTATTATTATTAGTCATAGTTGTAGCATAAGAATGGATGCTGTGTTGTTTACAAAGTAATCATTAAAGGCTTCTAAAGAGGAATACAATGTTTTAATATGTTTGAGAGGTCTGTCTCACTTCATTTTCTCCAATGTTTCCTAAAAGTGCTGACTCATTCTGGGGAAACGACTCCCTGGTTGCTGGATGTCCTTTAGATATCCTTGCACAATTGGCCATTCTTTATGTGTGAACTTAGACAAGTGGTGAAGTCTCGGAACGTAGGATCATGACAGTAATTGGTGTTATGTCCCATGGCTCTATTTGAAAAGAGAAGGGAGTTTCTCTCACGATCTCCCAAATAAAATTTGATCACTCCATTCCATGGCTGTTTGTGGGAAATTGCTGTGTGCAAACTGGCTGCCACATTTAACCCCAAAATACACAGACTTTGCAGTATATCCTTTGAAGGGCTTTGTGTCATCTTGACATGATAAGACCCTATATCAAATGCAAGAATTGTTATTCTTTTCCCCCTCTTCTAAAGAAAATGTTCCATGCTACAGCATGCTAGGTGCTTGGACTTCAAATCCTAGAGCAAACAAGGGAAGGGGACTATCCCATCCTGGAAAGGGAAAGTGGGAGAGAACCTTCAGGTCCTTTGCTCACACAGACGGGAGCAGAGCACATCTGCTTTCTAACAGGTTAGTCTCCCTCAGTCACCACGGAGTACTAAAAGCAACAAGATCAGAAAGAAATTCTAATAATAATCCTTGCATTTGATAAGGCCTTATCACTGCTTGTCGTGGTTTGAATAGTTTTAAGCACACTGATGGATTTCCGCATGTGTCCATTAGGCTGAGCCCTCAAAAATGGAGTGAAATTTATTTAATTTTTTTGGGTGGTATTGCCTCCGGAAAGCTAATTCCAAGTGAATGGAACCAAATTATGGAGAAAAGACAGAGAGGGGAATGAGAATGATTGAGAAAAGGCTGTGATCCTGACGCAATACACTTGTACGTGCACACAACTGATGCGTGCCGTAATGCATGACTCTCCTTGTGTTCTTTGCAGGTTTTTCATCATCAAAGATAGCTTTTTGCTTTATTATGCGGAAAATGAAAGAAAGAACTTTGAGAATGACAGATACTTCAACATTCACCCGAAGGTCAGTTCGCCTGCAAAATACAGTCGCTACACTTTACAGTAACTTCCATGAGTCTTTGAGATGTCCTCCCTACATGAAAGGCGCTGTATAAAAGTACTATTATTATCGTCCCTTACGATTCACTGAACTAGATCAAGTTGTTTCATCTTAAGGGTCCCAAAAGCTGCCAGTTAGTGGCAATTCATCTGCACATTTACTTTCGTTTGTTGAAAATCAAGGTACCTTCTCACACTGTGTGCTGAAGGTTGGGGTATCTGATAACTCACCTGTATAGCCATTCTTCATTTGCGAATGCAGACGTGTCCCCAGGCAATATGGAAGGCAGCACACCCGAGCTCCATCCTGCCTGTACTCGACATCTACGCACTTGCACACGCACAAGTTGAGGTCAATTATAACAACGCTACCACTGAGATTAACTAACTCAGCACAGGGAAAGGCTCAAACCAGGCACTACGCTACCTGGTCTGCGTGACTTAGTTTGAGAATGGAACTTACCAACTGTCCTGCGAGACTGGAATCAAACAAAGTCTTCAGACATCAATGATTGGAGCAGATTTGATACATCTCAACGCTCTGAATGGCGTATCATTTTTCTTGGTAGTGGGGCTACTTTGTATAGATCGGTCAGTTTGAGAAACCACGATTGCTTCTCTTTTTGCTATATCAAATTTAAGGATTATTGCTATACTATAATGCATGATGAATGGCCACTTGAGTTGAGGTATGAGATGGATCTCTAGACCTATATAGGAACCTTCAAAAGAGGAAGGCAAAAGTCTCTTCAACATGAAAGGGGTGAAACAAGCTTGGATAATGTTTCATGTTAATTGCATTACATTGAATTCTATACACACAAGCAGAACCTGCCCAATATTTTGCTCTCCTGCACCATGGCGTATCATTTTTCTTGGTAGTGGGGCTACTTTGTATAGATCGGTCAGTTTGAGAAACCACGATTGCTTCTCTTTTTGCTAATGGAAAGCAGGAACTGAAAGGAGGAATAATGGTTGATTTTGTCAGCTGTTCCACAGATCATTTTGTTTTCCAACTCCCCTCGAGCTCACCTTTTCTCTTTCCCATCCCCACCTCTTTGAGATATTACCTTGGGTGCTCTTAAGTTGCAGAGAGTTAAGTGAGGGTCTCGGGACCCACCATTTCTCGCAGCACACATGATCTTGAAACGCCAGTGAGAATAAAACAAAAGAGGGGCTGAAGTTTCTTGACCACAAAACAATGTTCTGCTGGCTTCTGCAGGGGGTGATACCACTGGGTGGGTGCATCGTGGAAGCCAAAGAAGAACCCAACATGCAGTTCGTGATGAAGATTTCCCACGAAGATTTTCACGTAAGTTCTGGGCTGGACATGTTAGAGATTCGGGGTCAGAGGGAAACCAACGCACTCTCTCTTCATCATTATCTCTCACTGACCTCTTGTCAAGGTCCACAGTCCGATTAAGATGATGTGCTAAGCGCAGTGTCCAGGACCTGAGTCTGTCCCCACACAATAATCTCTAATCTGCCCAACAGATGGTCACTACCAGGAACAGAGAGAGGAGTCACCTTGACTCACCTCAAAGCACCCCCCCACCAAGATTAGGAATTTAACCAAACAGTTAAGCAGGAGTGAGTGGGGGGGTGGGGTATCATTTCTAGTGAGGTCAGTTTGTTGCTGACTGTGTCAATTCCTTATTGATTTAACTGGAAATGGATGGCTTTTCACCATTAGAGTGGAGTGCTGTAGCAAAGTGATTAGAGCACTTGCCTCCAAAGCTGGCGCAACGATCCCTTCAAAGAAAAAACTAATAATTTGGTCATTCAATCCACGACTGATTGTGCTGCAATTGGCTCCTGCATTTTGCCCACAAAATACACAGACAATCCACTTTACAGTATATTCTGTGAAGTGCTTTGAGATGTCGCACTGACAAGGCACTATAATAAAATGCAAAGATTATTATTTATTATAAGAGTTGATCTGACTTGAGGGTCTTATCTGTCTGTTTTAGGGGAATATTTTATTGGCTGCGGAATCCGAAACGGAACAAGAACAATGGCTGGAGACGCTGCACGAATCAGGAAAGGTGTAAGTAACTGGGATTGCTGGGATCTTTGCTGTGTGCTAAGGCACGGACAAAGCCAGATGCCAGGATTGCTGAATGAGAGATGGTCAGTGAGCTGCAGGGAAAAGAGTCAGAAGAATGTGCGTGTGTGAGTGGGGACATGCGGAGAGATTGCAGGGGTGCAAGAGAAATCGCAGCTGCACATTGTCCAGCACTAAATCGCTTATCTCACTCACTCGGACATTGCAAGACATTGGTCTCTGTGTAGGCTTTGCAAAGTGGTGCGAGTAATCTAAGACTTCAGCACCTCAGTACAACAAAAACAACAACAAGGTGCACTTGTATCGCTTCCCTTCACGCCGGTTCGCATCTCAGAGTGCTTATCTGATCTGAGGGTGTTGACTGTCTGTTTTAGGTGGGAGCCTCTCCTGGTTATTTGTTCTGAACCAATATGGGGATCGCTGACGTTTAATTTGTTCAATCCTCAACAGAACGTGGAAGAACGCACAGTTGGGAGAAGCCATGATCGGGAGCCTGGAGGCACAAGGACTGCAGCTTGCTAAGGAGAAGCAGGAGTACTTGGGTCAGCAGGTCCCAGGCCTTAGCGCGGCTGGGAAACAAAACTTTCTTTCTTGGTCAGCTGGATGTCTGACACATGCGGAAATCCATCACCGTGCTCAAGTGTGTCTCCAAACCAAACTGAGAATTCCATGCATCCACCTACACGTGGAAATCCCAGAGATAGATTATTGGAATGGAATGTGCACTCTCATCCTGGCGGGATGCATCCTGTTTACCTAATTCCGTAAAGTATTAGGTGCAGCTTGACAAGACCTAAGGCTTGGGGACCGCAGAGTGGGCATTAGGGCACTACTGGAGTCTAACCAGCTAAAACCACATAGCTTGCCATTAATATTGCTGTCTGGCAAGCTTTCCGGCTGCTTGACTAGCTAGGACCACCCTACCCGTTAGGACTTTGGGTTGCAAAGCTGAGTGGGAGGATTCTCTGCCCTCCTCGTTGTCTGTTTTGTTTTCCTTTTGACTATGGGATGTGCTGTAGCACATTAACCAGTCTTATGTGGGGATCGCTGTAGAAACATCTCGTGTTCAGTTTCCCCCCACCCCCCACCACTTTTTGAGCTGAAAGCAATTGAATAGAGTGCAGTGCACGAAGTGATTGATGCCTGTACAGCTTACCTCTTATATAAAATGCTTAGCAGAGCATCAGGCATGAGGCCAGGCAGCCTCTGTGGTCACCTTACAGGGTTTACCATTTCTTCTCTGGCTATTTGCTTTGTGAGAGTTTTTTCGACCTCTTGGTTTTTAACTAGTTCCTCGCCCAAAGATGGTCCATTGACACCCCAGAGCTTTCCGTGCGACGGGTGGTTGACATAGCGCTTATCCAACTGGGAATAACAGCAACGACAAAAACAAAACATTGCATTTATACAGTGGCCTTTACATTGGGCGGTTTGCTTTCCGAGCTGGAGGTTGGGATCCAGAGAGGGGTTGAGGGCAATGGGGGTGGGAGGATAAACAAAGGCTCGGTCAAAGAGGAAGGGCTTAAGATGGGCCTTGAAGGAGGCAAGGGGTTAGGGGTGGATGTTCTCCGGCATTGAGTTCCAGACGATGGGGGCAGAAAGGCTGAAGGAAGGGTGGGGAACATGGAGCAGGCCAGTGCCCAGCAAGAGGAGGGAGTGGGCAGGTTGGTAAAGTTTTACTAGATTGCAGAGGTAGGGAGGAGCAAGACCATGGAGAGTTTTAACAGTAGGTTTTAATTGTTTGAAATACCCACCTCCAAGTGCTTCTAGGCTGTCAAGATCTCATTGTGATTGATGCAGCGGTAGATGGGTTGTTGTTGTCCTTGACTTTTTGAGCGTTAGTCAAAAAAGTCTTTATGTATTGAGGACGTTTATTGAACAATGCTTTGTCAGCCCTTTGCATAGTGTTGCTTGCTTTTCACACTTAACTCCCGCAGTAATATGCTTGAGTGGCCTCTGTGTGAGCAGGTTTCTATTGATAACTAACATGCTGTGTTTGGATGTGCTTTTCAGACAAGCTGATGGAGGAAACAGAGGAACTTTGCCTTCAGCGAGAGCAGAGGGAGGTGGGTGAAGTCGATAAGAGTTCCAGTGATGCAGAGTGCTCATGCAGCGATGTGTGATGTGCCAGCCCTTTGGCAATGTCATCTGTGTTTTTTTCTCTTTCTCTCTCTGATGATCACACTGACTCACAAGGGACCGGAGAATGGCTGCTGGCTGTTTGCTTGACACAAAATTATACTCTTACTTTCATGTGTTCCTCCCTTACAAAGGAAGCCGGGGACGAGAGTTTTAGCCTTCGAATGGAGACCGGAGGAACTGGGATTTTTTCCACTGGAAACAAAGCAGGATGAGGGGGTAACCTGATAGAGAGAGAAAAGCATGAGAGGTTTTGATAGACTCAATAGGGAGAAATTTTAGACTGTTTATAAATTTGATAAATTCTGGTTGCTCTGAAAAGCTAAGGAAATGGAGTCAATCTAGATTTAGGTGGAATTTCCCCCCAGATAACCCATCATAGTTGTCTTGTATTTGGAAGGGTTGGGGGTGGAAAAATTTACTTTTTTAATCAGTGCTTAAGCAAGTTTATGTGTTCAAACTAAGATGGGGGAGTGGGGTGGAATTAATGGAGCTTTCTGTTCCCACCACCGACATAGCTTGTGGCCAGTCCTAGCTTGTCTGACTGGTTTCGATCCATTTTTAGGAACTTGAGCGGTTAAATCAAGAACTTGAGGCTGAGAAGATGAAGATTGAGGAAATAGTTCAAGATTTAAGGCTGGAGCAAGAACAGATCAAGAGGTAATGGGGCAAAGTAATCAATCTTTGATAGCTATGTATGTTGGCGAGGGGTAAAGCGGGGATGAGCATTGGGTACAGCATATCCTATAAGAGGAAGAGCAGATTTTCAGCACGGACATCATCTTGACCTCACTTTATAATAATGATCCTTAGGTTTTGTACGTCTCCTTTCATGTCGGGAGTATGTCCCAAAGGATATACTATAAACTGTGTAATGTGGTCGAAAGTAAAGTTCGAGCAACAGATTGCATTAGTATAGTGCCTTTCATGTCAGGAGGACATCCCAAGGTGCTGGACAGACGATGGAAAGCTGGATTTGAGAAATGTCAGTGGGCCACATAAGCAAAATGGACCAGTCCCATTGCTAGGCTGAGCCTGGTAATTTTCTCCTGATTGGCTCGGGGCCTGCATGTCACCGGTATTTGCTCATCAGAGAATAAAGTTAGGAATGGTTCGCAGGCCAGAATAATATCATCCCCTGGCCCACAGATGCTTGTTGTACCACCTTGTCCTAGATTATAAGATCACTGACCTGATGTGGGGGTTTGACCGAGACCGAGATGCTACACCTTGCCACTTAACAAACCTGATGATTTAGCATTACATTGTCTTGCGTTTATTTCAGGGAGCTGGAGCTTACTGTCAGATCACTGACTGGAGTTGAGGAAGAAAAGAAAGAACTACATCGACTGACCGACTCTCTTCAACGTAACCTGGAGGTCAGCGAGTGAAATGGGGTGTGGGGGTGCAAAGGATGACGAGACGGGGGTCTGGGTTTGTGCCTGCGGTTAATGTGCTGAATCACAAAATTAGCTCCTGCAATCGGGGAGGGACCCTGAATGGAATTGTATAATAATTTTATTTGTTATAGTGCCTTATTATGTCATCCAAATGTCCCAAAGCGCTTCACAGGCTTTTCTATAAAGTGTAGCGACTGTACATTTGGAGCAAACATAGCAGCTAATTTGCACACAGCAATGTCCCACGAACAGCCGTGGCGTGAGTGACCAATTTTATTTGTAGGAATTTATTTGTTGGCCAGGACACTAGGAGAGAGAAACTCCCTTCAAGTAATGCCACGGGATCTTTAACGTCCAGCAGAACAGGCAGACGGGATCTCGTTTTAATGTCTCATCTGAAAGACGGCACCTTCAACAACAATGCAAGGTTTCATGAGCACTCCACTGGAGTATGTGTTCGAGGTTCTGATGTGGGGCTTGAGCTTCCGACTCTGAGGCGAGAGTGCAACCACCTGAGCCAGGCTGGTGTAAGTGTTCCAGCAAGCTGGAGGCCAAGCCCCAGGTATGTGGAAGCTGCCACATGGTGATAGTTGTTGTGTGTCTTCCCCCTCAGTCCCTGTCGCAGGAGAAGCAGAAGACCTTAGAGGTGCTGCAGCAGAGCGAACAGCAGGCCCAGCAGCTATCGGAGACCAGTGACACCTTCCAGAATGTTCTCCAGCAGATCGAGGAGAAGATGAAGGAGCTCAAGGGAGAGAAAACTCTTGTCGAAGAAAGGTGTGAGGAGGGTTGGGGGAAGGAGAGAAACGAGGCCCTGAACCTTGCAGCTCACAATTGCTGCTTTTGACCGCAGCTTAGTGGGTCCTTGTTTTTTTTTACAAAAAATTATATTCTGTTTACCAGCTTTCAAAAGCTATGATCCGTGAGCTAGAAATCTGATGCCAGAATCCATCTAGAAATCCGATGCAGATGTTGGAGATAAATAATAATAATCCTTGCATTTGATATTGCATCTTGTCATGTCATTGAGATCCCATGGCATTACTCGAAAGCACTTCACAGGATACAGTATTGTGATCTCAGTGATACCGTGTGCTGTTTTTATAACAATAATACTTGCATTTGATCTAGGGTCTTATCGCATAGTTGAATTGTTTCAAAGTGCTTTACAGGATATACTGTAAAGTGGAGAAACTGAATTTTGTGGGTAAAACGTGGCAGCCAATTGTGCACAGTAGTGACCCACAAACACTTATGGAATGAGAGATCAATTTTTTTTTAGAGAATATTACCCCTGGAAAGTGATCCGCCAATTGACTAATAACTGGGTTCCAATTTATGCTAAGTAAACAGGCATGTGGAGTAAGGAAACTTGCCTAAGGTTTCACCCCTCCCGGGAATCGAACCTGGGTCCTCTCGCTTGCGAGGCGAGTGCTCTGACCAGTACACTGCAGTTGCTCTAGCTGTTTTGCTGCTGTCCAGTGCATCTGCGCCACACAAAACCTCCAGGAAAGTAAACGGCGAGGCATATTTTAGATGCAACTTATCTATGAACTGTCAGCATTAATGTGGGCTTTACTGGTTTCTTTTTCCCGGCAGGTTGAAGGAGAATGAACAAAGATCACGAGCCTTGCAGGAGGAGCGGGAGTTTTACTCCAATCAGTCCCAGGAGCTCCAGATCTCACTCACCGAGCTGACAGCTGAGAAGGAGAAGACGGAGACTGAACTGAGGGTAAACAGACCGAGTTATTGATTGTACTAATGAGCCTGAAGCAATCGGTACATATGGCACCATGGGGGGGGTCCGTGCGTATCTGTATTAATCAGCCAGTGTCTGACACATGAGGAAACCCATCATCATGATCCCAGGATTGTTTGATATTGCTCATTGGACCCTGATTCGCAAAGCCTCACAGCTGTCAATGAGACATTGCTGTGTGAAAATTGGCTCACAAAGTACACAGTCTCTGCATTTTACATTACATCCTGCGAGCTTTGAGACATCCTTCTGAGCAGGTAGCTAGACAAATATCTAAAAACAGTAAAGCTACTTTGGGGATATAGGGAAAGGGGAAGTAAATGAAAGGATTGCTCTTAAAAGAAAACAAAAACAGAAGTCGCTGGGAACCCTCAACAGGTCAGTCAGTTTCCTTTCTCCATGGATGTTGCCTGACCTACTGAGTGTTCCCAGTGATTTCTATTTTTTTAGATTTCCAGCAGCTGCAGTATTTTGCTTTTTGCTCTTAAAAGAGCCAGCACAGACATGATGACAGAATTTCTGTGGTTCTGTCAAATTACTAAAGGATTATTTAATAATCAAAGGAATATTTTAGTGTAATGTTTGAAATCGGCAGGTTCAGGCACTATTATCGGGTGTTGGAAGAGAAACAATATAAAAGGTTTGGGAGAGGGAGCAGCACATCACGCATATGAAGAGAGTGATGTAGAGAGGGGGAGAGGTGAACCAGGGCTGTGGATCCATATTCTAGCCTGAGTCACTCTCTCCTGTAGTAACAACAGCAGCAACTTGCATTTATATAGTGCCCCTCACGCAGGGTAGTCTCAGAACTCTTGACAGTGGCAGAGTCTGCCCGGGTAGGTGACCATAAGCCCGGTTGAAGAGGGAGGTCTTCAGGTGCGACTTGAAGATGGGGAATGAGTAGGCAAGACAGTGGGATTGAGGGAACAATTAACAAAGCACCAAAGCACATTTCTGGGAATACTTTCCTGAATTGCACTGGGTGACCTTGCCGTGTCCCCCGTTGACCTTCTGAAGCATTTGGTGCAGCGGAGGGAGGGGACAAGGGACAAGCAGGAGGCCAGAGCCAGCTGAGTGGAGGTGGTGGGTAATGAAGTGGGGAGAAAGCAGATCGGAAAGGTAGGGAGGTGCCAGGGCAAGAAGAGATTTGTAGACGAGTGAGAGGATCTTGAAATCGATCTGTTCTGTGATTTGGAGCTTTGCAAGGACTGTTGTGCTGGGGGTATGGAATTTAATGTGGTTGAATGCACAGGCAGTGGAGCAGGAGCTTGTGCATTAACACCCAATCCTTCAAGATCACAGGGGAAATTCCGATGCAGGTCTTTCAAATTAGTTGATCTTATTCTTCCAGAATACCAATCCATTACTGCATCAAGCTGTTTCTTAAATGAGAGGACCCGAGTTTGATTCCCAGGCAGGGAGAAAGCTTAGGCAAGTTTCCTCAGTGTCCTGGACTCAACACCTTCTAGTTTTCTATTCCATTCTACTCCTTATACTAAGGAACCGGGTTGGTGGATAACTTTCCATAGATAATAATCCCTCAAAAAATAAATAGATAATGCAGTAATTTGGTCATTCAACCCATGACTGTTTTTGGGACACTGCTGTGTGAAATTGGCTGCCGTGTTTTACCCACAAAATATACAGTCAATTCATTTTACTGTACTCTGTGAAGTGCTTTGAGACGTTTCTATGGCATGATAAGGTGCTATATCAATGCAAGGATTATTATTATTAAAAACAGCCACAGTGTCTTGGCAGCGAGCAAAATCTGTCTCTTTGAGAACTATTCCCTGGATTAATCGGCCAGGCAGCACTGTGGATTGGGGTTAAACTCTGATTACAAAACACTGCTGTACTGCTGGGAACAGCATTTGTTCCTCCCGTCAGCAGTAACTATTGGAAAAAAAGAACAACACACTGTCAGCAGTAAATACACTGAGAATATTTGTTTGGCATTTGAGTTGTGTTAAAGTGTTTCTAACAAGCAGCTCCCGGTGTTAGCTACTGGACTAAAGGGTTCGTAGCAGGATGTCGATTCAACTGGGAATCTATCTATTTTCAATTGGAAACGTAGAGAGCCATGATTGAGGAAGTCACTAGGGTTGAAATCTGAGAAAGTAGTATCCATGAAAACGGAACAAGTCAAGAGTTCAAGATTTAAAGTTCAGGATTACTTTTGCAAAAACATGGCAGCAATAGGCAAGCTAACTTGTCTAGCAGGTTTTTTTTCTCTGCTTTATTTCCAGTTTGATTCTGTGTTTCTGTCAGGAGGAAATGAAGTCCCGGGTTGAGCTGGAACGACGACTAAAGGAGGCAGAGGGAGCCTTGCAGCGGCTGGAGCTGGGGCTGAACTCGGATGAGCGCACCCTGGAACGCAACGAGAGAATGAAAGGGGACGTGGGGCAACTGAGAAGTGAGTGGCCCCGGCACAAAAGACAAAGGCGCCATCCGAACATGTGGAACACAGCTCACAGTCCACTGAGGGGCAGCCACAATGTAGAGATGTCAGCCTGCATCAGTTGGTAGACCTCTCACCTCAGAGACAGAAAATTGTGCATTCAAACCTCACTAATGAAAGACATCTCTCTACTAATGCTGTCTTAAAAAAATCATAATTAATACTTAAAACCTCTATGAGTAAGTTTATCTGATTCACCCAAATACAGTCACTACACTTCACAATAAAATGAAGTGCTTTGACATATTTACCAACTGCAATGGATTATTGTTATTTATTGTTTGTGTTCTGCAGAATTCTTTGAGGAATGTATTAGGAATGCAGAGATCGATGCCAATCTGCCTGTTATCATGAAGAATTCTGTGTATGTGCACAAAACAGCGGCACGACGGATAAAGAGCTGTAGATTCCATCGAAGGAAATCCATTGCTGCCTGGAACACATTCAGTAAGTAATGCATAAGAGGCAGAGACTGTTTAAATGCAAAGGTTTACCAGTTGCACAGCATACCCCTGGCTTGGCGTGACGAACATCTGGTTAGCCTCGGAATTCAGTATTTATGAATTCTGTCACCCCAGCATTGTAAATCCATCCCTGGAGTCCTATATTGTATTGATTAGAGGACGCATCTTCCAAGCGAGAGGACCTGGGCTTGATTCTGCGCAGGGCTAAACCTTACACAAGTTTCCTTACTCCGCACACCTCTGTTTACCTAGTAGGAAGTAGGAACCTGTTTGTTAGTTGATTGGCAAATCGCTTTTACGGAAGTAATAATCCCTTCAAAATAATAATTTGGTCACCCGATCCATGAGCGATTGTGAGACATTGCTGTGAGTAATTGGCTGCCTTGTTTTGCCCACAAAATACACAGTCAATTCACTTTACAGTATATTCTGTGAAGCTCTTGGAGATGTCTCAATGATGTATCAAATGCAAGGATTATTATTATTATTACCCTTCAACGTGTACACCTGGCGACCACCACTAGATGGTAGTCTGAGCCAGTCCTGCCTTGCAGTGACCTGTTCAGCCTCAGCCACTGTATTAAAACATCTGACCCCTTCATCTGATGGAGGAACTGAGATGTTGAGAGTGACATTCATGATCTGTAGCAGTGCTGCAGATTGCAAACCTCGCTACGTGCACGGAGCAGTGGTGCTTCTGCTTATAGAGCGAATGAGTATAAAACCTTCCCTCACTGTAAATGTTTAGTTACCCAGGTGCAAGGACCGCAGATCCATTTTTACATCTTGATCAGTGGCAGATATTATCACCTCTAACCAAATTGCATGCTCAGTTAGTAACACTCTCACCACTGGGACAGAAGTGTGGTTCAAGTCCCACATTTGGACTGGAACTCATAATGCAGGCTGACCCGCTAGTGCAGTTCTCGGGGCAGCTCTGCATTGTCAGAAGCTTTGTCTTTCGGATGAGAAATTAAATTGAGACACTGTCTGCCTATTTAGTGGACCGGCCAATAATCCTCCAAATAAATTGGTCATTCAACGTGTGTCTGTTTATGGGATCTTGCTGTGTGTAAACCAGTTGCTGAGTTTGCATAAAAAATAGTCACTACACGTAACGGTAATTACTTTGCGATGTAAAAATGCAATGGCTTTCTTTTTCCGTTGTTCCGCACTTACATAGTTTGTGCTTCCCCGTTTTGTTCCTCCTTTAGAGGGAATTGTTGGTGTTGACCTCTGACATTGTGCTGTTCCAGTGCTTTGGGAAGGCATTAACCTGAAACGCCATCTATTGGCTTTCACCATTCTTCTCCCTTTGTGTGGTGGATTGGGAGATCAGGATAAATAGACAGAAAATTTAAAAAGGAACTATTTGCAGGGGTATGGGGAAAAGGCAAGTAAATAGGACTGGATCAATTGTCAGGTGAATGGTGCTGTTGTGTGCTATAAATTTCTATGGTTCTATTGCCCTAGATACAGCAGTCACTACACTTCAAAGTAATGTGTTTTGCGATCTCTCTTTCTATATGTTAAGACTGCATCCCTCACTCATCACTCCCTCACCCGACTGGTTCAAGGCTCATCTCAAGACCTATCTCTTCGACCTCGGTTCTGGTCATCCTTTCCCTCGGCTCCCACCCCCAGCTCGGATGCTGAGCCAGGATAGTTAAGCAGCTTAGGATGTCTTCTGGACGTGAAAGTTGCTATATAGGTGTAAATTTGTATTGTATGGTGCTGTATCAACTGCAGGTTTTATTAAATCACACTGAATTGCCTGATTGATTGTGTGGAAATCTCTTTCAGTGACCCACTCCTGCTCGTTCATCATGTCTCCCTCGGTTGATGATGAAGAGAACATTGAGGAGCTGAAAGAGAGGGCACGGAAGCTCAGCAGGGACCGGCACTTCAGGGAAACTGTCTACCAGTACATGTCTCACAGTGATTCCTCCAAGTGCTGAGGGCAGTCGCTCAAACAGGGTTTGGATGAGAATTTTTGCTTTGCCGTTACGTAACCTTTCACAAAATTCATGGTAGATATGCTGATCATTTTTTCAAAAAAAATTTGCAAATGCCATTTTTTTGACAGATTGATATGGGTCACCGACGTTTAACTTCTTGAGAGACAGGGAGAACATGGATTGGGGAAGGGGGTAGGTTTGCTACATTGTACAGGCTGGTCCGTGCTCTACTCCTGTGTGCAGCAGAGGCTTTGTTTCACACAAGAGTAGGCACCAGGTTAGGGGTGAGTGGTGAGACTGCCGACCGATCCTCCCTTGTCTGACTGTGGGGAAGACAGGGTAACGGAGAGGACCTGGATGGAAGGGTAGGGAGTATATCTTGATATGTGTTTTGACACATGCAGAAACCTATCATCATGCTTAAGAGTATTTCAAACCAAACTGAGTATTCCATGCATCCCACCAACACATGGGAATTACATATTGAAGTGTTTGTTTCATGCACCCAGTCTGAGCATTTTTTGTGTTTGGTCCTGTATTTTATTAAATGTTTCTTGCTTGATCTTCCTGGAATTTGAGGATTTTTGTGTGAATGTTTAGATTTTCTGGCTTTGGGATGATACATCAACTTAGCCTGTTTAGGTGTATGTTAAAGATCCTATGATACAACAACAAATTACAATTCTATAGCACCTTTCATATTAGGATGTCCCAAGGCACTGGACAGTCAGGGATTTGGACCCAAGCTGGGGGTTGGTATCAGAAGGGGTGGAGGACAAGAAGGGTAGGGGTAGGAGGATGACCTAAGGTGCAGATGAAGACGAGGCTCTTGAGTTGAGTCTTGAAGGAGGCAAGGGAGGGAACAAGGCGAAGGGACTGTGGGATGGAGTTCTGAAGGGTGGGGTCTATTCAATTCATACTATTCAAATAGAGAAGGAAGTTTCTCCCAGTATCCGACTTAACAATCCCCCCCCCCCCCCCCCCCCCACCCCCAAAGAAAAATGTTTGTTCACTTCATGGCCGATTGTAGGACATTGCTGCATGCAAATTGGCTGTGCTTCACCTACAAATACACTCCACAATAGTAGAGTGATATTATAGTTGCTATATGAAATGCAAGCATCAATATCAGCCCTTGCTATCAAACCCAGACACTCATCATAAGGTTGCACTTGACTAGACAGGAATTACCACTCAAGCCAGAAACTGAGACTAAAACTCATGTCCTTGCATAAAGTATGAAGTGATGTTATAATAATAATAATCCTTGCATTTGATATAGAGCTTTTCACGTCTTCTAGACGTCTCAAAGCGCTTCACAGAATATGCTGTAAAGTGAATTGACTGTATATTTGTGGACGAAACACGGCAGCCAATTGCGCACAGCAGTGTCCCACAAATAGTCGTGGATTGAAGATGACTAATTTATTATCTTTTGTTTTTTTGGAGGGATTATTAGGCGTGGATGTTGCACAATACATTAAAAATAATCCTTTGCCACAACGCTTTTCATGTGGCAAAGTCTGAAAGCACTTCACAGATGACTGCTGTCTAATGTAGCGAATGAAAGTGCTTAGCAGGCAATTTATTTTTTCAGATCCGCTGCAACCTTCAGCACCTTGTCCTGTTTAAAATATATTGAAAGGGATTCAGTGCCAAAGCTGCTCATGGTCAACCAAGCCCAAGCTTTGGCTCTCTTTATATTTTTTTTGACATGTTGGAGACTGAAATTGCAGTTTTCATACCCCACCTCCGCAACATCGCTCGGCTCCGCCATCGTCTCACACCGCAGGCCGCCGAGACTCTCATACACGCATTCATAACATCCAGACTTGACTATGCAAACTCCCTGCTTGTCGGCCCCCTCAACTCCTCCCTTCACAGGAGCCATGTTAATGCGCTATCTCAAACGCAAGGATTATGATTATACTAGAAGTCAGTCAGGCGATGAACAAGGCTGGCAGTGCTGCGCTGGAGCACTGCGGACCTGGCATTACCGAGACTGCCACACAGAGTGGGCTTGATTCGAATCGTAATAATATAATCCTTGCATTCGATATGGCGCTTCTCACGTCTTTTGGGACGCCTCTAAGCGCTTCACAAAATATTACTGTAAAGCGAATTGGCCGGATATTTTGTGGGCAAAACGCGGCAGCCAAATGTGCACAGCCGCGTCCCACAAACAGTCGTGGATTGAAGTGACCGACTTAGTATTGTGTGTGTTTTTTTTTCTCTCTTGAGGGATTATCATCCGGCGCGTGGAGTAAGGAAACTTGCCCAAGGTTTCGCCCCCCGCCCCTCCAAATCGAACCCCGGTCTCTCGCTTGCCAGGCGAGTGCTCTAACCAGTCAGCTCCAGGAACTCCAGATTCTGACACCTGTTGTCAAACGTGTCGCCTCGGAGCCAGTTCACAGCCGAATATGAATTAATTGCGGCTATTAATGAGCCGCCCACCACCACCACCACCATCATCACCACCACCATCATCACCACCACCACCATCATCACCACCACCACCACCACCATCATCATCATCACCACCATCATCACCACCACCATCATCACCATCACCACCATCACCACCACCATCATCACCACCACCACCATCGCAATAATAACCCTCGCATTTGATATAGCGCTTTTTCACGTCTTCCCGACCGTAAAGTGAAGTGACCGCATATTTGTGGGTGAAATCATCACCACCATCATCATCCTGAACAACAACAACAACAACAGCAGCAGCACCACCCAGTCCACAGCAGTGCCCCCACCAATCACAGCCCCGCAACCATGCGTGACGGACAGCCGGCGCCAACCAATGGCGCGTGTGACCCGCCTGCGTCAGGAGGCGGGGCCCGGGGCAGGGGACTGGCCAATCCCGCGCGAGGAGCATGGTAAACAAAGCGGCGGCGCGCGGGGGGCGGGGCTAAGGCACGGGTGTGCGGTCGGATCGGCTCGGGGTGCGCGCTTGCGCACTGCTTGCCCGAGTCTCTCCCCCCCCCCCCCGGTAGCGCGGTGCCGGCGCCGGCCGGACAAACGGTCGCGTCGCGCGACTTTAACCGACGGCAGTTGGGGAGCAGCGTCTCGAGCTGAGTGAGTGACAGAGAGAGAGACAGACAGACAGACAGAGGGACAGACAGACAGAGAGGGAATCGCGCTGAGGTGTGAACAGACCCGGGGCATCCGAAGGTGCGTTACACACCCGGCGCTGTGGCGTAGTTTGAAGTTTCCTCACCGACCCGTCCGTCCGACCGACCGACCCGACCGACCGATTCGCCCGCTCGCCGTTCTCGCCTCACACTCACTCACTCACTCACGCGCACGGTCTCGCCCGCTTTGTCTCCTCGTTCGTGTTCTGTTAAAGGTCAGGACCGCGGCTTCGTGGCTTCCCGTCATGGGTTTTTTTTTCTCCCCTTTTTCTTTTTGCACGCGGCTGAGTCGGGGCTCTGCATTATTTGACGCCCGCAGCGGTTGGGAGTTTTGACGCGGTCAATTCCGTGTATATATATGTATATGTACTGTGTATATATATATATATATATATACAGTTGAAATGACATCGAGAAGGGAATTTCTCTCACTCTCCCAGTGTCCTGGTCAACAACTCCCCCCTCTCCCCCCCATTAAAATTCCATCATTCACTCCATTGGCTGTTTGTGGGAAGTTGCTGTGAGCAAATTGGCTGCGGAGTTTCGCCCACAAAGTACAGCCTCGACCGACCGACCCTCTCGACCGACCGCTCAGTCGAGGAGGTTTTCGGTTCACGTCCCCCCCCCCCCCCCCACCCCCACGTCGGGGTCTTTTGAGTTCACGGTTTAGGCTGACACTCCAGGGCGGCGCTGGGGGGTGGGGGGGAGTGCCGTCTTTGGGATGCCTGGTTAAACAGAGGCTCCCGCCAGCCTGTTCAGTGGGACTTGGATCGATCCTGCGGCGCGACTCGAAAAGAGAAAGCGAGTTCCTCTTGGTTTCGAGAATAAGTAATCCTTGCGTTTCGATAGAGCGCCTTAGCGTGTTGTCCAGACGTCTGAAAGTACTTCACACGACGTGCTGCAAACGCGGCAGCCGGTTTGCACGCAGCAGTGCCCCACGAGCAGTCGTGGAGCGAGCGACCAATTTTAATTTGGGGGATTTCTTGCCCAAGACACTGGGACCTCGGTTTAAGATCGTATCGGAAGGACGGCACCACCGACGATGCAATATATCCCCAGCACTGTATTGGTGTGTCAGCTTAGACAATGTGATTGAATCCAAGAACTTGACTGAGTGCTGAGCCAGGTTCACATACCTAACAATTCCCCGGAGGGGGAAAAAAATGGTCGTCCACTTCAGTGATTGTGGAACATTGCTGTGCACAGATTTTCTGCCAACAAGTACACCTTACAGAAACCTCTTTAAGATATTTTTACATGATAAAAAGTTATATAAAAATGCAAGGATAATTATAATTACACAGTCCCAACACTTTCGAACTCTGTGAGGCACTTCGAAACTTTTTGACGGTATAGGCGTGATATCAAATTCAAAGATTTATTTATTTTAATAAAGCAAAACAACTTTGCCTGGTCGTTCAATGGATCACAATAAATGCTACTTGTTCCAGAAGAGAGTGCATCTTCCACTAGTTTCACTAAAATGACCTTCATATGTCATTCTGGTTTTATTGAAATGCCAATATTTACCATGTGATTTCTTTTGGGACAAGAACAATTCTGGACAACTGATACTATATCTTTTCATCTCTTTGACAGAGGACTGACTTTGCATGTCACTGTGGTGAAGAATTTTTGTAATTTCTTAGAATTGCAGTGGTATGAGGCGATTTGGAAGTATTTTATTGATGTATGTTGTAGCGAAAGAATTACTTAAATAATAATCCTTGTATTTGATGTAGAGTCTTATCACATTGTTAAAGAGTCTAGAAGTGCTTCATAGGATTTTACAGTTAAGTATAATGACTATATATTTCATAGCCAATTGCAGCAGTCAATTTGCATACAGCAATGTCCCACAAACAGCCATAAAAGTGAATGAACAATTATATCTGGAGTATTCTTGACCAGGATATCAGAGAGAAACTTTTTGGATAGTGCCAATGGATCTTTAACATCCACCTTGTGGGACTTTGGTTTAATGTCTCATGCAAAGTATGGCATCTCTGACAATATAGTTCTCCCCCAGTAATGCACTGGAATGTCAGACAAGACTATATGCTAATTCTGTATTTCCATAGGACTTTAAAATAGTTAAATGTCTCAAAGCGACATATACATACAAAGTGGGAACCTGAGCAGGAGGGAGTTGGAAGTAAATTTATAGAATATTTTTCAAAGCGGGGGGGATGTGAAGGAATTTAGTGAAGAGTTCCAGAGAGGGAACAGGTGGCCGACGATGCACTGATACCAAAGTCCAACTGATTCAAAACACTGCCTGTACCCTCACCCATACCAACTCCGCACGCCTATCACCCCGGCCATTGCCAGGTTCCACTGGTTCCCTGTCAAAGAATAGATAAATTGCAAACTTCTCAC